CAAGCCTAAAAGCGGAGCTCTTGCTAGTTTATTTTCCGGCCCTTTACTATAATAAAAACTGCAATAAAACTCTTCAGCACTGACTGTAGAAGAGTTAATTCAAGGGAATTTAGGGACCAGTCCGGGGTTAGAAGGGGAAGAACTGAAATCACCAAAAAAGAGTATGTCAACACGGCAAAAATTCTCTATTGTTCTTAAATTGAAAATTATTTCATTTCTGTTTTGCTTGTTTTGACGGCAATCTCCGAACAGCTAGTGGAGGAAGAGACGAAGGAGGTTCAAATTCCTCGGCAGAAGTTTTGTCATCGTGTTTCGCTTTGTTGAATTCTTACTTAATTAATGCAAATTCGTACACGGAAATGTCATATTTCTTCAAAGTACTATCTGTACGTTGATTACTGAGTATTTTAACGACAATTCTCCAATTAATATAGGTGAATAAAGCTAATTTTCTGACTTAATGACGAATTCTTATTACTAAATAAAACGTTTCTCAAAAAAAAAAAAAAAAAAAAAACCAATACTCGAACCAAAGGTAAACATGAACTGGATGAAAGTCATACTGTAACTAACCTTGTGATCTGACAGCCCTTTGTATCATGAAGCAGAGCTCCAATAAGAGAAGGGAGACAAAAACAGAATACATGATACAGAAAACGATTAGAAAAGTTCTGGTCAAGAAACGAATTCTTTACTTAATACTACTTATCATGACAGGGGACGTTTAAAACAATGGACATTAGGCTGTCGCCGGTTTAACCAATAGCAGTCAAATTATTTTGCATGTCAGCTGCTGTGCCTTAGTTTCTACCAGTAAAAATGTTTGTCTAGAATGCTGCTCGGTTCAGCAATAATTTACCTGTCAATTGCCATAATTAAGTTTTGTCGCATCATTTTGTGGCCCGACGTGCTATCATGAAAAATTCATACATAACAGTTATAATTATGCAGCAGTGTAACACGTCAGCAAATTTACCTCCACGAAATCTTTCATATCCATACTGTCGTCCCATTTTAAGAATGATAAATTGAATTTTTTAAATGATAAGCAACTGATTTTTAAACCGTTTGTGCTGAATTAGGATAAATTGGACCTGAAAGAATTGTTTTAGGTCACGAACCTTCCTACAATTTTTTTTTTTCATAACAAAATCGATAAGACTTTTAGACCGGTAAAGCTCGCAAAAGTTCTATGTCATGATGTAGTTTACTAAATTGGTTCGTCGTTGAAAATGCGTGCGTTAACTAAATGGATAGATGTAAGCCTAGTTTGTGAAAATGAAGAATTCATTTGATGGTTTCCTTGTTTGTCGTTTTTACACATGCACAACAGCTGGCATTGTGAAACTTTGCCAAATTATCATGCAACCACTGTTTATTTTGGTGGTGGTAAGAACTTCCTGTGTGTCATGATATTCGTGATGGATAAGTTTTGATTATCATGGAGCCTTGTTACAAGCTAAGTCAGCCAATTCACCTCCGCGACACCTTTCATATCCATATTTCCGTGAATATTTCCGTCTTCCCCTTTTTTCCGCTGAAAGATATGTACAACAGCTGGGATTGTGATGCTTTGTTGAATTACCTTAACAATGTTTATTTTGGTGCTCTGGTAAGAACTTCCTGTGAATCATGTTCCTTCTCCATTATTTACTGCTCTCGTCTGGCAATAAAGGCAATTGGAGGCAATGAATCAGCAGAAATTCATTTTCACAAGTTCAAATTAGCTTTGATATCTACACAATTTTCAAACTTTTCACTTGATATACACTAATACACGGTCTGACTTCTTATCTTCATTATCAAAAACTGGAATGATGTTGAGGTAGAAATTGCTGACTTTTTCTTGTAATTATTATTATTATTTTTATTATTATTGTGATCATTTTTAGTCTCAGGAGGGAGAAGTCCTACTTCGTAAGCCCTTAGCTTTTTTTTACCAATTTAATTATCAAAACAAGCACCTCTTTCGGACTCTACAAGCAAACGTTCACTTATGGATAAGAAGTTCTAACGAACGAATTTGATTAAGAAAGTCCATTATATTCCGATTTTGTAACGAGTAGGAATACAAAAAAAGAAATGAAAAGGTGGATTTTCAATTATCATAGAGTGCCATAGAAAATTAAAATGTGTTTCCGTTTATGGGAAGTTACTTCAACATCGTGGTGGCGCACACGTTAAAAAATGACCGTACAAAAAATATAGAAGGAATATTTCTCTGCGAATGAAATCTTTGAGAACAATCAGTTGATTTTTCTTTCTATTAGTGGTAGTCTCTTGGCATACCTTCAATGAATTTACATTCGTGTTTTCCCTCTGAAAATATTAATGTTGTCAAAATAATGTGCTCATGTTTCTTAATTTGTTTTGATCCCTTTTATTATTAAAGAGGTTATTTATATTGCTTTCGAGTTTAAGGCAGGTAGAGTAACAAACCTGTCCCCTTGGAGCTGTATTGTTGCTATGGTAGCCTTAATTTTTAGAAAACTAAACAGTTTAATCACAGTTTATTGGGCATTTTTGAACATCGATTTCAAGGAAACAAACAGAAAAGTGTAAAAGCTATTATCCATCAAAAAGAATAATTTTTTCCAAATAAAGAAACCATTTGAACCTTAACAAACTTTAATTCCAGACTCATTTGACCTCAGCCTCTCGCGACCATCGATTTCCAGTAAAAAGGACGATTTTTTTAAGTTCAGGGTAAAATTGATGTAGATAGTCTTTGAAATTCTGGTACAAATCCTAGTTGCCATCCAAGTCACTACCCTTTATTAATATTATCACCTGCAATGAACAAAATCAAGAAATGCATCAACATTTTGAAGAAACGAACATTTTTAGCTATTCGTAGAAATGTTTTTACCAGTAACTAGCATTCTGAAATTTTCAAAAATAGTGTATATCATAAATTTGTTTGACCGTTTTATTATTATTATTATTATTATTATTATTATTACTTTTTACAATATATTCCTTTATTTATAGAACAATCATCATCGTAGAATGAAAAGATATCAAGCAGAAATCAATAGCATAAACCAGGTAAGAGAAGGGGCCTTCACATAGTTTTAAGAGGTATTGTAGCAAGCGGGGAATTGAGGGAATTAAAAAATAACAATAAATAACAACAAAACGGAAGCTGAAGCTACGCTGACGAAGCAGTCCACTATAAGTGTGAAACAGGAGTTTTAACAATACAGTTCACGAAAAAATCATCTAAAAGATTCCATTTAGGTTCGATAGTCTGTAACTTTCGAACTTTCGTCGGCCATTTCATTTCACCGATTTGGCTGAGATTTGGCATGAAGTCTTGTTTTAGGGTCCTAATTACGAAATTGATATAAAAATGTTGCAACTGTTTTTGCTTACCAAAAAAACTGGAAAACGCACTTGGTCTGCCCATACTTGCCCGCCAATAGGGCGGATCGAGGGTGATCTTCTGACTTCAACTCGAGTTCTATTGTAAAGACTCCTCAACATTTCGTGAAACTCATAAAAATATCTTCCCCTCCTTTTAATACTTATTACAAAAAATGTGGTAAATATCTGGTGTTAACAAAATTTTATCCCAACGTTGTAAGGTCGTTTCAGGCCGCTTTGAACAATGACAAAATTTTCCCCAACTTAATAACCTAATATCTCCAGTATTGCCTCGATTCAGACGTTACCATTAATTATGACCAACGCTTGTTCATAGGTGAACAGATTTCACGAATAAAAAAATGGAGAAAATGTCTCTGTCGAGGAAAAAATATATCAGCCCGTAATGACCTAGCTATGTTTAGGACCTGATCCTAAGAGCTCCTGGATCAATTCACCGATCAGAAGAAAACGGTTTAAATACACCTTTCGTTCAGATCGTTTCCTATTAATTTGGAACCATCTTTCTTCTTAATACAAAAGTAACAATGTTGAAGCGAAGTTGTCGCAACGGGATGATTTTTTAATCACTAATTGAAGTTAAACAGGCACTCCTGCTTTAACCAAGACACGCGCAATTACGCTTAGTAGAGTTTATCTTGCCTACCGTTTTGAGAACGAAGGATTTTGTTAAAGAAACATTCTCATCAACTCTGATATACTTTTGCTGACAGCAGCTTGTCATACAGTAAATGCAAATTTATGACCTAAGGAATGACCTAAAATGACACAAAACGACCTAAATGACCTACAATGACCTTGAGTGATTTCTAAAATGACCTTAGATAATCTAGTATGACCTTGTGGGATGTGAACGATGCAGTGTTGACAAAATCTGGATCGGACCGGCCGGAGCAGATCGGATTGTTCATTTCGGTTTGCGGATTTTACGTGGTTTAGCATTTGGTTTTCGGTTTTCGTCAAAAATTGAAACGGTTTTTTCCAAAAATTTTCCGCTTTTTTTCGACCTGAGCCTCCACTGATCTCGGACAGCCGCGAAACGCAAATGTTATTGAGAGGAATGCGTGACAAACCAAATGTCGCTAAAATAACCTCTAGTTGGTTGAATATCGTAGGAATCCGTAGGAGGTCATGCGTCTCGAATAAAATCCGAGACTCTGATCTTGCTATGTTGAGCACTAAGGTCGATCACTTTGCGAACTATTGCTTCCAACGTGCCTTGAACGCCAGCAACGGAAGAAGCTCAAGGACCTTAATTAAGAAGCAACAGTGGATTGTCTTGCGTTTTTCTTAATTGACTGATGAAGTCATACATACCTCCCGCTTCCCTTTGTCATAATCCTCCTTAACACTTCTCATTATAATAATAATAATGATAATAATAATAACAATAAATAATAACAATAACCAAAAAATAAAATAGAAAGCAAACAAACAAACAAACACACTCCACAAGAGAAAGAAAAGCTTTATTTTATTTTTATGACCGTTCAAATTCCTTAAATTTTAGTTTCAAATAAATATATCAATGTCTTTTGTAAAGCAGAATCCATTCCAAATTATTAATACAACTAATTTTTGGTATGTCATATGTTTTAAGTACTGATGCTTCCTATTAGGTTGCTGATAAATGTAATCAATTCATTGTAGCATTGAATTCCACAAAGTAACTACCATGATTGAAGTTTTATATCATGTTTTGTAATCTTGGTGAGTGTATTTACAAAAACAATTAAATAGATTTTAATTTGTCTTTCACCATGTATTACGATGTACCAAAAAATAATAGAAAAACATCCTGCAACTCATGACATAGTAATGAGTGATGGGGGAGTGTGCATGATGAGACCAAACAATGGCTACAAAGGAGATGACTAATTACATAAATGTATTTTAATCTGTAAAGCTTAACTAAATTTAAGCTTGCACAAGGAAATTTTGCTTCCATTGCCTGGTATATATTAATTTTTAATTAATATATTAATTTTTGCCCTAGATCATGGAACACTCCAAAGTTCTGCCTATTGTGGAATTTTTTTGTTTCCATACAATTTTTGAAAGGAGCCTTACAAAAGTTAAAAATCAAAGATTATTTTCACAGAAAACTGAATTCAATACCATGGAAACAAGCAGGCATACAACAAAGAAATTCACCAGCAAAGATAATTATCAAATGATTATATAAAAAAATCATATCAACTTTCAGTATGATCAATATTAAAGTTCATCTTTCAGTGACCTTTGATTTGATCGTCTTCATCTGAAGCAGTTCCTCTCTTTCCATCTCTGGCATTCTAGGTTTTCAACCAATAGAAATAAAGAATAAGCTGATCTGAATTACTAGTATTTAAAAATAGCAAGTATTTCATAATGCAGTATGAAATAACAGTTGCAAAGAATGTTCTTTTCTGCTATTGCATTTCCATGGCTCAGCTTTTTAGTTCTATTGTAAAGGGAATGATTTCATGGGCTGCCACCTTTAAATCATAGCTGAAAACATGCACAGTTTGTGATCAAACTGTTCTAAAAATGTACCCAATGGGGTAGGATTTGTATAAAAAAGTTAGAAAATAGCAAGATCATCAATATTAACATAGACTCAATTACTGTAATTTTTTAAGTTTATCACTCCCTGTAATTAAAGTTTTTTTTTTTAAATTTGAAATTTGTATGAATGTGCCAGCAACTTTAATTGTAATTGGTTCGATTGCCATCACAGTTAACTTACCCTGTGTTGTAAATGAACACTGCTGGGATCATGATGATTAAAGCAGAAATATTGAACCAGGAACTAGTGTGAAAGTAGGGATGCCACCGGAAGGGTTTTTCTTGAAACAACATCCAGAAAATGAATCCTAGGGGTGTACAAAGAGCCTAAAGATTGAAAGGAGAGAATATAAAAAGTAACTAATGGAGGTGAGTTGAGTGAAGTCTAACAGTCCATATTTGGTGCAAGGCACCAAACCTTGGTCAAAGTTTAGGGATACAGAAAAAAACAGGAACAAAAATGTCTGTTTTGAATGGTGTTATTACAATATCAAGGATTTTTTTCTCTAATTCACATGAAAAGTGTACATCAACTATGCCTGTCAAAGATACATGAGAAGTATACATGTAAAAAATGTACTCCATATCACAAAGAGTTCTTGTGATCTTTATGAATGATTCAGCAGTATTTCTGTAAGGAGATATTACATGCTGGTCACTTGCGGGCTTTAATGGGGTTGAGAAACTCACCATGACAATTGCAAGTAATGTTGCTCCCTCTGAATATCGAAGAAGCAATGCACAACCACAGACAACCATAATATAACCAGTGATGAACAAGAATGCCAGGACACCAGGAGACCATGAACATCCTACTCCACCAAATATGCACTGGATCCCAAAAATCCAACTGAATAAAATACACAGGAAAATATTAGATACCTGGTTGTGAACATATTTTCTGACACTGGTCTAAGAGAAGATCATGTGACTGAGGGAGTAGAAGAGCTGACATGGCCACTTTTTCAAAGGCAAGTTCACATTGGGCAAAAATTGTCTGGGTACATATGTGATTCCTCTGAAGGTCTAATGACCATTATACAACTGCTAAAAACACTATCAAATAAATGCTTACACTTCTATGAGTGTGTCAACCCTTTACACCCTAAAATCAGCATGTATATTCTCCACACTTTTCTCTGCACATCTCCTATTAACCTGTTAACCCCCAAGAGTGACTAGCATCATTTTTCTTCTTACAATATCACCCCTGAATCACACATTAAGGTCATGAGAATGAAGAAAATGATCACCAACTTAAGAAGCTCTTGATTGTTACACAAATTCTCCTTGTTAGCACCTTTGGAAATGTATACAGAACAGTATAGAGAAAATGCATAATGATGATAGGGAGTAAAGGGTTAACAAGGGGAATTTGACAAACAATCCAGGGCTTCTGTAGTTAGCGGTCATTCCTTTATTCTCATAACATAATTTGTTTGATTCAGAGGTGATACTGTAAGAAGATATTAGATGGCAGATTAAGTTAAAAATCAAAACTAAATTCTAAACAGCAAATAAAAAATTGCCCCTTTTTTAAATTTGCAATTTATTTTCAAAAGTTTTGTGCATTGCTTGGTAATTCCCAATTAATAATTATAATTTCCCATACTCACTTTTGAATAAATTCATGAAGGTTCCTGGTCTGTCCGACTCCAGGAATGATATCCACCCAGAGTAGAGGCAACAAAACAAGAAATTGTGCCAGTGATGTCCAAAACAGGAAAGATACTAAGCCAGCTTGAGTTTGATTGCTTCCTCGCAACTTAATAGCTTTTTCCTCCATAACAAAGGAAAGGGCTGAGATCCCCTTACAAAGAGAAACAAAATAAAAAAAAAACAAGAACAAATTTTCAGTTAGTGTTAATTACAGCTGTTTTGAGAGAGGTTGTCAAAAGAAGAGTAAAAGTGCAGATGACAACCCCAAAAGGTATTCATTTTGTGGGAGGTTTTCAGGTCATGGCTCCTTGACCACAGGATTTCAGGGAAATCTGAGAAACGTAATTGCAAGGTCCCTGTTTTCAACAAACTTTATTGAAATTTCTGTAAATAGTATTTGTTATACCTCAGGGGCAACAATTCAGGGGGTGAAATTGGTGTGAATTCTCTTTTCTTTCTATTCAATAAGCTCCTTTTCAACAAACACCATGTGCAAGCATTCATGCAAGAATCATGCTGTAGGCCACTCAAAGTTAGGAGAGGTGTCTCAAAGAGAAGACTATTAACCTCTTTCAGTTAACCCTTTAACTCCCAAGATCCATTAGTAATTCTCCTTGCTGTCTGCCATACAATTCTTGTGATATTAGTTGGGAGAATTTGGGATTTGATCAACTTATAATCCCCTAATTGATATTTTTCTTTATTCTCATCACTTGTCTACTTGATATTGTATTGATATTGTAAGGAGAAATTCTGTCATGGTCACTCATGGGAGTTTAAGGGATAAGAAAAAAAATTTAACATCTATACTAGGTGTGAAGAACATTATATGAAACACAACCCTGCTTCTGCCGTCATTTTTGCGATACATTTGCAAGGAGTGGTTTTACAAATGTCACCCCTCATATTAGCATTTAAATACTAATCTTGACTTACAAATCCAAGCATAAATGCTAAAGGCCATAAGACTCTTCCTGCACCAGTAGCTCCTCCAAGATGTCTTACAGCTCGAGGATCAATATGTGGGTAGAAAGTTGGAATAAGAGAGATAAAAAGTCCAAGGACAACTGCAACGGCAGATAATAACTTTCTCCTTGTAGGAACCTTCTTTAAAAAGAGGTATCTGTTGTGAGAAGGAAAAAATAAGAATGAGGTCACACAGGCCAAGGAACAACATTTAAACTAGGTAAGAAAACCTGTGGCCAGTCATCCCTTGTTTTCCTCTAGTGTAATATGAAACATAACAATGTTTTTGCCCTGAATATGATTAGTTATTCTCCTTTTTCTTTCCTGCTTTTTGTATGTGCCTACCATCAACTGCTATCATTAGACAGAGGCAAAAAGGAACACCTCACAAATCTCACCTTTTCTTGCCTTTCTGTAAAATTCTTAGGACACTAATTAATTTTGGACCTACTTATCCATCATGTTAAAACCCTTTACCACCTTCTTGATAGTTAAAGAGCTTAAATCACTTTTGGAATGAACCCCATCAACATAGTCTGGCTTGTTCTATTAACACACCAAGCTTTATGTTGAGAAAATATATCGATGGAGCAATGTACTGTCTGTGGTTTCTCCTGATACAGGCTGATCTTTGCTCTGACCTACTGACTTCACCACAGGAGAAATTAACAATGTTTTTGCCCTGAATATGATTAGTTATTCTCCTTTTTCTTATCTGCTTTTTGTATGTGCCTACCATCAACTGCTATCATTAGACAGAGGCAAAAAGGAACACCTCACAAATCTCACCTTTTCTTGCCTTTCTGTAAAATTCTTAGGACACTAATTAATTTTGGACTTACTTATCCATCATGTTAAAACCCTTTACCACCTTCTTGATAGTTAAAGAGCTTAAATCACTTTTGGAATGAACCCCATCAACATAGTCTGGCTTGTTCTATTAACACACCAAGCTTTATGTTGAGAAAATATATCGATGGAGCAATGTACTGTCTGTGGTTTCTCCTGATACAGGCTGATCTTTGCTCTGACCTACTGACTTCACCACAGGAGAAATTCTTGATCTCTTAAGAAGAAATAATCTCATTGGTAAATACCAATATCATAGTGGCATCTAAAACATTTGGAATTCAGGTTTCAGGAGTTCCACTTTCCCCCTCCTCTCTTGACAAAAACTGCTGGCTGCAGGTACCCCTGAATAACAACTTGAGTGTAGTCAAAACAGATTGAGAAATATTTACCTCAATAACAGTGTTATAGGAATTGAGAAGTTTCCAAGGATAGCTTGTAGATAAGGCGGAGTTCTCTCTCCACTACTAGAAAACACAATAAATACTGCAGCAAGTCCTTGAAAGAAACCAACCGTTAAAAATACACGGCGATGATTCCAATCTGTCTTGTGGATTGAGTATTGCTTAAAAACAAAGATATTAATAACTAAGGTAGAACCAAACACAGTCACAAAAACAGATGAAGCAAAAGATAAAACGAAGAAGCTGTCTATTGTTGGTGTCCACTCAACAGTTTGGTTCTGGGATGAAGTCACATTCTTGGTACTGTCGATCCACATCGGTAGAGTGACATATTGCGTAACTTGACCGATGACGACCACAAATGCATACAAGAGAGTCGCTATACTGCTCAGTGACAACCAAGGTGTGTTCTTTCTATGCTGGATCCGTAGATCGTTGCTGAGGAGATAAGTGCTTGGCTCTGTGGTAGTGTTTAGCAGAGGTTCATAGTCTCGGCGAGAACTCTTCATCGCATCGGAACAATCTTCGGTGTTCAGCGACATTTTTAAGCCTGGAGCAGCGTGAAAATAAAAGGTTCAACCTTAAATGGGTTCTGTTGCCACAAAATTTTGATTTTAAAGAGCATAAAACGTGTTCTCGTTGCAAAAACAGAAACAAGGATAATTCGATAATGATGGATTCAGTTCATGAAAACAACAGTGCAGTTACATCAGACCAAATAGGGAGAAAGTAGACCACGCGACTACTGGTGGTGGAATTGTTGTGAAAAATAGAATTACCAAATCCTTAAAAAAATTTTACACGGGGAACGGAGAAAGAAGAACGGAAAACGAAGAACATAGGACATAGGAAGGAGAACGAAGAACGGCGAACGGGAGTCTGAGACCAAGAAGTGCAGCGGTAATCCGCATGAAAAAAAATTAAGTGGAGGATGACAATACAGTATAAATGTCTGGCACCAGTTTTCGAACTCAGTCGCTAGAATAATCAGACTAAAAGGTAAATTAATGAAATTTATTGAAGGAAACCAAATAGAGATGTTTGTTTTCGAGTCTCAGGGTTCTGAAAAACTTTCTGAGAACGCTGAAAATCATGTACATTTTTTGTCAAAGAAGAGCCGCTGGTGCTACAAACCGAGTGTTCTCTCATTATAGACAGTTTGATGAGCTATATTACAGGCTTCTCTATCATCCCACTTTGAACTATTAAAATGAATTCGCTTGGCCTTCCTTAGAATCTCATGGCATATTCTTCTTATCTTTCAGTCCTTTCTGCATCCACTAATGTTATTTCTTGTGCCCTTAAAAAGAAAAAGAAATCAAAGGAAATAAGAGAACAAAAAGGGAAATCATTGTTCGTGCGGTAAAATAGCAGTTTGTTAAAGACCTCCTTTTCAAAATATGGGCGCTAAATAAGGCTTTTGTCAGATTGTGGTAATTATCCTTCAAACATTTTATAAGGCGTGTTGCCACTCAACGCCAAAGCACAGAGAAAAAGCCATACACACAGGTTACTCTTAAACTAATTCTCACCCCTTGAAGTAGATTACAGCAGCAGAAAACATAAACACCAGAGCAGCTATGCCAAGCTCTGCACTGAGCCAATGATCGGGTTTCTTCACTTGCCACTTGCGTGATACCTCACTGAACAGAGACCATACAATAAATCGCACTGGTATAGAAAGTGACTGGAGGAAAAACAACAAACCCGTCAGCAAAGTATTATTGGGATAATTAACGAGGGACGATGTAAATTTGGGGTGCATAGCTAAAGGATAAGGCTACAGTCATTTTTTAAAGGACAATTTTTTTATTAATTCATGTAGACTATGCCTTCATACCCCATATATACCTTTCCGCAGGTAAAAGTCGTGCAAATTGCAACAAGGCAAATATCTACTCCTTACAGACCAACTAAACAGTTTAATTGAATAGGGGTGGAGGCAATGACAGGCTTTCCATTTGATTGTTTTCGTCATTTCCTGATTTCGCTTGCTGAGAGTTTACTGGGTGTCTCTGTTAAGTAGAGTGTGCCAAAACTCGGCAAACGAAATTAAAATGTCATGATTACTAACTCGAAAGCGTTCGGCCGCTTAAAAAAATCGGCACAAATAGTTTCCAGCAGAAATTGTAGTGACAAAGAACCGCAAAAATTTAATCTCGCAAAGTGGCATCGCCAATACTAAAGGTAAAATTCCCGCAAAGATCCCATGCTACTGATAAACTGAACAGCGCTTCCCCATTGGAAAAGATTACTACACAGTCTGGAAAAGAGCTTGGACTATGAATAATGGCGTTAATTTCTAAAAAATTGCTAAGAATTTGAGTTCATCGACTATTTCTTACCATTATGATAGCCAGCCAAGTGGCTCCCTCAGCGTGTCTCAGAAGATTAGCTCCTCCAACAAAGGATAAAACGTTCATGAAAATAAAAAGAGTCCCTTCAATGCCTGGTGTGGCATCACAGCCTGCTGCCCCGAAAAAACATTTAGCTCCACACCGCCATCTGAAAAATAGGGAGATGAAATGATTATCTGTGGACGTAGCTCTTGGTGATGAATCGATCTGATTGTTTTAGAGAGGGACGCAAGTTTCCAAGAGCAACTGCGGTGCAGAGTTAGGCCAGACCAATGCGGACCAAGTTAGATCTCCGCAAAGAGAAAAACTACGCTAATATTCCCAAGCGATTATGTTATAAACAAAATACGCAGAAAAAAATCGCAAGAGTTTCGGAAAAACAGTTTTAAGGTAAGCCTGCTGGTACACGTACTTTTCTCCAAAGTCTTGAATTGAACAAGCATTCCCAAACCATGGGATGATATTCACCCAAAACATCAATCCAGTACAGACCAGCTGGTAAAAGGATATCCAACAAAAAAAGTAAAACAAGTTGATTCCTCTTCGTGACATCTCGTTTTGTTTTTTCACTGCTTTTTCCTCCAGCACGTTCATGATGGCCGCTGGAACCTGACAATGGAAAGAAAATGGAAAATGAAAAATCTGCTGACTCGGTGAATTGGCAAACGCTTACAAGATGTTGGTATACTTGCTAGAAAAAGGCATATTGTAGAGAGTAACGCCTTAACATTTTTAAGCTAAAGTAGGAGCCATTGTTTAACGTCAACTATTATAATAAGTAAACAAGAAACAGACGAGCAGGTTTATGAAACAACACTACATATCTGACATACTGATTCCTATAATTTCCATCAAATTAGGCTGTCGCTATGTTCCTAACATTCCTCTGTCCCTCTGTTCCTACTGTTCCTCTGGTCTACTCTGTCACTGACTTATTATTGCTTTGTCCCTGAATTGCTTTTGTCCCTATGTTCTTTTTTGTTCCTCTGTCCCTCCTTCCTAACCTACCGTTCCCTTCTTCCTCTTCCCTTTTTGCTACAGTTCCCGGATAAGCCACAATAGACCTAATTAGCTTGTATGTTTTGTTTACCCATTTCAGGTCACGTGATAATACTCTGGAGGACTGCTTCTTTCAAATTTCTTTCTATTTTTGGGCATACGTACGCGTCACTAAAAGCTAAAGCTCGTAATTCTCAGGTAAACAAAACATACAAGCCAGAAAGGGCTGTTGCGATCTCCAAATACTCTTCGCAGGTGAGTTAAACTTCTTTCGGTAAACCCCTTACTACTGAAAGAAATGTCTGGCGGCTAAAACGAGAATATAATCATCAGATCTCGGATCGACTGACGCAGGTCACAAGACAGAGACATGACTTAAATGGGTTTGCACGTACGGACAGCAACGATACCGATAAAATAAAAATAAAAAGTACTTACAAAGCTTATTGCAAAAACCAAAGGCCATAACACTTTTGACTGGGTATCCTCTTTTGACGTTTGATCGAAATCCGCTTTTAGCGTCGGATAACTTATGAGTGGAATGAGTCCGAAAACCACAGGAACAATTGTGACAACCCCAGCGCACAGTAGTTTTCGACAAGTTGGCTTCTTTCTCAAAATCAGGCGCCTTAAAAAAAATGATATGGACATTTGATTGTAGTGAGATCAGGTATCGCTCTTACGCAAGGCAGTCAACTTCAATTAGATCATGTACGTCGGCCATGCATTGCACTGCTAATTGTGAGGAGTAAAAGAAAAGAAAAAAAAAATGAAAGTGAACCATCATAAGACAAGGTTAAACAAAATGTAGTAATTTTTTGATGATGGGCAGATTAAGCCGATCCGCTAACAATGATAAAAAATAATGATTACAAAGATGCTGTGACAATGCCGCGTTATGTATAAATGGGGTAAGTTCCTGAAGAAACTGTGGTGTTGCGTCAGACGGGAGTATAACCAGATAATTTGGTTTTATCATCTGAGTTGATAATGTCGAAGGGCTAAGCTCGAACCGTCAGCTTTAAAACTCTTTACGGGGGCCAATTTACATTATCAACTGAGTTGCTCAAACCAAACCGCATCGTGGTTCTCATGTAATCAAGGTCATGTCGCTATTCTTGTGCTTCACGTGAAACATGTGACAAATCCCGTGACACAACTTTGCGTGACGCGTCTTTGCCACATTCACTAAGGGACTTGTGGGGTCATGATCGGTTATGAAAAAAAACAATTTGATTACTAGAAACGATCAACGAGTTCTACCAGAATTCTATAATCAAGAGTCGATTATCAAGATTCTTACTCCGCTTTTACTTGCTTGGTCCAAAGCAATGATTAGCTGATAATAACCCCTTGTAGCAGCAGTGGTTCGGAAGCATTTGACCCACCTGAATAGAACTGTTAAAGGGATCGTCAAAGTCCCTAGAATGATTTGGAGATATAACGGCGTTCTTGTTGTGCCAATAGCAAAAACTGCAAGTGCTTCGTTCAAAGCACTACAGAGCCCAATCAAAGATAAAGAAAATTGTGGAAAGCTTTTCTCATTCTCGCCAAGATGTCGGGGAAAAACGATTCGAATGAATAAAGCCCCCAATCCAAAGATCACGAAAGAAGATAGACTACCAAACGATAGTACAAAGTAACTGTCTATCACTTGGCACCTCTTTGTCGATTCTTTGGAGGAGCTGAGCCAATAAAGATGCAACGATATGTCTTGGCCAACATCACCGACTACCACAACAAATGCAAATAGGAGATTTATCCAAAGGAGATCGAATTCCCAAGATCCAATATTGAAAACTCTCCGCTCTTCGTAAGGAGGTGGAGGTGTAGGACAGAACGGTCGGTCATTGCTGCTCGTTGATTCCGTGAATTCAGACTCAAATTGATCTGTACTTTCCGTGGAGCCGTACATGACAGTCTCTTGATCCAGCGATTGAAATCGAATCACGTCCGAGGCTATATCTTATGCGGATCTATTTCCTTCCGATTAAAAGCGGAAGTTTTCTTTCTCAAGGAATTTCCCAATAACGTGTTGTTCAATTGTGGCTAATCACGAGTATTGTGATTTGGGAGCGTTTGACCATAATAATCATTACACTTAGATCTTCAGAATAGGTCTGGAAAAGGACGAAATAACTTCTGCAGATGTCATCGACATATTCTCGTCTGACGCTCATATAATTAGGTGCAACTGAAGCATGCGCACGGCACACTAGTTGGAGAGGCTAAATTTGACGCTGGACTTTGAAGTGCAAACTCTGAGTTTCTTCTGATAAAGAACTCTTCGTTCCTTTATTTCCCCTAAAATATAATTTACCCCTTCTCTCCTTCGAAAAAATGCCTCATATTTTAACAGTAACTACAGAGGTTGTGCGGATAGAGAAAGGGAATATTCTATCGTTTTTGGTAACCAGAAATCAGGAGGCCGTGAAAAATAGAAGCTAAGAAAGTAACTTGGGAAAGCTAGCTAGATATATAACGAAAGAAAGTCAAATTCTTTTCGAACAACTTATAATCTTGTGGGTTTTTTTTTTAAGCTTACAAAAACTCTTCTCTCTCATCTGTCAGCGCTGTCTTTGTTTCTAAAAGCAGAACTGACGTCATTGTTCCGGTTATTCTCTGAAAAAGGGGGATCCATTTAAAGAGGTTATATGCAAATCACGTGTAACGCAGTCCATCCGTGAATTCTGACATGGGAGTTCTGCATGTTTCAATTAACTCATTTAGTTATTACTTTATTCATAACGCCGGACGAAAGAAGGATTTACTGTCCATGATTCTCGTGTGCGTTCTACCTACCCTTGAAAGTATGTGAATAATTTTAAGGTGTATTTGACGTGCCAAGAAACTGATAATACAACATCAATACGATTGTGCAGGGGAAATTTATTGATTACACTTAACGCTGACCTTGGAAAGCAATTTTTTCTATGTTTTAAGAACAACACATGCAGTTATACATATGTTATAAATTCTCCGTAACCTCTTTTTTAATCAATTGATCGTCATCTCATCTGCACCAAATTGTAGTCTGCTCGAGCAAAATTAATCGCTTTAAAATCATTGTTTTTTCAGTTTTTGATCAATTTTACTATCTCTGTATGTTAAATTGGCCTTTCTACTTTGGTGTTTAAAGAAAATCTTATAACGGTGTGTGAAGAAAGATTCATTCTCCATACTAATTCCTACTCTGGAAAAATTTGACATGCTATGTCTGCTATTAATCCATTATATTATCCCTTTTTTCGGATAAACTGTATTGGGTGCTGTTTACAAGAAATCTTGTGAAACAGCCTCAAGGTTTTTGTCCCTTTGTCTTACATTTGCAATGATGAAGCGCGGGTCTAATGAATACAGTTTTTTTCATAAGTCCTTTAAGTGTAAGAGCTCGGAGGATGTCTGCCCTCTGGGACAAGAAGTCGGTTTGATCCAAATGTTGACTGATACCGGTCAGTAGAATCGGGGTGATAAAACTTCTCACTTTGATTCCCGTTCATCGAAATCTCTGGTGCACTAAAGTGAAAAATAAGAAGAAAGACATTGTTAGAAACTCGTGAAAGGATTCCTTAATGTGCTAAATTATCAAACAAATCATCAATCAAGAACCAGGGGTTTTGGTTCCGCAAATATTTATGTCGTTACATGATGAGGGTAGGGGGACAGGGGGGAAGGGGCAGGCACAGGGGGGGAGGGAAAGGAACAAGGGGGAAGGGGCAGGCACAAAGGGGAAGGGACAGGCACAGGGGGGAGGGGGAGAAGAATCGAATTTAGTAACCTACGTTTAAATAACTGACCTACGTCCATGACAAGGACTGCTTTGATTGCTTTTCATATCCGCTGCCCTCTGATAAACGCCGCGTTAAAAACGCTAAAAATCCAGAGGACGACACAGCATTTTATTCTATAGATACGGTTGATATCTTTCCTTACCCCATGTTGTAAACAAAAATGGCGGGAACCATTATCGCTAACGCGCCGATACTGAACCAGGTGCTCACGTGACCTGCAGGGTGCCATTTGAATGGTGATTCGTCGAACAACGTCCAAAAAATGAATCCCAGCGGGGTGACGAGTGACTACAGGATATGTAAATAAAATTGCGTCATCACCAGTGTTTACTTGTGAGGAGTTTTTCCTTACTGGCTACTTTTTAGTTTATCCATTTATCTATCCACTATCTATTTAACTAATCCCTCCTATCTGCTATGAGAGTCTGCCTCTTATACCACTCCCTGGAGTAGTGGTGTTGTATGGCGCTGGGTATGGCCTCATTTAACTCCGTGATAGCTCTGGATAGTCACGTACATCTTCTCAACCTACCATATGTGAAACTCAAACCGGTGACAACATTTTCACTCGCATTAATATTCCGCGCTTCAAAAATGTGCTCGTTTTGACTTTGGGCTCTCACTTGTCCCTGGTAACTTTTATCATCGTTTTGTTTGGCTGTTTGTTTAATTGTTTTTATCTTACGGCACACAATCAAAGTATACTCGTACTCGAATGCACCTGTTCTACAAATGTTGAGCATTTGATTTAATCTGCATGTCTAGCTAGACGAGAAAAATGCCTAGAGCATGAGTATCAAATAGTTCACTTACCGTGACAATAGCCAGCCAAGTGGCTCCCTCGGCGTGTCTCAGTAGATTGGCTCCACCAACATAGGATAAAACGTACATGAGAATAAATATAGTTCCTCTGGTCCCTGAAGTGGAGTCACAACCTGCGGCGCCAAAGAAGCATTGAACTCCAAACCACCAACTAGAAATAACACATAAATTCGGTTGAGTAAAAGGTTTTGCAATCGGTCTCTGGCTAGGTCAGCATTTTGAAGATGTGACAGGTCAAGACTTAACTCCCAAACTGCCACTCTCCACTCAAGAATATTTATTAATGGATACCGACAAACAATCTGAGCAAGTTATCAAGGGGCAACCCGAAAAGCACGAACTTTCCAACCACAGAGAGAGGCAGTTATTTTGGTCGCTTCAGAACCGGGGTGAATCAGTAGATTTGCAAATAAGCCTGGCATAAAGTTTTATGATGTCAAATCTTGTTTCAGTTAAACAGCTATTAAGAAAAAAGAGAGAATTCAACGAAAACTCACTTTTCCCCAAACTCTTGGATATTGCTAACATTTCCATACCACGGCAGAATGTCCAACCAAAACAAAAGTCCCACACAGAGTAGCTGATAAGAAGACGTCCAAAATAGGAAATACAACAAGTTGATGCCTTTCTTTGAGGATTGACTTTCCATCTTCACTCCCTTTTCTTCGATCACGTTCATAACGGCTGCTGGAACCTAAAGAGTAAAACCAAATATATCAGCGAGACCCACTGACAACCAAGATCGGCCGAGAAATTCTCTTTTCTAGTTGTTACACATTTTCTTGTGAAACAGCCAAGAGAATTTGATGATAAGTTTGTGTATCTTCATCACCTGGGCTGAATACCGCTTTTTAAAATTCGAGATGACGTTACATAATTAATTGTGGTCGACAAAGGAGTGAGGGGTATAGCACATACCATTTAAGTCAAATTATGATCTTGTTAAGCTAGCGAGAATCAAACCATTTTGCATTGCTCGCCTAGATAACAGAAAATTGAAATAGTACTATTGCAATCCGACTTTTTTTGACGTTGAGTCCCACTTACGAAGCCAAGCATGAAAATTATGGGCCACATTACTCTGGAAACACCCTGAGCATCGTTTTTTCTTTTTTCGGCTTTGGGATCAACTTCGGGAAAAATTGTTGGGATGAGGCAAATGAAAAGACCAACAACCACGATGACGCCACAGGACAACTTCAGCAGGGTGGGCTTCTTTCGAACAATCAGCAACCTTCAGGAAAAAAAATCAACAGCAGTGTTGATGAGTAATAGGGCGCGCGGAGGGTGGGGGGTGTAGAGGGAGAGGGGGGTGAGGGGGAGGGGGTGGAGGGAGGGCGGAGGTGTTATTCTACGCTATATATTCTGATATTGCGAAACCTATTTTTGAAGTCCAAAATTCCTTGTTCAAATTGATTGCCAGGAGATAGTTCAAATAAAAGCTTCACATTAAATTTCTGTGGAAATAAGTCCTTGCGACAGTTCCCTTCCAGCAAATTGTGCCTTGTTCGAAACAAATCAAACCAGTACCAGTTTTTTCGTGTCATCGCAAGGAATTAACAAAACAAAAAAAAGGTCACATAAGCTAGTACTGAAATGCAATACAAAGGAAAACTTGTCACACCTACAACTCGATAATACTTTGATGATGCAGCTGAAGATGGTAAATATTTGAAGCCTTCACATATGGACATTCTTATCCTAGAAAAATGCAGTTTGTGACCACAGACCTATAAAGTCTCCTAAAAGTAAGTGGAAGAACAACCGAAACCCCAGTCGAGAGCTCTCGAAGTTTTTTTGTCCGAGTATGCCTGTGTCATTAGCTGGATTGCATCATCTTTCGCTTCAATTATGCTGTTGCACAATAGCGATTATCAGGTGTGCGTTACAGCCAACTGCATAGCGTTCTGTCTCCCTTTAATTTGGACAGGAAGTCATCAAACTCAATTACAGAACATTTACTCACCTGAATAAAATAGTCAAAGGGATCAGGAAGTTTCCAAGAATCGCTTGAAGGTATGGCGGTGTTCTTGACCCTTTACTCGCGAATACAACCAGAGCTCCGTTTAAAGCGTCACACAGGCCAACCAAAAAGAGCAGAAGGTGTGGAAAACGTTTTTCCGTTTCTCCGAGATGTTGAGGCGAAAAGATTTTAACGAACAACGTTCCCAGTCCAAATATTATGACAAACGACAAACTCGCAAAAGACAGCACAAAGTAACTGTCGACTGATTTTCCCGAATGATTTCCATTTACGGAGTCGATCCAGAGTGGAAGCGACACATTCTGACCGACTTGGCCGGCTACGGCGACAAAAGCAAATAACAAGTTTGCCCAGAATAGACGAATTTCGCAAAATCCAACCTTAATCTTTTTCGATTTTCCATAAAGGGAGACAGGGCGAGATGGCACGAAATCTTTGGATATGCTTGACACATCATCGTCTTCATACCCCTGAGGAGAGCTTCTGGTAAAATCCATTTTTGAACAACTGACAGGTGGTTGAAGGCGCAGTATTTACTAGAAAAGCTTTCCCACAGGTTTTAAGAGACGGTTTTATCTCTTGCCTACGGGGTAAGCTTCCGTGTCGTCGGCTTTGGGAGAACGTTTGGATGTGAAACTTATTATTGCAGAACCCATAACATACCAATATATGACGTCATTTTAACGAGCAATTGTGGTAAATAATTGGGGCTTGGGCACTGGTGTTTCATTTCAAATAACTTTACATAACCCATAGGTTGAGGCAACGAAAGTTATTAAGAGAGGATGTCAGCATCCATCGAACAAATTTGAAATATTGTGGCAAGTCGCCCAAAATTCGTTTTCTCTCTCTTTATTTTTCGAGAAATTTTATTTTTCGTTCAGCCGCTCAAATATGCAAATTTTCACCCTGAATATTACCCAAGTTGTGTGACCTTATGTAACGAATTTACTTGACATCCGGAATTTCTGTCGGCATAATCCTTTGTTTTATCATCTAAACTTAATTCCCCTGTCATTATTGAAGCTGGCAAAGAAACATTTATCTTTTGGTGAATATTTTTGTCCGACATACTTTTTCTATATCGAAAAGTAGCATCAAAACAAAGACAGTTTTAACAATGACCGATATTACAGAATCTACTGAGCTTCTAGCTTTTAAAAGACAAAAGGATGGTTATAAAGTTACTGTAAAAATTTCCTTATGTATTTGTGTTGTTATATCGATCGTGAGACGAACTTAAAGTCCGGCAAAATTTACTTTCTAGCGACTATGAAATATACATGGTGTGTCTCCTTGTCGCCACCGTTTACTGGCATAAATCACTATAGTTTGTAAAGAAATCTAAAATAACCTCTAACCTTATTTATTTATGATTTTATTAGCTGTTTCGGTGATCAAGTTATGCTCTACCATATTTTAGCCAGATTTAATTTACAGTTTGTGAACCTTCTCCACATTATTGTATCAGTTGCATGACAAGCGTGACACATAAATTCAAAGATGAATCAACCTCCGAATTACCAAGAGATGGGTTTTTTCCTCTCTTTTCATAACTATAAAAACCTTCCAAGAATTGCTTTATTCTGAAAACTAAAATGTCCAGACCCATCAATGATTCCTTTGCCGACGGAAGTCAAAGAATGTTTACAAAAGTCAATTCGATTGACAAGCTACACACCGTTTAACCGACTGATCTGTTGTATAAGCGTCTCATCTTACATGCTAATAAAGAGATTTGTTGTTCATTTAAATCGTTCGCTTGTAGGACTTTTGGGTATAAATATCGAGAAGACCGACGTTGCATATCTCAGGTCGTTCCCTTGCGTAGTTGTAAAAAAGACATTTTAAGTTACCTGCGGAGATCCAGAAACTGAAGTTGACCTTATTTTTGTTTGACCTTATTTTGTCGCGAGCCGCATCATCGAGAAGCCAAAAGATATCGATGATTTTACAGTTTGCCCTACTCATAGATCAAATCTCGGTACCGGTGTTGGGTGGATTCGTGGTTTCATTAGTAGTTGTAGAGTGCCTAAAGAAGTGTACGACCATGGTAAAGGTAGGGTTAAGTCGATTCCAAATGCCTATTAGGGCATTGGCAAGCGTGCACCACAGATAGTACGCAAGAGGTCTGGAAAATTCATGTAACCTGGCTACTTACCACCTTGTGCAAAATTACGCGTCCCGTCAGACTTAGGCCTTGATCAGGCGTTGGTAAATAGGCTACCAAAAATTCAGACAGAGGCGGAGTTTTCTATACTAATCGGAGCACTTTGTAGGCTTCCCACCGTCTGGCGGGACGTAATTAAGCACACAGTGGAAAAGGTACCTGGCTCATCCGTGTGGGAGTGGCAACAACTGATATTTAAGCACAAAAAAATTGAAAAATCCCAAAAATAAGAACTCCTTTATCGATGTGCTCCAGAGGCTCACGTTAGATCATTAAAATCATCCTAGTAATGCTTATTTCAGGCATTTTATTGAGCGAAAAACACCCCAAAAGGTACCAGCTGGGTATCTGGTAGTCCACTAAAGTTTGAGACACCGTAAAAGGTACCAGATCACTGATTTTGACCACTGAAAGGTACGACAAGCATCCTCAGCCATTTCCGATCGCCTCCTCCCCCCTTCCCCACCAACCCTGTCAGCACCTAAAAACAAAAGATGTGATTTGCCAACTACGAGCTGTCAGTCTCACCTCGTAAAATTCACGTGAACTGATTATTTTCTTATAAAAATTTTTAGGCACTGATCTGTCAGATTTTTATGCTGACAAAATCTGTCCTGCTTCGAGGCAGGACGGCTGTACTTTTTTTTGTTTTGTTCGTCTTGACATAATTTGATAGGGATTTAATAACTGTACGTCTGCATTTGTTAAACAGACTATTCAAGTGCATCCAGAACTCGATGCGTGCACTTCTAGTGCATTAAGTATTCTTTTGTAATATAGCCAAAGATCTTGCGATGTCTACTGTTCAAGCCGTTTTTTCTTTTCAAGGAGGCATCGACCGCATCAGAGACCCCTCCCCCCATCAAAAATGTAATGGTCCGTCCATAAGGTACTTTTTACATTATTTTAAGATGGGTTTCGTTCCGGAACGAAATGAATTTCATACTGCGTTTACATGCAAGATAATTTAGCATGTAAAAACAAGTATTTACGTCCTTTTTCTATGCTTCCCTCGCTCCTAAAGAGGATTCATACAGATATGAGCGTCGTACTGCGTTTACTTTATACAGAAGGTCGTCCAGAATAAGTGTTTCGTTCTGGAATGAAAACCTCAATAAACTCTTTCAGAAATGACTCGTTTCGAATAATTTTACTCTGGTATCATGTGGCAACCGGGATGAACTCGTTCTTGAACAAAACTCATCATGTAGACTTCATGTACAAGGCCCCTAAGAGTTTTATTCCCAAAGCATCACGCTCTGCTCTGCTCTCCTGCCAGAACACTATAAATTTCAATAGCTTTAAAGCAACGACCCGCTTTGAGCTGCTACGCTGCTACTGAAACAACGATAAGTGACCACAAAAGTAACATATTGTAATATTGTCCATTGAACATAAACAAAATCTTCATACAGGGCAAATATTTATTTCTGTTGGTAGCAATTATTGCGTGACCAGCTTCTGATATAAATGGGATAGGGGAAAATAACTTTTAACCTGGGCTCCCGGCAAAAAAAAAAATATTCAAGCTTAATATAATAGCCGAAACAGCTTATTGGTCTTATAAAATCATAAATAGGAGTGTTATGTTAGATTTTTTTCACAAATTGTGGTAATTTATGCCTCGATATGCCAATAAACGGTGGCGACAAGTAGGTGCTAACAAGTAAATTTTTGCCGGACTTTGAGTTCGTCTCACGTTATAACAACACAAATACACAAGGAAATTTTTACAGTAACTTTATAACCATCCTTTTGTCTTTAAAAGCTAGAAGCTCAGTAGACTCTGTCATATCGGTCATTGTTAAAACTGTCTTTGTTTTGATGCTACTTTTCGACATAGAAAAAGTACGTCGGACAAAAATATTCACCAAAAAATAAATGTTTCTTTGCCAGCTTCAATAATGACAGGGGATTAAGTTTAGATGATAAAACAAAGGATTATGCCGACAGAAATACCGGAGGTCAAGTAAATTCGTTACATGAGGTCACACAACTTCAGGGTGAAAATTTGCATATTTGAGCGGTCGAACGAAAAAACTAATTTCTCAAAAACTAAAATATGTTTTCACAAAAAAACCACACCACAATTATTCGGACATATTGGGCTACAAAATATGAAAGTAGGAGAGAAAACGAATTTGAGTGACTTGCCGCTGTTTGTCTGATGCATGTTGACATAAGCTCTTAAAAGAATTGAAAATTTGAATTTCGAGTGTGTATTGTATGTGGTCTTTTTTAAATGACGGCGTGCGAAATATCTCCTTAAGTATTCTGTGCGACTGGAAGCGATGAAAACGATTTGGAAATCGAATTCATCAACGAAGACAATTTGCCTTTGGCTAGTATTAGTGTTTTGGAGCATCCCGAGTCGGAAGAAGAGATTGACTCCGATGATTTGGCATCATCTAGTGGGGACTGGTCAGAAGAACTGGAAAGTGAAGAAGATAAATACCTAGAGCACGGAGAAGTAGTATTGGCATGGAGCGATGAAATAACAAGAAAGGATGATATTGATTTCCTTGGACTCGTGGGATTGGCAGCAAATGTAAACATTAGATCTTTGACGCCAAGCAAAGGGTTTTTTGATGTTCTTCACTGCTCAGGTATGGGAGTGGCTAGTTTCTCAGACTAATCTGTATGCAAATCAGAAACGAGGAGCTGCAGAAAAGTCTGTGTGGTATCCAGTGTCTGTGGAAGAAATGAAAGGTTGGGTTGCTAAATATCCCTTCCCACTGGAGTGCTGACCCCATGCTGTCCACCCCACTGTTTGGTGCCACTATGTGAGGAAAAAGATTTCTTCAGATTCTGTGCTATCTTCTCTTTGCTGATAATTCCCTAACTCCCAGGCCTGATTCACCAAATTTCAACAAATTATACAAAATTCAGCCTCTGCTGAATTTGATTATACAAAGCTTTAGGGAAGTTTATAGTACCGAGAGGCAACTTGCTGTAGATAAAACCTTGATCAAATTCAAAGGGAAAGTTCATTTTAGGCAATTCATCCCCATAAAACTAAGCAGGTTTGGAGTCAAGGCCATTACACTGGCTGAATCAACCAGAGGCTATGTTCTAGGGAGCAAGGTATACACTGGAAAGGAAGCCAATGTAGTCCAGAAAGATCTATGAAAAAGGGCTGTTATGTCATTGATGGAAACTTTCCTTGACAAAGGCTACTACGTGTTTATGGATAACTATTACATTTCTTTTGGATTATTTGAGGAACTTGAGAGAAAGACAACTCTGGCTTGTGGCACTGTGAGGTCCAACAGGCTATAACTGCCCAAAGACATTTGTGATGTGAAGTCAAACCAGGTTAAAAGTCTGCCGGGAAAGAAGAGAGTCCCTTTACAGACAGAAAGTACTTTGACTTGCATGACAAAACCTGACAGTTTCTCAGGAACTGTATCCACAAGTGAAGATGATTCATGGAACATGACAGAAGCAAAAACACCCTGGTATGGTTAGCCAGTTCCCCATGGGGGTGTTGATATCCACAGAGAAAGTGAAGATGATTCTGGTCAAGAACACTTTCACCACCTGGTGAGCTATGACAAAAGATCTACTTGCAAGGTTCACCTTCAGCATGTTTAATACCCTTTATAGCTGTACAGTGTGTGGAGTACACAATTGCCTGGAGCCCTGTTTTCTCAGGTATCACATATTGAAAGACTACTATTTCAATGATGAAGATCGTGAAGGCCCTAGATGTCTGAAAGAAGGAAGAACATGTAAAGAAAATCATGATGGTGGAAGTAAAAATAACTAAGGCAAAGTGATATATGAGACAATGAAAGTGACTTACTCTAAGACTTTCTCAAAGATGATACATCAAAATTTTGTTACTCCTAAGATAATTCATGTCCTCACAATAAGCCTGATGGGTCAAATTTGTGTGCAGAGAAGTTTTATTAACCCCTTAAAATTATATTTTCAATGTTTGAATGTCATGATTTTGTAGATCTGAAATATATTTGTTACAGCATTCTTTCAATTCGTTCTGCTTGAAATGTTCAATAATTATGCTTATTATGCATGTCGTGTCGTCATTATATGATATGTATCCCATAATAAGCTTGACAAGTTGATAGAAAATTTTCTACTGGTTTTGAATATATATGGTCATATGGGGCTTTATTAAAAGAAATTAATCCACAACTGGTTTTGTCAACATCAGTCAGCTTTCTCCAAAACAATAACATATCCGTGGTATGTTAAGGGTTTAGTAAGTTGCGTCATAGTTAAAAATATCGCGGACTCTCCACGTGTTGAGCAATAATTTAGAACGAACAAAGTGTAACCCCTTTCGGCTTTACTTTTGTCATAAAATAAACTCTCACAACTTGTTGCCTCACTATTGAACTCACAAGATACCGTCAATTTCTGCAAAACATGAAAATACGTCTTCAGAGACAGAAACAGAGACATGGCTTATTCCCTGTAATACTGGGGTGTCCATGACAACTTATCAGCATCATCGGAATGTCTCTCGCTCGTAATTATATGTCGGAGGATAAAAACGTAAGAAAAACGAGGATTTGTTGGGTTGATAAAGCCCTCTAATTCACAAGATTCGATTATGGCAAAGCATAAAAATATTTCGATTTCTGCAAAACAGGCAAGTGGCTTATTCGTTACCCTTGAATAATCTTGCGTGTCTATAATTATCAACTTAGCAGCAACATCATCTAAAAGTGTCTACTGAGCTGTCATTGTGCCAAAACGTGAGCAAAACAAAAGGACTTGGACTCGGTCTCCATAAATGTTTCGTGGTCATATTCTTTCCATGTACTTGTTTCTTAGAGGAATCTCCTGCATTAATTTTTCTTTTGGTTGTTGTTTGGCCTAATCATGCCAAGCCCCATTTCCTTCCTTAGGAGTGAGTTTGTTGCGTAGCAAAGCCAACCGTGACTGCCGAGGAGCTCGCTATCGTTCAAACGTCCAGGGAGTTTGGGGGGGAGCCCCTGCCTCGTAGAACATTTTACCTCTCACCTACAGTACAAACATTCTGGTAGAACGAAATCTTTTTAAATCCTACTAACCCTTTTTACCCCCATTCTAATAACTCTACTGAAAATGCAACCCCACTGTGGTCGATACAGTTGTGACACTGCTACTCCATCCGGCAGCACATCAGCAACACCCCCTCAGGGGGGAAAGCTGAGTACACCACGCTCACTGGGTATTCAGCCCTGCACAGTTAATCAAAATTAACGATGAACAAAAGCAATTGAAAATCTGCATACATGGACAAGATTACAATGATATCTTTTCAAGGTTGTATCTTTGCTTGCGCGTCACATGAAGAATCATGTGGCACGTCACGCGACACAATAATATTGCGTGACGCTGTCTTCGCCACGTCAACAGAGAGACTCACGGGGTCACTTACATAAAAAGACCAACCTGATTACAAGAAACGATCAACAAATTCTATAAAGATTCCATGTCAACTTTTGCTTGCTTTAGTCCAAAGAAATAACTGGCTCGAATTTAGTTGGAATTGAGATCATGCAGTCTGATTAGTCCTTAGAAGGAGTGTTGTCGTTGATAATGGTGATTGACCTTTCTACAACCTGAGCAGGGTCATCATCAGAGTTAAGTGAAGAGTTATTGTCCGTCGGGTGATATAAGTCCGGCTCGAGGGAGGGGGGAGGAGATTTGGATAAATTTTTGCTGCATATGTGCCTATCAGAAACTCTTCCCCATTATAGTCTATTCGGGTCAGTCAGACCACATCCGAGCAAGTTTGGGACAAAAGTTAATTTTCGGGGTCCAAACTTAGTCATTTCTGATCATACATCTACAATAAAGAGCCTTTTAGGTAGGTCATCATTGTACGCGAAAATCCTAATGCTGGAATTAGGGGTGTTTAAAAGACAGGTTCCTATTTTCAAATACTTACTCACCAGAATTTTCTTACTTCCAAAATCCCGAAAATTCCAATAACTCTGTTGCAAACGAAACCCAAGTTGTCAAAACGCGACCCCGTCCAGCAGAACATCTCCATCGGTATATAATTAGGCAGTGACCCTCAGCCCCCTTCCTCAGACAATGTTTCGCGTAACACAAAATCACAGCCTCTGAACTTGAAAAGACTTTCTTTCAATCTTATTCATTCATGTAGTTTTTGGATTATTTTTGTTCATTGTTATGTTTTTTTCAGCTGTGCAGTAACCTTGGCTTCAGAGCAGAACCACCCGTCGGCGTGGCGTGCTCAGATTTCCCCTCCCCCCCCCTCCCCTAGTATTAGCTGTTCAGTTTGTCATTTGACCACCTTGTGACAGATTTACAAGCGACATGCTATCTTCTCGACAGTCTTGGTTGGTTTTGTCGCGCAACAAATTCACTCCCACGATGGAAATGGGGCGTTGCGTGATTTGGCCAAACAAAGGAAAGAAAACAAAAATAATGCAGGAAATTTCGCTTAAAAAAATGAATGGAAAAATTATGAGCATGAAAATTAGAGTTAAGGATTTCATCAAGCCAACCGTAATCATGTTGCTTTTCTTACGGCTTTATCCTTTGACAGAAGATTAGCAAGACACATTTCGATGATGCTGACAAGTCGTTCTAGGCAACCCAGGATTACTCAAGGGTAAAAAAACTAGTTTCTGGCAAAACATGACATTCACATTTTTTGCTGTAGCAGGGCAGGTCGGTTATAACGTACCAATTCTGTGCTGGGTCGATTCCGTGAATGGAAATCATTTGGGAAAATCGATCAGTAGACAGTTACTTTGTCCTCTCTTTGAGCTGTCGTTTGCGAGGTAATTGATTGTCAAAATAGTTAGGCGGGGAACGTTGATCATTAAAACCTTTTCGCCTGTTGATCTTAGATAAACAGAAAAACGTTTTCCACACCTACTACTTTTCTTGGTTGGCTTATATTAAATTATTGAACGGAGTTCTGGTTGTATTCGCGAGTAAAGGTAAAAAACACCTCCATACCTTCCAGCGATTCTTGGAAGGTCGTTCTGTTCGGTTCGTTTGTAATGTTAATGTCGTGGATGAGTCGTTTGTATGGTGCCGGTAGTGGTTTACACCTGTTGAGGGGATTCTGTTCCAAGTTAGTAAACCAGCTTTCCAGAGTCAGTCGTTGAAAGTAGTTGGTGCTGTGGATTAGGCATTACACAGAGTCCCACTCAATAGTGTGGTTCGTAAGTCGGTGATGTTCAGCAATGTGATTGTTGACATCGCCTTTCCTCGTCGCTCGTTTAATGTTCAGTCAGTCTAGTTATGAGGTTTCTGCCAGTCTCATCGATGTAGGAGGCATGGCAGTCGGAGCAATTGATTCTAGAAACTGCACCCTGTCTGTTCCTCTGTTCGTCTTGGTCTTTGACGTTAGTCAGTAATTGACGTGGTGTGGTAATGGGTTTGTGAGCGACGCGGATGTTTAATGGTTGTAAGATGCACGAGATGTTCTCAGATATGCCCTTTATGTACGGTATAGTTGCTGTAGTCGTAGGAGTCGCGTTGTCTTTGGCTTCGGTAATATAAGTAGGTCGGTGAGTGTTTCGTCGGATGAAGTCTTTGTTATAGTTGTTCTTTGAAAAAACACGGTCAAGGTACTTGTTCTCGTCGGATAAACTGTCTGTCGCGTTGCATGCTAGTTGCGCTCGTCGCTTGAGAGTCCTGATAGTTGTGGCTTTGTGTGATGTTGGGTTGTAGGATGACTCGTCCAGTAATCTGTCGGTATGTGTTGGTTTCCTGTAGACTGTTGTCCGTAGTGAGTTGTCGTCACAGCTTACCAAGCAGTCTAGAAAAGGTAGTTTACCATTTTCTTCGACCTTTCTGGTAAACTGTATGTCAGTGTATTGTCCGTTAAGGTGGTGGTGGAATGCGTCGATTTCGTCGTGTCGTACGGCGGTGAATGTATCGTCAACGCAGCGTAACCAAAGCGGTATCGGTAGATCGTCGGATTGCAGTTTTAGTACATTGTAATGCCAGTTGAAGTTTGTCACCAAGGACCTAAGGACTACTTGAAGCCCAGTGGCAGAGCATCCGAAGTGCTAATCGAAGGGTCGTAATATTGGCAGCACTCTGACTTCCTATATCCGAGTATGCCTGTGTTATTAGCTGAATAACATCTTATGCTGTTTAGAATCCACTCACCTGAATAGAATAGTCCAAGGAATCAGGAAATTTCCAAGAATCGCTTGAAGGTATGGCGGTGTTCTTGACCCTTTACTAGCGAATACAACCAGAGCTCCACTCAAAGCGTGACAGAAGCCAACGAAGAAGAGCAGAAGGTGTGGAAAACGTTTTTCCGTTTCGCCGAGAGCTTGAGGCGAAAAGATTTTAATGAACCACGTTCCCAGTCCAAATATTATGACAAAAGACAAACTCGCAAAAGACAGCACAAAGTAACTGTCGACTGATTTTCCCGAATGATTTCCATTTACGGAGTCGATCCAGAGCGGAAGGGAAACGTTTTCTACGACTTTGCCGGCTATGGCGACAAAAGCGAATAACAAGTTTGCCCAGTACAGACGAATTTCGCAGAATCCAATCTTAACCACATTTCGTTTTCGATAAAGTGAGGTTGGGCGAGATGAATCGAAATGTTTGGAAATGCTTGACATATCACTATCTTCATAAATCGGATAAGAAATACTGGAAGAATTCATTTTTGAAGAACCGGCTGGTGATTATTCAAAGCGCATTATTCTCCAGAGAAACCCTCTCACTGATTTTGAGAGAAGGTTTTTTACTCTTCTCTGCCGGATAAGATCTCGGCCTCGGGAAAATACTTGAATATGACATTATACGGTTGCAAGGTCGCAATATGTTAATTAAATTGTCTCATGATCTTAAAAATCCTGGGCTCTTCATAGAATGTTCAGCAATGATGTGGAACAAATAAAGTTTATCCCTTCTCGGCTTTATCTACGTCGCAAAGATCAACTTGCACAAAATTGTCGCATCACTGTTGAACTCACAAGAAACAAATTTGGCAAAATATAAAAGTACGTCTTATTCTTAAAACAGAGACAAGGCTAGTTTGAGATTTGAGTAACCCTGGGTGTCTATGACAACTTATCATCAACATCGAAATGTCTTTTGCTGGCTGGATTTGTCTAAGGATAAAGCCGTAAGAAACACGAAAGGATATGTTGGGTTGATAAAATCCTGTAATTCACAAGATGCCATTTCGCCGGGCAAAGCTTAAAAATACGTCTATTTTTGTCACAACAGGCACGTAGCTTAACTCAGCAGCAGCATCCAAAGTGTCTAGTGATCTAAAGGACTTGTTCGTTGATGAAGTCCTTAAATGTATTCATGCATAGTCATATTCTTTCAATGCACTTTTCTCCAACGAAATCTCCTGCATCGTTTTTCTATAGATAATCTTGTTGTTTTTCTTAAGGCTTGATCCCAAGATAGATAACTAGAAAGAGACATTTCGTTGATGCTAATAAGTTGTCAAAGAAACACGGGGTTATTCAAGGGTAACAAATCAGCTTTGTCTTTCTTTTAGGAATAAAAACATGTTTTTATGTTTTGCCATAATCGGGTGTCTATGTGAATTAGAGTAGGGATGAAGGAAATTTGTGGAATCCAGGGTTCATGACGTTGATAAAGCCGAAAAGGAATAAGCCTTTGTTTATTTTTTTGTTCCATAGTATTATTCAACATGTGAAGAACCCGGGATTTTTATACCCACGACGCAACTTACTTTTCAAATATATTGCGATCTTTCACGTTTGCACGTAAGTATAGATTCCCTGCTAAATTCCTCGCTTTTCTACACTTTGCCGTACCCGAATGTTATTTCAAGGTACAAGTCTGATATTTCAGCCCTGAATTTGATTTGATCGTGGAAAATCTTGTTAAACGTTAATAGTCGTGATGAAAGTTGTTAGTCGAGTTGACTTTTACAATACAAAAAGTTTTGTAAAAGTCAACTAAAATTACGTGGAAGATGTTTGTTCCATCGCTAACGATTTGTCATGTAAATCAAAGCAAAATGAAACACTGATAGTAATGGCAAATAGCCTCTGCGATGTTAACATGTTTTCTTTTGCACTGATTTGTGCCTCAACGGGCTCTACCACAATAAGTAGAACAGTATTTGTCACCGTAACAGGTGATTCATTTGCTGGTAACAGAGGTTTTGCCTTTAACGGCGATTGGTTTGACTTGTTTGCGTTAGCGCGCGATTTTGTTGAAAAGTTTGCCTCAACGGGGGATTGTCTTAAACTGTTTGCCTCAAAGGGCGATTGTGTTGAAATTTGTGTCTCGGCAGGCGATTTTGTGACTTCAGTGGGCGATTGAACTTTCCAGCGCGCTTCATTTGGCAAATAAATTAGGGAAGACGTTTCTGTATCTGGAATATTTAACTTTCAAGTATATTCAAGTACATCCTGTCTCCTACGATTAATATTTGGTCAACTGTAAAAGTATCGCAGTGCCACACTGGACATGATTGTGCACACAACAGCGCTGATAGAATAAAAAGACTAACATGTGTGCAACTGCAAATGTCGCTATGTAAGGATTAAGATGACTAAAAATTACTGTAAGTAGGAATGGAATAGATAAAAGCTGACTCTAATATACAAGATCTAAGAAAAAAAAAAAAAAAGAAACCGATAATGTAGCATCAATAAAATTGTTCACGCCGGCCTTGAAAGGCAAACTGGTTGAATTTTTTTTAATTTTTCAAGAACCACCCAAGCATTTACGCTAATACTATTAAATTGCACATACAATTTTTTTTTCAATCGATCGCAAACTCATCCACAGTAGTTTTTTTCGTATTTGCTTATGCACTTCATAATCATATTTTTTGTTCAGCGTTTTTTGAAATTTACTCTATCTGACGGTTTGTTAACCTAGCCTTACTGCTTTGATGTCATGTAAAAGCTAATCTGAAATTAGTGTGGAGAAATCCACACTTTAAGTAACAAATTGTGCTGTGGATCTCTTTCTAAACATGCGATAAAATCAGATCTTGTCCCCTTTTTTCGGACGAACTGTTAGCACTTGCAAATGAATGCTGTTTACAAGCATCCTTGAAACACAGTTTCTGGTCTAACTGCAACTGCTTTTAAGTCTTTCAAAGTCTGCTTTCCGTGCTGCAGAGAAGAGGTTGCTCTGGTTCTAGCGCTGAGTTATACTCCCCACTTTGATTTTTATTTGTGTCTAGCGAAATCTCTGGTGCCCTGCGATAAAGAGGAGAAGTAAACGCCATCGTGAGAAACCGGTCGGTTTTCGCTCGTCTCATAATATGTTTTGAAGGAGAAGGGCAAGGGGGGAGGGGGGGGGGGGAGGGGGTTGGTGGGCATTGATAACACAACACTAATAATTGAGTAAACGCCGCGGCATTTCAACAGATGAATACGGTTGATATTTTCCTTACCCCATGTTGTAAACAAAAATGGCGGGAACCATGATGGCTAACGCACCGATGCTGAACCAAGTGCTCACGTGACCTGCGGGGTGCCATTTGAATGGTGTTTCGTTGAACAATGTCCAGAAAATGAAGCCCAGTGGCGTGACCAGTGACTACAGGACATGAAGATCAAATAATTTCATCATCAATGTTTACATATCAACAATAGATTTCTTCTCATCACCTTTCATGCTGTTTCCAAGGTTACCCATTTAACTATCCCCTATACGCCTGACTAAGCCCTTCATCCACTACAATATTGGTGCCCCTAACATAACTCCCCTTAGAAGTGGTACGGTACTTCACAAACCACACGTTGATAGAGCAGACTTTGATTGGGTTTAAACATTAAACCAAGATTACACTGGTATGTGTTTTATATCAACCTGTGGACTGGAAAACTCGCGCCACACTTACAATCAATCAGATGTGAAATTTATACCAAGAGAAAATATCGGACAGTGTCCTATTACTGACACTGATGGCGACCTTTTCACTTGCATTTTTCTGCACTTCAAGCAGTTCGCTTGTTTTTACTTTGGTTCTCATTTGCTGGTGGTGCGTTTATCTTCTTTCTAATATTCTTTAAAGACCGATTAACGATAAACAGTTTAATTGATCCCCCTGTAAGGCTTTCTAATATTCTCCGCTCAGTGCAAGTTAATTGCCAGTAAATGTTCTGTACAACCCCCTCTAAACAATGTTGGCGACGACTGATCCCCCTGCGTTCCCGCATGGAAACCACATGAAAAAGTCCTCCTACATACCACCCGGCTAACAATCAAAATGTGCTTGAACACACCTATTCCACGATTGAGCGCCAAGGTAAAGATAAAAATAATGCCTAGATTATCGGCGTGTCTCGGTAGATTGGCTCCACCAACATAGGTTCAATTTGGTTAATTGTTTTTATCTAACGGCACGCAATCAAAGTACACTCGTATTCGAATGCAACTGTTCCACGATCGTGGAGAATTTAATTTCATCTGAGTGTTTAGTTGAAAGAAAAAAATTCCTAGAGTATGAGAATCAAATGGTTCACTTACCGTGACAATAGCCAGCCAAGTGGCTCCCTCGGCGTGTCTCAGTAGATTGGCTCCACCAACAAAGGATAAAACGTGCATGAGGATACGAATAGTTCCTCTGGTACCTGAAGTGGAGTCACAACCTGCGGCGCCAAAGAAGCATTGAACTCCAAACCACCAACTAGAAATCAGACATAAATTCGGTTGAGTAAAAAGTTTTGCAATCGGTCTCTGACTAGGTCAGCATTTTAAATTCCCAAACTGCCATTCTCCACTCAAGAATATTTATAAATGAATACTGACAAACAATCTGGGCAAGTTATCGAGGGGCAACACAAAAAGTACGAGCTTTCCAACCACAAAGAGATGCAGTTATTGTAGGCGCTTTAGAAACCGGGATAAATCAGTAGATTTGCAAATAAGTCTGGCATAGAGTTTTGCGATGTCAATTCTTGTTTCAGTTTAAACAGCTATTTAGAAAAAAAAGAGAGAATTCAACGAAAACTCACTTTTCCCCAAACTCTTGGATATTGCTAACATTTCCATACCACGGCAGAATGTCCAAACAAAACAAAAGTCCCACACAGAGCAGCTGATATGAAGACATCCAAAATAGGAAATACAACAAGTTGATGCCTTTCTTTGATGATTGACTTTCCATCTTCACTCCCTTTTCTTCGATCACGTTCATAACGGCTGCTGGAACCTAAAGAGTAAAACCAACTATATCAGTAAGACCCATTAACAACCACGACTGAGACTGAGAGAAATTCTCTTTTCTAGTTGTTACATATTTTCTTGTGTTACAGCTGAGAGAATTTAATGATAAGTTTATGTGTATTCATCACCTGGGCTGAATACCGCTTTTTAAAATTCAAGATCACTTTTCATAATTATTTGTGGGAGACAAAGGAGTGAGGGGTATAGCACATACCATTTAAGTCAAATTATGATCTTGTTAAGCTAGCGAGAATCAAACCATTTCGCACTGCTCACCGAGATAAGAGAAAACACAATTACAATTCTGACTATTTTTGACGTTGAGTCCTACTTACGAAACCAAGCATGAAAATTATGGGCCACATTACTCTGGAAACACCCTGAGCATTGTTTTTCGTTTTCTCGGCTTTGGGATCAACTTCGGGAAAAATTGTTGGGATGAGGCAAATAAAAAGACCAACAACCACGATGACACCACAGGACAACTTCAGCAGGGTGGGCTTCTTTCGAACGATCAGCAACCTTCGGGAGAAAAAAAAACCAACAGCAGTGTTGATGAGTAATCTCGTACCTAGATCTGATTGGGACTAGGAGGGAATAGAATGGTTTTCACAAGGAACGGAGGAGGAGGGGAGAAGGGGGGATGGAGCAAGGGCGGGGGGGGAAAGGAGGAGGGGGGAGAGAGGGCGTGGCTGGAGGGAAGGCGTGTGGGTGGAGGGAGGGTGAGAAGGTAGATTTCTGCGCGCAATTCTGAAATGATCGTGAGATGTCACGGTAAGAACTGAAAATTAACGTAATGTGCTGGTAGAAATTATTAAAGGAGAGAAGTGCATAGTTTCGCTGAGTATTTTTACGAGTTGAGACGTATTTTGACGATCCCGCAAGTCAGCATAAGGGAACATGATGACTTATTTCCATGTTGATCTGCTGGCATACAGAAAGAACTTTTTGAAAGAAAGAACTAATGAAAGTGTCATACGAAGTAGTATCCAAACATTCCTATCCTACTGAGCAATATGCAGTTTGTCACCAAGGACCTAAGGACTACTTGAAGCTCAGTGACAGAGCATCCGAAGTGCTAATCGGAGTGTCGTAGTATGAGCAACTCTCCAACTTCTTATATCCGAGTATGCCTGTGTTATTTGCTGAATAACATCTTATGCTGTTTAGAATCCACTCACCTGAATAGAATAGTCCAAGGGATCATAAAGTTTCCAAGAATCGCTTGAAGGTATGGCGGTGTTCTTGACCCTTTGCTTGCGAATACAACCAGAGCTCCACTCAAAGCGTGACAGAAGCCAACTGAGAAGAGCAGAAGGTGTGGAAAACGTTTTTCCGTTTCGCCGAGAGCTTGAGGCGAAAAGATTTTAATAAACAACGTTCCCAGTCCAAATATTATGACAAACGACAAACTCGTAAAAGACAGCACAAAGTAACTGTCGACCGACTTTCCCGGACGATTTCCATTTACGGAGTCGATCCAGAGCGGAAGGGAAACCTTCTCTACAACTTTGCCGGCTATGGCGACAAAAGCGAATAACAAATTTGCCCAGTACAGACGAATTTCGCAGAATCCAATCTTAACCACATTTCGTTTTCGATAAAGTGAGTTTGGACAAGATGAATCGAAATATTTGGAAATGCTTGACATATCACTATCTTCCAAAATCGGATTAGAAATACTGGAAGAACTCATTTTTGGAGAACTGGCAGGTGATTATTCAAAGCGCATTATTCTCCAGGAAAACTCTCTCACTGATTTTGAGAGAAATGGTTTTTACTCTTCTCTGCCGGATAAGATATCGGCCTCGGGAAAATATTCTAGGGTTGCAAGATTGCAATATGTTAAGTTAGTTGCGTCATGATCTTAAAACTCCTGGGCTCTTCATAGAATGTTCAGTAATAAGGTGGAACAAATGAAGTTTATCCCTTTTCGGCTTTATCTACGTCACAAAGATCAACTTGCACAAATTTGTTGCATCACTGTTGAACTCAGAAGATACAATTTCGGTAAAATATAAAAGTACGTCTTATTCCCAAAACAGAGACAAGGCTCATTTGAGATTTGAGTGAGCCTGGGTGTCTATGACAACTTATCAGCAGCATCTAAATGTCTTTTGCTGACCGGATTTGTCTAAGGATGAAGCCGTAAGAAACACAAGATGCCATTTCACCGGGAAAAGCTTAAAAATACGTCTATTTTTGTCAAAACAGGCACCTGGCTCAACTCAGCAGCAGCATCCAAAGTGTCTAGTGATCTAAAGGACTTGTTCGTTGATGAAGTCCTTAAATGTATTGATGGTCATATTCTTTCCATGCACTTTTTTTCAACGAAATCTTCTGCATTATTTTTCTAAAGGAAATCCTTTTGTTTTTCTTACGGCTTGATCCTATGTCAGATAACTAGCAAGAGACATTTCGATGCGATGTTGATAAGTTGTCAAAGACACACGGGGTTATTTAAGGGTAACAAATCAGTTTTGTCTTTCTGTTAGGAATAAATCATGTTTTTCTGTTTTGCCATAATGATATGTATATGAATAAGAGCAAAGATAGAGGAAATTTGCGGAATCCAGGCTTCATGACGTTGATAAAGCCAAAAATGAACAAACATTTGTTAATTTGTTTATACTATTGAAAATACTATTAAATTGCACATACAATTTTTTTTTCAATCGATCGCAAACTCATCCGCACCAGCTCTTTCAGTCGTATTTGCTTATGCACTTTATAATCATATTTTTTGTTTAGCGTTTTTTTGAAATTTACTTTATCTGCTTGTTAACTTAGCCTTACTGCTTTGATGTCATGTAAAACATGCTATAAAATCAGATCTTGTCCTTTTATTTCGGATGAACTGTAATCACTTTGCAAATGGATGCTTTCCACGCGTATCCTTGAAACACAACATCTTAGTTTTGGCCTCTTCCTCTACAAGTGTAATGATAAAACGCAAGTCTAACTGCTACTGCTTTTAAGTCTCTTAAACGTTATAGTTCGGTGGATGTCTGCTTTCTGTACTCGAGAGAAGAGGTTGCCCTGGTCCTAGTGCTGAGTTATACTCCTCACTTTGATTTTTATTCGTGTCCAGCGAAATCTCTGGTGCCCTGCGATGAAGAGGAGAAGTAAACACCATCGTGAGAAACCGTTCGGTTTTCACTCATCTCATAATATGTTTAGAAGGAGAGGGGGAAGGGGGGAGGGGAAGGGGGGTTGGTGGGCATTGATAACACAACACTAATAATTAAGTAAACGGCATTTCAACAGATGAATACGGTTGACATTTTTCCTCACCCCATGTTGTAAACAAAAATGGCGGGAACCATGATGGCTAACGCACCGATACTGAACCAAGTGCTCACGTGACCTGCGGGGTGCCATTTGAATGGTGTTTCGTTGAACAATGTCCAGAAAATGAAGCCCAATGGCGTGACCAGTGACTACAGGATATGAAGATAAAATGATTTCATCATCAATGTTTACATATCAACAATATATTTCTATATATCACCTTTCATGCTCTTTCCAAGGTTACCCATTTAACTATCCCCTATACGCCTAACTAAGCCCTCCATCCACTATGCTATTGATGCCCCTAACTTCACTCCCGTCAGAAGTGGTATGGTATGGTATGGTACCCACCACCCGGCAAACAACCAAAATGTGCTCGAATACACCTGTTCCACAACTGAGCGCCAAGGTAAAGATAAAAATGATGCTTCAAATTTTTCGCTTACCGATACAATAGCCAGCCAAGTGGCTCCCTCGGCGTGTCTCAGTAGATTGGCCCCTCCAGCATAGGATAAAACGTACATGATAATGAACATAGTTCCTCTGATGCCTGACGTGGAGTCACAACCTGCTGCGCCAAAGAAACATTGAACTCCAAACCACCAACTAGAACGTTAGAGATAAACTTCGTTGAATGGCACGTACAAGCAAAAAATGTGCCCTAACCCCAATCCCCTCACCCTACCACCCTTCCCTACACTTACAGACCCGGAGGGACAGACGGCTTTAACAACAATATGCTCGAGCTTCACTTAGGATACGGTCGAAATTTTTTTTCATGTCAAACTAAGCATCACTATTTTAACTATAGTTTCGAAGAAAAGTTTTGGTAAAATATTGAAACGCGCGCGAATAATTTACAAAAACGTATTTTCGAAGTGAATTCTTTAGCTCACCGAAGTGTGAATAGCCAATAGGCCATTTTACAGTTGTGTACTTAGTTGCCAAGCCTTTGATTTGGAGTGAGGCTGAAAGTGGCCTTGTTGTGATAGAGACCAGTATCTAGTTAGCATGATAACAAAGTATTTTGCATTTGAAAAGCAGCAAGGTTTGTATCATAACAAGGTTACCCTTAGCCTCATTCCTGTTCAAAGGCTTGGCAACCAAGCACTCAACTGCAAAATGGACTATTATAACACGTCAACATAAATGACTCCCGATGGGTTTCTTGAGGCAAAACATCCTGATCCTTCAATTTCAATCGCGTAAATATCTCTTGATTTCGGTCGCATGTGGAGATCTTTGCTATTCGCCTGCGTTTAAAACTAGAATGTAAATAGAGAAAGATAGAAGGGAGAAGAGTCCATGAGTGAAAATAAATAAATAAAAGGCGCAAAAATCTCACCGAAATGGATAAAGACTCGTGGTTTAGGCAATCTTCGCTGCTCGCATTCGATCGGCAACCTTTAAGTCCTGCCGCGTCGCGCTTAAGCTGCTTTTAAGTTGAAAAAAAAATTGAGATCAAAAATGAAGTTCGGCAGAATAGAAACAAAGGTCTGAAGTTACCCGCGAAATATCTTTTTACTAAGAGTCTCCTGAGACCCAGGACGCTTCTGTGTTTCTATTGGCGGTCGGCATGTGGAGTTTTTCAGAGTGTTGACATCACTTGACATGTGGTCAACTAAAGGCGTGACTTTTTGGTTAAATTTTGTAAGTGGAAAAAACCTACTTCGTTCTTAGGCGAACAAAGACGTCCGTCCCTTTGAAGGAATTGATAGGGTATATATACTAAACGGATTGCCTTGAAATTTGGACCGAAGACTTCCAAGATACCAACTTAAACAAGAAAGTGGCGAAATTCCGTTTTTCCAAAATGGATCTCCCTCAATGGCCTCCGACGTAAAGCATATCGGAAAAATTTTGATTTGAAAACTCGACAGATAAATTGCAAAGCAACCAAGATGAACATGGCAAATCCCCTCACGGATTTGAAGACCAACCCTTCAGGATTATTGAGATTGTGCAGAAGTTTTATTTGTGCGGTCAGATTTGATTTGCAACTAATTTGCTCAAAGAAACATTTTCGGTTTACGATTAGATCACGCTAAAATGAAATAATCTTTGCCCAATAGTGCATTTCATAGCCTCTCCGATGATATATAGTTTATGGTGGTTATGCTTCAAATAGCGCGTTTTTTAAAAATTTTTTTTATTTTGCAAAGGGCACCCGCGAAGGTCTACCTTACCCCTAAGTTATAGTCAGGAGGTTGTATGCCTCTATTTACTCAATGTTTGGGAAACAGACTGTTATGTCGTGCAGGAGACTAAACCTGGCAGTAATTGACGATAGGAAATTGAATTTATGCGTTAGTAATGATATTTGATTCCTCAACTGATTAAGGAGACGGAATGAATAAATGGCCAGTGCACTGTACTGTGCTGGATGGTTTAACGGGTTATTGTGTAGTTGTGATAGGTCAAGACATTTTATTCTCAAGTGCCTCTTTCCTCTTAGGAATTTAGATGGATACAGGCTCCGGCAGCAACCTGCGCAACTGTGCGAGGGAGTAACCCGAAATAAGCATTAGTCCCTTCAGACTCGGAATGAATCCCTAAAGCTTTGCAAATAGATCTAGCGTTCAGATTTGTGTTACCAAATCTTGTGTTAGCTATGAACCATTTGGAGAAACAAGACACGAAACTCACTTTTCCCCAAACTCTTGGATATTGCCAACATTTCCATACCACGGCAGAATGTCCAACCAAAACAAAAGTCCCACGCACAGCAGCTGATATGAAGACGTCCAAAATAGAAAATACATCAAGTTGATGCCTTTCTTTGATGACTTACTTTCCATCTTCACTCCCTTCTCTTCGATCACGTTCATGACGGCTAAAGGAGCCTAAAGAATCAAAGCAAACTAATCGGCCATGTAACAGGGAGATTGGCTCAGTAAGTGACATTGAATAGTTTCTCGCTAAATTCGGTTAGCTTTATGGTTCATTGCTTTCATGAATTGGTGGAGAGATTGGTAGATGACTTTGTTTACATGAACTCCTGCCGTTTGCGAGAAATTAAAAAAGAAAAAAAAACATCAAGACGTAATCCAGCCAAACTACAGTATGTCAAGTATTTACAAATTTGTTTCGATAATGAGCGGTTGCAGTTTTTAAAAAGTAATTAATAGGGAGTTTTAGATCCACGAAAGCTTCTAGGAGTCACGTGACCAGACTCCAGCGGTCACGTTCGCCGTCCACGTTTGAACTTCGGGCAAGGCAGTTTCTGGCACTTCAACTCCCACGATGCTTGTTTTCTTTCTGTTGAAGAGTTCTCACGTATTTCCTATAAATACATGTGAACAGAAGTCTTTCTTCATAACCAATCTGTTTGGGACGCTAGGAAACCAATCTTTTATTCTCATTTTGTGTTTGAAATGAAGGACCTCCATCCTTTGCGCAATTCAAGATGGCGGCGCACACTGTATTAATTTTTCTTTTAGGTGAAAGCCGACGTCGATCTAAAAAGCCGAAAGTCTCGAAACTTCTAATTACTTACCGCGGTTTGACGTTAGCGGTGAACACAACAAACGTGGATCTAGGGCCGGTTTACATGGATGCAGGGGACCTCAGGTAGGTGAAGTAACCCGCCTAGCCTTGGTCGAAAAATAGCCCGCGTTTACATACAATTTTGCAACCCCGGGATGCTGAGGTGAAGTTTCTAACGGTTATTGTCGCGCTTGCAATCAGGGAAGTAAGATGCCACTGCGACGACTTGTGGTAAAACGTTGCAAAAAAAGTTAATTTATTTTCTTCTTAGATTTTCACCGTTTCTGACGGTACAACATTTGAATGTAGTGTGAAGTTCGAAGTAAAAACGTGACTTAATCGCTGTCGAGGTTTCATTGCTAAGAGGAAGTAAAAATTGGTGTTTTAACGTTTTAGCTCTGCATAAGACGGCTAGGAATGTACAAAGTTTTAACGCACTCGTCGTCTTTCGCTACTGTTTTGCTCATTTGATTTTATTGTAACATGAACGCCACCCCAGCCAGGCGGGTTATCCCACCTTGAGGCGTTTACATGGCAAATCGTCACCCTGGCTGACAGAGTTACCCTACCCAGCACCTATCATGTAAACGTGATCACGATAAAATAAGAGATTGTATGGACAGGCGGGTAACCCCGCCCAAGCGGGTTACCTTACCCACGTGGGGTCCCCTACCTCGATGTAAATAAGCCCCTAAAACGTTGCCGAAGAAACGTAATTTTTAAACTTGAATACCGGAAACAGCAGCGACAGATGATATATATGAAATCATTAACCGAGTTATCATGGGAGGCATAAATAAGAACAACTTCCCAGCGTGGCTATTCTTCGCTATTCGCCATCCTTCGTCACTATTCGTCTTTATTCGTCACCATTCGCCACTACTCGCCACTATTCGCCACTATTCGTCACTATTCGACACTATTGCCACTATTCGTCACATTTCGTATTCGGTCGTTATTTGCACGGCACAAAAACCTTCGTTTGGGTTTATCACTAGCCCAGAAATACAGTGAAACTTCTATTAAGCGGACAACAGGTAGGCCAAGCTCTAGTTATCCATTTTTCGGTTTCCTATTCCACAGGGGGACAACTTGCTAAAATGGCCTCGTTGCAGCAAAGTAAGAGGTCACAAAACAAGCGATGCACTGTGGAAGTAAGGTGAGGTATTTTTATTGAGAATTTGACTGCATTTTAACATCCTAAGAGCGGTCGTAAATATTCACATACAAACTCCTACATTTTCGTCATGACTCTTTTCTCACAAGATTATCAACCGCACAGCTGGAGCTTGGATTACCTGTGAGCCAGGTTCCGAAATTAACGTCTTATGTTTCCCTTTATTACAAACCTCAATTTAACGGACGTCTCTATCAAGTATTTGGCTAAGTAATTTCTAAAGTAAAAAACCTTAATTAAGCAGATACCGGACTGACAATTGACAATGTAGTGTATGGGATTACGTCCTTGTAATTTGAACAGACACGCTGAAAGAGTCTATGTACCGCGCGTATGATCGTTGCTGTTTTGCTCTTGTTTTTGCATTATTACTAACAAATTAAAGTTGGTCATGAAAAGTAATGAATTTGAACTCTGGATAGCTTTGTTAATAACACAGAACTTTTTCACAGAACAGAGTTCCCGTTGAATTTTATTCGTTCACAAGTATTGCGCAATTTTCACAAGACACTTGGGAAGGTCCCGAGCGTGTACTTAAAAACATTATTAAGGGTCACGTGAATTAGTTCTCTCAGTTTACAATCTCTTGCAAGGTGGTTTTACCCTCCTTTCGCTGCACCTTTATAAAAAAAACACCTTTGAAGACCTCAGAAACAAAGAGAAAACGAGCGGAAGTAAACTCAATTGGAAAGAAAAGTGCTTCAAAGTCATAAATCGGCTAAAAACATATTCCCCTCGATCGATGGATATGGACGCTAAATAGTTTTTAAGGCGGTGCAGCGATTCTATAAAATTCTTGTCTTCAAGTCGAAAATTGATGATCCGTTTGGCTGCCATTTGGCTATATTTTATACATATTTGGCAGCTGATCTACCATGGTTTGTGGTATTACATATTACACTGGAATCGACCTTTGCTTTTTTTTCACGCTGGCACCTTGGGCTATTTTGCTCCATTGTCACGCGGTTAAATTTAATTACTTGCTTGGGCACAAGTTGAATTTTCAGCATCAATTGTGTAGTCATTCTCCGATATTTTAAGAATGTTTGGTCGCTAATTCATCAGTAATTCTCCTTACTATTTGCTATACAATTCTCATGATGTTAGCTTGGAGAATTTGGTATTTGAACAAATGAAAATTCCCAAATCGTTTTTTTTTTCATTCTCGTTACTTGTCTGGTTGACATTGCATTGACACTGTAAGGAAAAATTATCTCGTGGTCATTCATGCGAGTTAAAGGGTTAATAAGGTACCATAAGGTAGCTCCAAGGTCCTTTGATTAAATTTTCCAGATGAAGTTTCATAATCATTTCCGGGAGACAAAGGATTTATTAAGGGCGATAAGGCACACAATTTTAGCTAGAGTTCTCAAAAGAAACGCACTCCCAAAAATTGACTTCGACTTGAATGCTAGTTGGGTACCGGATCAGACCCTCTATTCTAATAACACACAAACTAAATTCGTGTGGAATTATCGGAAGAAAATCTTTAATATTGCCTTAGTGTGCGTTGGGATTGGTTTAAACGAGTTTTAGAATTTTTGATCCAGATTAACTAACAAGAAATTAAGCCATTTGGCTTTGCCCGCTTGGGTTAATCAAACCTAAAATAGCATCGGTGAAATTTCGATTTCTTTGACATAACGTTGTACTTACGAAACCAAGCATGAAAATCATCGGCCACATTACTCTGGAAACACCCTGAGCATCGTTTTTTCTTTTCTCGGCTTTAGGATCAACATCGGGAAAAATTGTTGGGATGAGGCAAATAAAAAGACCAACAACCACGATGACACCACAGGACAACTTCAGCAGGGTGGGTTTCTTGCGCAAAATCAGCATCCTTGGAAGAAAAAAAATTCACAGCAGTGATGTTGAGTCGTTTCGTGAACAATGAAGAACACGCTAATAAAGTTATGTCTCCATTATTAGAATGTAAATAACAGCAAAGAAGCTGCTAGTGTTTTTTTGTAGGAACCCATTGTTACGAACAGTCACGTTCATTTTTAATCAATTTCTTCATGTAACCTTTAGTCATCATTTGCGGTTTCGTTTGTACAGGACACACTTTGATTTTGTGGCTTGATTTTGATTCATCTGTTTTATGTCAAATTACTTGTATATAGTTTCGGACGCTTCGAGACCATGACATATAATAAACAAGTTTCAATCGAGGATACAAGTTATTCTTTTCTTTACGACTTTATGACACCCATCATGTCAGTGAAGAAAGTTATTTTAGGCTGATTGCAAAGTCACATGAATTGATGTGGAAACAAATGTTTGCGGGAATTCCTTCTAAGAACTTGTCCCTTATGATAAAATTCTTGCCGCTGGAAACAAATCAAGTTGGTTCTAGTTTTTCATGTCATCGTTAGAAAATCAGCAAATAAGTTACACCAGGAGCCATTAATGGGCTCCCGGCCACATTGACTAACGATACCTACGAATACTTGTCACCGGCACCCAAACTTCAATTATGCCGTTACATTATCACTTAAACGTGACGGCCGAGCACATCATGTAATGCTTGCTTTGAATTGGACAGAGAACCTTCTTCTATAAAAACGATCCACTTACCTGATTGAAATAGTCAAAGGGATCATGAAGTTTCCAAGAATCGCTTGAAGGTATGGCGGTGTTCTCGACCCTTTACTCGCGAATACAACCAGAGCTCCGTTCAAAGAGTCACAGAAGCCAACCAAGAAGAGCAGAAGGTGTGGAAAACGTTTTTCTGTTTCGCCAAGATCTTGAGGTGAAAATATTTTAATGAACAATGTTCCAAGTCCAAATATTACTACAAACGACAAACTCGCGAAAGACAGCACAAAGTAACTGTCGACTGATTTTCCCGATTGATTCCCATTCACGGAATCGATCCAAAGGGGAAGTGAAACGTTCTGACCGACTTGGCCGGCTACAGCAAGAAATGCAAAAAATAAGTTTGCCCAGAATAGACGAATTTCGCAGAATCCAATCTTAACTTTTTTTCGTTTTCCATAAGGTGATGTCAGGCGAGATGGCTCGAAATCTTCAGTGGAAATGCGTGACACATCACCGTCTTCATAACTCGGGTGAGAGCTACTGGTAGAACCCATTTTTTGGAGAATTGACAGGAGATTCAAGGCGCCGTGCTTGCCGCGAAAACTTCTCACCAGCCTCGAGAGAAGGTGTTTATCTCCTCCCTGCCGGATAAACTTTAGTGCGTCCTCGCTCTTGGAAGATTGGATTGAAATTTTTAAGTTTCAAGGTCGTTATATGTTAGTAATCAAGTTGCGTCACAACATAGAAATCTCGTGCTCTCCACATGCTGGACAGGGCTATATCTACGTCAGAACAGTTAACTTAAACAAGTTTTTTTCATCACATTCACAAGATGCCATTTCGGCAGAAAAATAAAAATACGTTTATTCGTATATGTAATCACATGGGCCCGAGAGTAATGGAGGATTAATTTCACGTGTATTCTGAAAGTTTTCTTAAAATTTCCTGAGTCGCTTCGTGCATTCACGCACGATGTCCGCGCGATGAAGTCCTTTAAATTCCACCACAAATTTCAAGACAAACATAACTGACCAATAGATTAAATGAACATTTCATTCTCAAAATACAGTTAACAACTTTATACGGCCTCATTCAGTAAATTGCAATCAATATATCGTTGCTGCAAACAGCAAAAAGGCTCATTAGGCATCAAGTAATCATGCTGTTTGTCACCCTTGAGGAACCCTCTGCGTCCATAACAACTCAACTGGGTCATCGGGTCTAGACCCCAGTGAAAAACACAAAGAAGATCGAACTTGTGGCAAGCACGAGTAAGATTAAGGGCACCAACTTCTCAAGGTTAACCAAACATAACAATTAACAAAAACAATCGAAAGACTGCATGAATCAACAAGATAAAAATAATTTTATTTCTTAATAAAGAAAGAATAAATTTCCAAAAGAAATACAGTTCTGTCCAAAGGCCGTTCATAACTCTTTTGTTATGAATATGAAAGCCGATTTTTGTGAGAGAGCGCACTTTATTTTGTTTCGGTTTACCACATACAGACCACATGATGTGTTCGTGGTTAATTGTTGTTGATGAGAGACGAACAAAATCTGAGGGTTATGAATATAGTCATGAAAAATTTCATATCTAAATCACATCTCGGTCTGAATATCTTAATTAAATGAAATGTTAATCAAAGCATTTGTGGTATTTTCTCGCCTTCGTGGGCAGTTTGATGCGTCTTTTTACGAAATTACCTTTAGCCGGAGGCCGTTAAGAGAAGAAAAGGTGTCTCCCTTTCTTTCTAAAAATCATTCGTACAATTACGTTCCCACAAGCTGCATTAATTTAAAAGGTGGCTCCACCTAACAGTGGAAATGAAAAAAATGAATCTATTTGGAAAGTTCCTCTCGAAAAGCTTAGTTATTGATCAGATAATTCATCCGTACTGGGGACTGATTGTTATTTATCTCCTGAGGGGGCTGAAGGATTTGGGTTGCGTTACCCTGATACATTTTATGTCATTCCATCCATCACTAGTGCGCAGGTGTCTAGTATGTTACAAAAGTTACGTCCGTACAAAGCTGCTGACATTGATAACATAAGTTCTCAGCTGTTGCGTATAGCGGCACCTGTTATAGCATGACATAGACTAAAAATTGAAATCAATTTCTCGTTTATAATAAATTTAAATATTCATATTATATGGATGTCATATCAGTTCAATAAACATTCAATTAACATTTCATTTCATGATTGCCTGAAATAATTGCCTGCAATCAATAAAGCTTCCTTTTATACTTGTTGGATACTTCGTTTTTTGAAAAGGTTTGTACTTTGTACTTTGGTAGTTTTTCGAGGTCGACTAAGATATATCACTGTAGACCTGTACGTGATTATAATTTTAGATGCTCATGTACCGAAAAATCTAACACTCGTAGGACAGCTGGGCGCGTCACGTCTATATCTCGCCTCCAAAATGTATCGAGATAAACAAAAGTTATGTTTCTTCACGCACAAACAAAAATATCTTATATACTATAATCGTGACAGGAGGGATACGGGATATGATCGTGACAGGCGGGATACGGGATATGATCGTGACAGGAGGGATACGGGGTATGATCGTGACAGGAGGGATACGGGATATGATCGTGACAGGCGGGATACAGGATAGGGCTGGTACAGGTTGGATCATAATTTATCCTAAGTTGCGCGTAACACGACCTCAGAGACAATTGCTTTAGAAACGGATTTGATTAATGCTCTCGAGTAAGTTGAGGCTGACAGGCCTAAGTGACTCTGTAGTACGTCCAGTTTTCTCTGTATTAGTTCAAGTGTTTACACGACTACATAGTATGTACAGTTTTCTTGCCATCTTTATAATTTTGGATAAGCTCGTATCGTACATTGAAACGAGTATCACTTCTTTCGGAGGCTTTGTTTTTCTCTAGAAGTTGATGAAGGCTGTTGTATCTTTGAGATATTACTTCTGTTGCTGTGTGATTGGCCGAAGAATTTTATCCATGTATCAGGATAGCTTTTCTGTTGGTCCATCCACAGGTGGAATTTTTTAAATCTCGCTTATAAAATCCGTAAACACACCGAAGACCACCGTTTTTAAGCCAGTCAAATATACATGAAGCAAGTCTTTGCCTTTCTCCACAATGAGAGTAAATTATCTCTATTTAAAGGTTATGATTTGTCCATGAGTTGGCAGGGAACTAGAGCAACCTAGGTTTAGCCGGCGGGGTCGGGATGAAAATATTCATTGCATTGCGGGATGAAGAGAATAATAGCGGCGGGATGCGGGATGCGGGATGCGGGATTGGAAAAGTCTATTTTTGACCCTCATATATGAACTTCGTAATGGGCCTCGCTCTCCAGAGAGTCTCTGGAGAAGGTCTGAGGTTCAATTTCTTATGGGAACTCAGAATTATTTCCTTCTCCCACGCTCGAGACAAGACGAAAATTAGACATCTTTCTCTATTTCTTTAACGAACTCAAAACTCACCATCTTTCTTGTTCTATTTACAAAACAACTTATTGCACGATTCCAAAATAATTAGTGGAAAGCATTGTTCCAGTTTGATCAAAGATCTCTAATTCGAAAAGTCAGAACCAAATCATTAAAAACGGTTGTTTTAGTCCTTGGCAAATGACAATTCCAAAATTTATAAGACTTTGTCACGGAATGATTGTAAATAAGAAAAGGCGAAATGTAGAAGTTGTCAATTACTAAAAGAAACATTTTAGTAGCTTTGGGTACTTTTACTATCTAGTTATTGTTGAAATTTCACCCTCCTTAAACGCTATAATTTCCCAAATTGTTGTTTTCAGACAACAGAGGACGAGCTGCATCAGATAGAGGTTCAGAACGGTAAAAGCGACATCGATGCGACACCTCAAAGTCTCTTCGCTCTTTTCCATCAGTAGGAATCTCTGGAGCTCTGAGACAAAAAACAAGGAAGGTGGTAAAACAAGTTGAAAAATTTTGGGCTAACTAGTTAACGTTGGGGGTGATCATGTTTACTTCAGGGGAGGAGGAGGGGGAGGGGGGAGCAGCTCGGAGAGGTGGAACGAGCTTGCAAGAAACCTCAATAAACCAAACCCAAGACAGAAATGAAGTTTAGTGCTTGGGTGCAAGAAGGTCATCAAATGTAACCGTTTCACTCTAGTTGCCATACAATTCACCTTAACATGCCATAAGTTAGTTTACTTGAAGAAACTGGCAATTGGAAAGTTCGAGTGAACAAAGGAGAGATATTTCCCCGTTCAGTTCATCAAGTCGTGGTACAATTCGTGGGAACCAACTTTTACTCCCCGCCCCGTGTGTGTGTTCCGTGAGAAAGGGGTGTTAAATATTATAACAGAGTCCTTAGAAACTAATGCAATGAATAATGAAGAGTTTGTTGTGTACAAACCAAAACTTTCATTTGGCGCGAAATCGTGTTCGTATACTTGTCCGAGAACATTATTTATTCCCATATAGAACAACTGTCATCCCTTCGCAGCCGTGCTTTGGATGTTACGCAACGCTTTCTCAAGAGTTTGTTCCGCTTCGGTGACGGGTGTAGGTCAGATGTCCTAATGTTCCCATCCATCTCTCCCCCGAAAGTAAATGGCGGAAGATGTGGGGGGTGGGGGTTGGAGGTGGGGTTTATAGCGATGAATGTTGGGGGTATAGCGAGGGGGAGGTATGAATGGGAACATAGGACATCTGACCTACACGCGTGACCGCAGCGGAATTTTGCTTCAAGAGTATCCGTTAATCCTTGAATCCCTAAGCGTGAATAGTATCTTATTTCCCTTTCCAATATCACCTCTGCTTCAAGCGTTAAGGTAACGAGATTAAAGGAAACAATCACTCACCAAAATAGGTCTTGATTGTTAAAAAAATTCTCCTTGTCAGTATCAGAAGAAATGTGATAAGGATAGTGTGAAGAATATTCGCACTGATTACAGAGTGTAAGGGTTGAGAGAGAGTCGATTGTTTACTTTCTTACCCATTATGGTATACAAAAATGGCGGGAACAATGATCACCAGCGCGACAATACTAAACCAGATGCTGTTGTCACATCGAGGCTGCCATTTGAACGGGACCTCCTTGAACAATGTCCAGAAGAGAAAGCCCAAGGGAGTTACCACAGACTAAGAAATAATAATCATGACAATAATAATTAAGATAACAATAGACGGTTAAGAATATATGAAAGTCATATAATTGAACTGCGGATAAAGACGTGAATGAAAGTGATCCTCGCAGTGATGTGCACTACTTAGGCAGTAGTGAAAATAAGGCCTGAAAAAAAAAAAAAAAAAAAAAAAAAAAAAAAAAAATTCAGGCCTGTACGGGATTTGAACCCATGACCTCTGCGATACCGGTGCAGCGGTCAAGGTCAAATAAAACGGTCAAATAAAACGGTCAAGGTAAATCATTTCAATTTGAAGGAAAGGCTTCTGCACTATATGTAAGTCGCCTTAGGCAAGATGAACTGGCTCCTTCTTGGTGTAGAAGACACAGAATACGGCACAATAGAACACCACCTCATTAACCTTCTGTTTTCGTCATATTCCTAGTTCTTTTGTCTTTTTGTTTTCTTCTTTTGTCTTCTACACCAAGTAAGAGGCGAGAAGGTTTCAGTCTTAGTTGAACCGCACTCCCCAAAATTTTGTAAATAACTCGTCTCTATTTCGTGATTCATAAACTTTCCTCGTGTTCTCTCAACCTTCCGCGTAGGATATTATACCAGTAAAGTGATAAAAAGTTCGATCTGTTGCTTTAATCATTGATCAAGTGATAAATGCCTTAGACAGTACTTTGTTGGCCGACGCAACCTTGTCCCTAGTTTTTTTCAAAGTTCCATGTCTTATTACTCAGACACATTTATTACTTTTCCCTCAAGATTTCTTTCGTCTGAACGGGTTCAGGCTGGAACGAAACGGGAAGAGTTTTGGGCGGGATGGCCTTGGGACAGGAAGAGATTAACACGCGAGAACCTTCTTTTTTTTACTTTTAGCCTGCTTCTGTGCCCAGTTTGCGAACTGAACGTATTGAACAAGTAATGGCGAGTTTATTCGCTCACCGACACAATCGCCAGCCACGTGGCACCTTCAGCATATCTTAATAAGCAAGCTGCTGCAATGTGATTTTGCAGATGCATCGCGATGTACATTGTTCCTCTGATACCTGATGAATAATCACAGCCGGCTGCACCGAAGAAACATCGCAATCCAAACCAAAGGCTGAAAAAAAAATGTCAATTTACAAGTGTTACTGCGGTGATTTCGTCCATTTCAAGTCCCAAACTACGAGGCCAGTTTTCATCTCACTCTGTTCCGGTCCGCGTAACTTAAGGGTCGATTATTTAAACGAGGTTTAAACACCGTCTATGACAACTGCCGTCTAACCCATGTTTAAGGCGTCGTGGAAACCGATCGTCCAAAGCTGTATATAGACCATGTTTAACTACCAACTGAGGAACAATAATCGTCTGTCTTGTATGCCGTAAACAATGTATAACTTACACTTCGTTTGAATAACCGACCCTTAGGCTTGTAGAAAAAGCGAGGGAATAATATTAAAAAAAATGATGAAATATAAAGTATGACAGAATAAGGAATGAAGAAAGAATGAAACATACGAGAGAAATGAAGAATGAAAGAACGGAAGAACAAAAATACAAAGGACGAAAAAGTGGAAGAACGAGAGGGCGAGAGAACGAGATAACGAAACAACGAAGGTATACTTACTTTCCGGTACACTCTGCCAAATATGTAACATTTCCATACCATGGCAAAATGTTTAACCAGATCATGAAAACAGAGATACAAAATACTTGATACGTGGTCGTCCAAAATAAAAAATAAATGACGCCAATCCTCTCTTCCGATGTTTCATTTTCCTTCTGCAATCCTTTTTCTTCAAGAATAAACATTAGCGCTGCCGGAATCTATAACAACGGAAATTCTTGTAGGGCTTATTAAAATTGAGAAAAATTATTAGAGCGCCATGCATAACGTGGCCCACAACAACAGCTGCTAAGGAGACTAAAAAACACGAAGCAACCCCAAACAGATAAATTCACTATGAAGGTTGATACTGGATCATTAGGAGAGTAGAGCAGAGATGAACTTTGCAACTGTTTAATAAACCATTCTGGAGAGCGTCGATGAAATCTCTCGCCCCACTCCCCTAATGCCGTCTCTAAATCAACCACAGGCAGCCCAAGCTCCAGCTGTGAGATAATCATCTTGCGAAACAAGAGTCATGGCGAAAATAGAAGAGTTTGTATGGAAATGTTTACGACTGCTCTTAGGAAGTAAAAATACAATCAAATTCTCAATAAATACCTCGCCTTACTTTCACAGTGCATTGCTTGTTATGTGGACGGTTACTGTTCTTTGCTGCAACGAGGCCATTTTAGCGAGTTATCCATTTCTAGGTTTACTACTCCTAAGAGAAGGACAAGGCTGCATTCTCCATTTCCGAACGCCCGATCCGAAAAGCGAAAAATCCAAGCTCAAAATGACCGGGCGGCCGCAAATCCAACGAAGAATCCAAGCACATACAGTTTCATTTCAATTCACTTCTAACTCAATCCTCCCCATGAAACCGACGCTAAGCCGCAGTTTGCTTCCAAATTTCCAGTTTAGACGTTTCTAACGACCCGCGTACGCATTCACCTCTAAGGCCGGAGTAGTGAACGTAGGAAAGGATAACTCGCTAAAATGACTTCTTTTCAACATAGTAAGCGATCAGACAACAAGCAATGCACTGTGGAAGTAAGGTGAAGTATATATTGAGAATTTGACCGTATTTTTTTTTATTCATAAGAGTGGTCGTAAATGTTCCCATGTTCGCAAGACCCTTATTTCGTAAGATGATAATCTCACAGCTGGAGTTTGGGCTGCCTGTGTATCAACTAGCTAAGGTCATATCCAACGCGTATGTCATGTGACTGCTGTGTTCTTCACACCCATCCGCAACTTCTAAAATTACTGTTGCCATCGCATCCGGTGAAACGGCAATACTATGGGCCACTTTATGCTATTCGAGTCAGACTTGCTCACCACAAACTTGATAATGGTCACATATAAATTAAAGATTTTCTTACAAATCCAAACATGAACATAATAGGCCACATCACTCTTGAAATACCATCAACTTCGTCTTGATCTCTGTTGCTGATATCCGACAAAACTGTTGGGATGAAGCTAATGAAAAGACCAATCATTACCATAAGACCAGACAAAAGTTTTTGTCTAGACGGTTTCTTGTGCACAATGAGGATCCTAGAAGAAAACAAAACAAAACAAAAAAACAGATGAGACTTGTCAGCACTTTTCCTAACCTCTGTAGGGCCACCCCTACCCTCCGCGGTGGCATCTGTGCACAAGCTACTCTTCCCCTTCAAGCTCCTCTTCGCCTAATCAACTTTGCAGTGAAATGTAGAGCCTGGAGGGGGAGGGGTGGGGATATTGCAGAAAAGTTACTTCTACTGTTCTTATCGAGATACTATCCTCAGGGGCATCACAGCTACGGTAATGACACCGATATGTTGTATCAAATACTGCTCACAGAAAGTTCATCTTCAAATCACTCAAAATCATGTATGTACTGAGCAGTTACTATTCTCCTTCTCATCCGTACGGATCCATTCCTAGCATGTCACGCAACGTTGGGACTGTTGTATGACAAGAAGGAGATTGTCACGGCTGGTTAAGGCTTTTTTATGTCTCAAAGCAGCTTTCTCGTGCTTAAATTGTAGCAAAACTATCGAGCGCGAGATCTACAAGTGATTAGGTTGGCTCTGTAATAGAAAATAATATGGTGTCGCAATTCATATAGCGATTCTTGAGAAGCAGATTCTGAATGGCGCACGGGCCCATAATTTTTTCTTTTATATAAAATATACAAGGACCCAAGCATAAAAAGGGGGGCATTTCTATTGTACCTCGATCTTTTCTAGCTACATGTATCGCAAATAATTTGATTTACCTTGTCGTTCCTTGTATTAATCAGCAAGAATAAGTTTAAGACAAATCGGCACGGACTCCCCGTGTGAATTAATACGGATGGGGAACTCTAGAATAAATGTTTGTTCGAGTAAAGAAGATAACTTTAATTCAGCGTGACTGTATGATATTGAGTCACAGGGATCACCATATCTAACCCATGCTCATGAAGTTCTCAAACTGAGCAGCTAACTTGAATAATAACATCAACTCACCTGAAAAAGATAGTCAAGGGAATGATGAAGTTTCCAAGGATGTTTTGTTGGTATGGTGGAGTGCGGGAACCTTTACTCGCAAATGAAATCATTCCATCGCTCAAAGAGTCAAATAAACCCACTAAAAACAACAGCATGTGGGGAACTTTTATTTTCCTGAGAGCGTTTGGTGAACATATTCGAATGTAAAGAACTGCGAGTCCAAAAATCACGAGAAATACCACATTTGTAAATAGTAATACAAAGTAGCTGTCCACCGTGTGCCCCGGGCTGTTACCTTTTGTAGAATCGATCCATAGGGGAAGTGAAACGTTCTGGCCAACCATAGAAAGGACTGTGATAAGTGCGAAAACTACGTTCGCCCAGAACAGCGGAAGTTCAAAGAAGCCTATCTTTACCGTGGCACAATTTCCATCTTTTGAGCGCGGAAGGGAAGGTGTTGACTCGGACGTCGAGCTCGGCTTTCTGTTGGAATTCGAGTTTATCGCGAAGGCCGATGAGACTCTCGGTGTGGATGAATCCATTTGTAGAATGAATTATCGACGCTTTGTTTGTTTGTTTGTTTGTTTCTTTTAAAGCTTTTGGAACGGGTGCCCCTGGATGAAGGCTCTCTCGCTTCGCACCCAAGCTGATACAAGCCGACAGTGTCATGACACTCTCGTGAGAAGCACGTTTGTTAAAAACGGGTAATTTCGAAGCCCGATCATTTTGTTGATCACGCGCCATACAGAGCGTTGACCCGACGAACTCAATCTAATCACCAATCACTTAACTGTGATTTTGTGCCTCTAGGGGAAAGCATAACAACATGTGGTTTATTTTCGAACTTATCTTGGCTAAACATATCTCATGTTTGTTTCTTGTACCCTACGTTGAATTTTAAAAATCGCTACCTTTGTTGATATAGTTTGTAACAGCCGTCGCAGTAAAGAAATGAAGATGAATTTATTAACCAATTTTTTTTCAGAGAAATACAAATTTTTCCCTTTTAAGATAACAACAAGTCATACGTTGAAAAAAACTATCTGCACCAGGCAAAGGTCACGATTTTCACGCTTACACTTTCCAGTGTGAGGAGGGAGGGTCTCAGTGGGGTTGGGCAAATTAATTATTCTGGTCGTTAGTCGTAAAAACGTTTAACGTAATTGCTTTCTTACAAAATCATCAGAAATAATTTAACCGTTGTTAATAAAAAGGCCTAACTCTTAACCGCTTAACGTAAAAGCTATCACCCTATGGGAGATCCTCGTGAGAATCAGACGCGATATGCAGGTGTGTATTACATCATCTGAGGTTACACGAGGAGCTTTGGCCCCATAAAAAAATTCGCATCATGCATTCTACGGAGGCGCTCTATTTCTGTCATCAGTGTAGAGAATAACTTTAACGCTTGCGGTCGGTAAAATTCAACTAATAAGTAATACTTCATCTCTACTCGAATTTCAATTACGAAAACACGACAAATCTTGTATTGGAATCTCTTGGCGCGATCTCATCATGGAGACCGAAGTCTTCGATCGATCGGCTGAGCTTTCTAGAGTTACGGGATCCCATCTCGACCCCAAAAGGTACTGGTATTTCCTAACGAAAAGTTAGGCTGAATCAGGCTGAATGCTTGGTAAAATTTCCGCACAGCCCCATACTATTGTAAAACAATACATTGTTTTTGTCATTGTTTTCTCTGTCCAAGAATTGAATGCATAATGTAGTATGGGGCTGTGCGGAAATTTTACCGAATGCTTTTGCAAAGAACGAATTGTTTCGTCGATTGCGATGACTACAATACGTTCTGTCCCGCCAGCAGGTCGCAAGCGCGCCAACAAAGGCTGTTCGTTCAACGCCATGTAACTAAACAACACGTATGTTGTACCTTCAATTGGTCTCTGTGCCGGACTAATTAGACAAGGAGAATTCCAGCAGATGGATTTGCGAGGTCTCAAAATATAATCCTGTTGTTGATGCGGTAAATCAAATCGCTCTCGATCATACACTGAAAATGCCTCTCGCCGAATAATCATTGGATATTGCAAAGATGTCAGTCAGGAATAGCCAAGCTTGACAATGACATTCGGGAACTAGTAAAGGATAATAATTACATAAGTTAACGGCGGATGCCTCAACTTTCAGTCATAAGAAAGAGTCCAGACAAAGAGAGGTCTCCTGAAATAAATTAGTGTGAATTCAATTTTTCGTGCCCTCTTGGATAATGTACCCTTGAGGGTTAATTTTAATCTCTTCTATACCCTCTTGGGTAATGTATACCTGAGAGTTATTTTTAATCTCTTCTATACCCTCCCGGGTAGTGTATACCTGAGGGTTATTTTTAATCTCTCCTATACCCCCTTGGGTAGTGTATACCCGAGGGTTATTTTTAATCTCTCCTATACCCTCTTGGGTAGTGTTTACCTGAGGGTTATTTTTAATCTCTCCTATACCCTCTTGGGTAGTGTATACCTGAGGGTTATTTTTAATCTCTTCTTTAGACTCTTGGGTAGTGTATACCTGAGGGTTATTTTTAATCTCTTCTTTAGACTCTTGGGTAGTGTATACCTGAGGGTTATTTTTAATCTCTCCTATACCCACTTGGGTAGTGTATACCTGAGGGTTATTTTTAATCTCTCCTATACCCACTTGGGTAGTGTATACCTGAGGGTTATTTTCAACCTCTTCTTTACTCTCCTTACACAGCAGTCGCGTTCGACGATATTCATTCGTGTGAATTTGTTCACAATGACCTAAAATGCAATAACGGTGTTTTAGATCAGCTTCTCCCCTGTTATAGTCAATTTTGGTAAGAGTGATGTCTTCGGAAAAGCTCAAAATGCCGTTCCAAAACCTTCGCACATAAAAGGCCTTTATAAGAATAGTTGCATTGCGCCGAAGCTTGTAGACCGAATGGGGAGACCATCAATTGAAAGCGATGTGTATTCTCTGGATTATCTCATCAACACAGTTTCTGGACTCTAAAAGTTCAAAACCATGACCTGTATAAAGAGGGGTTTGTCGGAGTTAGCCGTTATGTAGGCCTAGGTCTTCTATCATGGAGGTGAAATCAGCTTTGCTGGTGCTGTTTTGTTAGGCTATTTTTGGGTTTCTCCTTTTTGCATGTTTTAAATTGTTCCTGTTATATGTTTCTGTAACATTTGGTCAGGAATATTTGTGGACCTTGTGTTAACGATTTACTGTTGTCTTCTTTAAGACATGTATTGTTTCTACAGAGAAAATGGGGGTGGGGTCCAAACCGCTGTGACACCGGCCTCCCGGTTTACCAAAGTTTGCACGCGTTGGTGGGCCTGAATATGTTTATAGTATTAAGTAGTGTTATGACGTGCATTAAATGTCGATTGTCGAGCTCTCTTTTCTTTCTCTGACTCACGCTTACTTTTCAATGAGAGTTCAACTTCAACGGCTCTTTGAACATTGCAGGAGTACGTGAGATGTTGAATTTTGTGTGTGCCCTGGACGCCATGGTTAGAAAACTGATATCCTTGATCTGTTTTGACATCTGTCAATCAAAGTAATATCGGAATGCTTTAATTGGTGTGCCGGACGATAAAACCAATTCGGAAAAAAGGTTGCTTTGGCAAACTACATGTTTGATTGAAAAATGTGGTAGGATCCAGTCTGGTGGCTATTTTAATTAACGCTTCCATGAACGACAGCGAATAAATGCAATATCGGCGGGGAAAAAAAGGAGAAACTCACTGAATTGGCTCTGCTTTACGGCAAGGCGAAGTGAAGTCTCTTCAACAAATCGACTACACCATGTGATAGTTTCGCGGCAGACTTCACATTCGATGACGTCATGCCCCCCAGCAGATCGCTGTTCCATTTGCGGTTTGTATTTTTGGTGGTTTCGGCGAGATAGCCTTCATGTCACGCCACAAGCAAGCTCAACGATTCGCCCAAACATCGAAATATTTCGTGTAATGCTAAGCAATTTAATGTTCAGCGTCTGATGTTCTGCAAAGTTATTCGACATAACGCTAAGCCATTTCACGCAACTCTACACCATTTGTGTGTACGCTGTACCATTCGACTTTACGCTGAGCCATTTCACGCAGCGCTACACCATTTGTGTGTAGCTATACCATTCGACATCACGCTGAGCCATTTCACGCAACGCTACACTTTTTGTATGTACGCTGTACCATTCTACATTACGCTGAGCTATTTCACGCAACGCTACACCATTTGTGCGTACGCTGTGCTACTCGACATTACACTGTGCCATTTGACGCAACGCTAAACCGTTTGTGTACTGTATTGCAAATGAGTGCTAAGCTATTCGTAATTGAGCAAGTCCATTTCACAATTTCATGTTCCAACTCGACATGGGCAACTAGACCGTTTATCATTTGGCTAAACTATCCATGTTTAGGGTGTTCTGTTTCACGAAGGAAAACTAAACCGTCTAGAATTTGGCCATGCCATTCCTTTATTAGCTATTCTATCCTGCAGCTAATCCTTAAACCAGCTTTGTATATGCTGATCTATTTGAGATCCTTGTAATTTTGGTGGTGACGGCCGCCCATAGGAAAATGATTAGAAATAAAATTATCGGAAGTTGCGGTTTTTTCTATTTCATTCGAGGGGAGCTTTCTTAACTTCTTTGTAGCGATTATCGGATGTCCTGGAATGTTTAGCGAACACCTCATGCCACCAAGAGGCGTCAAACCTTGGCTTGAGTTACTTACGCAAATTTTCTGTCGGCACATTGAATGTGCAGCCAGCTCATTTGCATAAGAGTTTTTTCCGACGCAAAGCTCGTCACGTAAAAAAGAGAAAAAAAAAAGTCGAGTCTTATTAATTCTTCGATCGTACGTCTTGCACTCTCATCCGCACAAAAATTCTGCTCGTCTGAGTTTAGCATAAATTTGCAAACACTTACCCTTCAAAATTTATCCTCAAGGCATTGGGAAGTAGAATACGGGCATGATTGCAACTGAGGTATGGATGAAAAAGAAGATCTGAAGAAAGTTTAGTTTGATTAGGTTTTGTTTTACTGTGTGGGGATTGTAATCACCTTTAATAAAACGAGCATATCGTTAGGGAGTTGTCCCCGATTTTTTAAAAATTCTTTTTTGATCCCAATTTTTAAAAAAAGTTATGGATGATGCCTCCAATGCGTAAAAATTGCAAACAGGATGAAATAAGCACGCTATATGCTACCTTAAAAAATTAAGAATCTCTCAAAATTTTGTATCCGATCTCGAAATATTCGATCGTCACTGTTTTGTGATAAGTATGGAAGTCTCACTGAAACTTGTCAAAAATTCCCCGAGTCTGCGATTTGTTAGGAAGGCCGGGGGTTTGGTGCCATTGTAGCTTAGAGTTATTATTGCACAATTCTCCAAAAAAGATATGAAATGATCGAGAAGATATGTTAAATAACACATGTAAAATACAATGAAAAGGAAATGAAGAGTAGAATTTAGAAAGAGCCTTATAAAAACCTTTATTGCTTTACATCTCAGTACCCAATTCCCTATTTGTAAAACGTCCTAATAACACAACGGTGATACGAGCATTGATCAAATTGAACTGTACACTAAATTTTATTCTATAGGAATTATTCGCTACCTATTCACATTGCAAAATGGATAGATAAATAGTCATGCACGCTCGTTTGTTTAAATTAGCTGATGTTTGTGTTTATGAAAAAGCTCAAGTTTCATATTCCCAAAGTTTTTGCTAGGAAAGGGAGGGCAAGGTTTTTACTCTATCCTTCCTGTCAAGTTCAAACGATATTCATCTCTAAAGTATATGAATTAGAACGAAGTTTGTCTCTGCAGTATATGAATTAGAACGAAGTTTGTCTCTGCAGTGTGGCTGTTCTATCTTTCCAGCTCTCAGGGCCAGCTTGAAAACAAAAACTGGATGTACTGAAGATGTCTGACTAGCTTGCCAGTCAGCAGGCTAATTTCAAATCGCGCTCGGCCGATTTGAAATTATTCGCCTAAATACTCCCTGGTTTGTACTCAATTCAATCTTGTTACCATCAATTTTAGCCGTTAATTGTTATTCTATCTCTTGTTCAATACATTTTTCTAATAATGGAAAAAAAACTTCGAGGAGATTGATGCAAATGCTTTCGGAAGCTGACGTAACCTAAGCAACACTGTTGAAAACTTGATTGATTAATTGAAGTTCACCGAATGGTTAAGATTGAGCTGTATATACAAATCAGTGACGTAAAAAAAAAAAAAATATAAAACTAAGAATGAAAACCCAAGCCCTAGCAGGTATGATTTTATCGGTCAATCTCTGTGGCAACCCACGGACAATGTCAAGATATTTAACCAAATCACGTTAAGCGCATGGGGTTCCTACGATTACCGTCTCAAAACTTGCCAGAACGTCATCGCACGTGTTCTAGAAGTTTAAGAAAAGTACTTTATGCCATTGCAATTGTTAGTATATACTATACTTTGTTAGTATATTACTAAAACAGAGGATAGCGATAAAGGCACGTTCTGATTGGCTACTCAAAATCCAAATATCCCTTCCTCTTCACCTCCGAGCAATAGCGCAGGATTTGCGCCCGAAAATATTGTAATCGTCGCACGAATAAATGAGTTCAAATCTTCTTTTTGTGCCATTTTATCTCACTGTTTTAGTATATTATGTCAGTGGCTTGCGGTGGATTTTAACTTCACCGCTTCGCAACTAAGTAATATCCATTTCGACTTCGGTGAATAGTTGTTAATAATCAAAAGTGTCTGGAATCAAAGTAAAATTGGCAGACTATTTTTTTTTTTACTCTTGTACAAAATTATTAGAAGTCAGATACTATAAAATATTTACTGCTGTCTACTATTTTGTTTTTTAGTCGTAAAAAAAATTACTTCATAGAAAGAAATTAGAATTAATTGTTCATGTTAAGAGAGAATTGCCATATTTGGGAATACTTGTCGATGTCACAGTTATCTACGGTCACGTGTTGACCACTCTTGACGTCTTTGCTGTCCAGGCACAAGCCAGACTGTCTGTGGCGCAGAGTGCGTTTAGGGGTGTGTTCCCACATCTAATTGACAAAATAATCACGTCATTTTTCAATAAAGTTGATAACTTTTCTTTTGAAGTTCAATGGCGCGAGCATACCTTTCATTCTCAGTGTGCGCACTGATTGCGAGCGTTTACACATTTAAGTGTAGCAGATGGAATTCTCTTTGAACAACATTTAAACTAACACGTCAACGACGTCATAAACCAGTGGTTCCAAGAAGCGATAGCTGCTCTCTACGCCCCGAGAAACTCCTAGTTAAGCATCTTCAGCGATCTTCAATCTTTCCGCGTGGTGTATATCTCGATGAACGCGCGCTGACGAATGCATCAATAGTTCATTTTAGGTCTCGTGTAGTTCACAGCGCATCCTAGCGGCACATAATTATACGCGTACCTAGCATAAAAATATCAACAAATTGACGGTGTTTCTTTGGGGCTGAGGCTCGCCAGTGAAATAATTCCTTTTTATCTTGTGAAGAAAATACTGTGCCGACGGTTATTACCCTTATCCAACTTGAGTAGAACGCGTAACTATATGCAGGTGGCAAGTGCAGCGGAAACTTTGGCTCAGTTATTTCAATTCCCAGAGCTTATGTGGTCTGGGACTCGCATTCTTCACCTCCAACTCAGTGGTTGGGCTGACTGTTCTCAGTTTGTCTTCACAGGAAGATCTACATAAAATCATTGTGGGGATTACTAACCTGTTCGTTGTCAGTATCTCGACAGCCTTCTATTACAACTGGCCTTCCAGGCGAAGAGTCTTTGAGCGTCAAACACATGTCGTGGTGACGTACTAAACTTGTTTTAGTGAGAGCCCACTCCTAGAGCACGAAAAAACAACAACAACAACAAAAAATAAATAAATAAAAGAATCGAATGGACAAGAGGCTCTTGGCTATTTCATTATCCTCGACTGAATCGTTGCAGGCAAGCGACGTTCCGCATCATTTTATCAAATGTGTTTGTGTTCGTCCTGCCATTTAATAACGCAATACCTGATTTCCTGCCTGTCCGTGACAATCGAATAGGCCGATAGAGCCGCCGGCCTGGCTACCAAGTGTATCCAGACATTTCTTGCCTTGCTTCAACTCCCCGAAGGACACATCCTTTGAATCAGGGACTCTACGATCAAGAACAGAAATGGAGAGTTTGATAGTTGAGAGTCGAAATTTATTCGGGATTTATTAGTGGTGCTCTGGCTTAGAGAACTCTCCGAAAAGTGGATGTAGATGACGTCGCCCCATTGCACGGTCGCACCAAGTTCTGTGGCTCCCAAGTAAAGTTCCGTTAGCCTGAGGTATGGTTGCGTCACTCCCAACTAAAAGCTGCGTCGCCCTCAACTTTTAAAACTTCATTACATGACTGTAAAAGACTTTGGGAAATTTCTGAGCCACGATTTTCTATTTTCAAGGTGCCTTTTTTCGCTAGATGTTTTTGCTTACATAAGTTGTATTATGCAGGGTATCCTAAATAGTGGGTGTTTAATAGTGTCATGGAAACTATAGTCAGTTAGCTATTGCACAAAGGCGTGAGGATTGTTAATTCGTAATCACATAATCAGAGACACCAAGAAGCTAGCAAGGTTGTTAGTAAAGAAAGCGAACGTACTGAAGATCTGGATAAACAGTCTCCAAATACCACTTGAATGGCTTGCATTTTAGACGTTCCCGCAGCTCTTTTCTTGATTTCACACTACAACCAAAGAAAACAACCAATCATACCAAAACATCACACCAAGCAATAAAAAAAAGAAAAACAGAAAACAAACAGACAAACAAAAAATACAAATTCGACTTTGGGGATGACTTACACTCAGGTATTTGAAATGTCAGTCACCACTACCGACAGCATTATTTTCAGGACTACCCTCATCCGGACGATCAGACCACACGATCATTTACGGTAACACATAAACCAATAAAATAGCTTCTACATGGAAAATATAGGCTTTCCTCTTTTAAATCAAGGATAATATTTTTCTCTAACTGCCACGTGGAGCACCTTCACCGGTTTGTTCAAATCGAATGCGTTTCAGTCTCTCGTCCCAATACGCAGTTTTTTCTATCTCATCCATTCAGAGACGAGCATTTAATTTCTACAAAATAACTGAGACACTACGAGGATCCTGATTGGTCAAAAACCTCTCGTTTATCGTACCAGTAAAACCCTTCGTTGTTTTACAAAGCAATAGACCGCACTCGAAAAGTTTGTTAATCACTCGTGATTTACAAACATTTCTCGTGTTCTCCCATCAACCCGCGTGGGTTGTTACACCTCTTAACTGATCAACTGATGTCCTGCTCTTCTGTTCAAAATTTCTTTACCTTCCATAATTGGCACTCCGCGCCATGGGACGTGCAGCATAATAGAATCTCTTGTACTCGTCCATCCAAACCTCAGCCGTTCGGCGGGTATTCCTACATAGACATGAATAGCCTGCGTGAAAAACTTTCACTGAAAGATCCCGATTGTCAATGAAATATCTCCTTGTCAATACCATAGCAAATGTAAAGAGGAAAGTGTGGAGAATATGGATATTAATCTAAGGGTGTAAAGGGTTAAAAATCCCTTTTGGATTACACAGTAACTTTCAAGATAGAACTTTAAAAGGCAAGAGTGTGACGTAACGCGCCACCATAACCTACTTCATGTAAGTGTTGGCATTTCCATCAGGAAATGAATAGGGATGTCTTTTTCTGAACACGTGACCAACTCTTGAACAAGGAATGATTTCCATGCTTCCTCCACATTGCCATGTCCTGAAGGAGATTTCTGTCAGAAACGAAAAAAAAAACGATCTCATTATTGCTATCACAGACCTGAAAGACTCTAAAGCCGATGGACAGTAAGATGCATTTACTGTTATTTTCCCCACTTTTCCTCTTTTATTTAAAATACATCTACACTTTTAGTCAACAGTTGACCCACTTACCAAAGTTTTCTCCGCCCCAGATGTCCATCATGACGTCATACTGCCCTAATTTCTCGAACCAGGCTTTCTCCACCACAAATAAGCCACCAGCTATCATCGGTGTTCTGAAGACAACACAATAATTAACAATTATCCACCGAAGTGGAGGTGAATAGGGGTAGATATCTGCCGACACTGAGGTGAATAATTGTTTCAGTATACACCGCAGATAGACAAAAAGAAAAGAAAAAAAATAGTTTACTTCTTTAACTAAACCGAAAAATAGTCGGAAATTTTGGTCGTGATTTTGTCTCATCGGCTGCTACTTCCGAACCAGCCAATCAGCGCGCACGAAAAGCACTATTCATCTGTGTGGAATATACTAATTAACAAAAATATAATTGATACCGGCGAAATGTCACGCTAGCTAGCATCCCATCCAGGGGGAGTAAAAATAATTCATATCATTTGATGTCACAGAAAACAAGGTAGCTGTGGCAGTTACACAAGAAAGTTTTATATGAAGTCTCCAGAAGAGAAGGCCTTTAAAATGTCACGCACCACTACTCCGCTCTCTCTGCTTATTTCGAAGTGAGCGTTACGTGACGCTCTGTAAAGGAAAGTGTCTTATATGCAGATACGTTTATCATCACATGTAACGCAACAAAATTGCACAACCAAAGGTCACGCAGACTGCATACAGCAAACAAACGCCATGTACATTATGGCTTGGATTACATGTGCTGTTATGTACCTAATTGGTGCCACTGGATTTTTTTTTCTCGCTTGTTTCTCTTTCGTTGTTAAGCTGTCCCACTTAAAATGTAGACTCCAATCAAATCCTGAAAAAAAAAGTCATAAATGAACTACTGAGTTAATAAATTTAGAAGGAATGGCACCAAATTGTAAGTATACGACAAGTATGTAAAATGCATCATTTGTTTCAAAAATCAGATTGAATACACACTCTAAACAACTTGCGATCAATCGCTGTCACGTAATGGCATACTACACCATTTATCTTCATGTTATGTCAAATCTCGTTTCTCAGTTCACGTTATATCACCTCTAATCCCTTTCCATCCAACCATAACACCTCACATCGCACCAAAAATACGTCACGTCACGTAACGTTCAGTTAATTCACGTCACGTCACATCACACACTCTATATCTGAAGTCACATCACATTACAGTATAAAATTATTTGTATTTTAAGCCGATGAAACCTCACCTCCCTTAATGTCTGCTGAAGCTCCAAGGTAATTAAAATCATCCATGTTGATTACGTCAATAATTGGACTAACTACAACTGTTCTATCCTGAAAAAGGGAAAGGATAGAAAAAAAAAGTGAAGCTAACGAGTAGTGATAAAGACACTCACACCAAATCCGCGTGACTGAAAAAAAAGTAATCAATATTGCAATAATATAATAATAATCACAAACACTCTTTAATGATTTATACTGTATCATTATTCTACCCCAAGCTCAAGCCAGTGAAAAAGAGAAAAAAACGCGCCCAAAAAACTTGGCGGTAGCCGTTTCCGTTAAAACCAGCATTTTATTTCACACTTCTTTTTCCTTTTCATCGCTGACTGAGTGTTTAGCCGACACTATGAATAAAAGAGGCCTACATATCAAAGGAGTGAAAATGTCTTTCAGCTTTGACCAAGATTATAGCAGCGACACTAATTATCCTTTTTGTCTTCCCAGCGTTTCCTGATTGCTCATTCAGGTTGTATTCGAGTCAAGAGGATTTAACCCTTTCACTGAGAATTTCACCCAAGGCGTACGTGGAAGAGCATCTCCAAAGCCAGTGGAACGTATCAAGTATAAGGGTCAAGGAGCAGGGCGGGGTCAGGAGGCACCGATATATTCTCAGCAAAAGATGTATTCTTACCTCTACAATTCTCTGTAATAGAGGCTCTAACCAGCCAACATTACACTCACAGTGGCTGTCAAGAAATGTTAATATAGTGCTGGTGGCAGCATTTGCTCCTTTAACACGAGATCGTATTAACCCTGGAAAAAAATGTCAGAGCCTCATTCAAGTAAGTTAACAAAGACGCCCTGGGGTTTTCTTTTAGTGAATAAAGAAACAGCATTTTATAATTCCTGAAGAGAATTGACCACAACACTCAAGTTGACTTGCTCTTTATTGTGATCCGCATGTTAAGTTAAATACTCCCCACTTTCCAAATCACCCATCTTTTATAACAAGGAATGGCTAATTTAGTTTCAAATTCACAACTTTTAGAGTAAGATTTAATTGAGTTGAATTTTTGATTTTATACTTTTTCCAGTGTGAAACATCAAATCCAATTGATCAAACATGACTTGGCCTTGTCAATTTTCTCTCTGAAAACAGTAGACTTGACTCAGTCCAAAAGGTGTACATGTGTTAAATAGAACTGGATGGGCTTTGCACTTTATGTATAGGTTAAAATCTAAAATTCAGTGCACCTTCTCTTTTGTCATTTCTAAGAACTTTGACCTTTGGAAGCCCTAACAAGAGCTGACCATCATCAACTGTAAGCCAAAAAAGCAAATAAAATTAATTAGTGATGAAAATAAAATATATGACAGCCAATTTAGTGTAATACTACTGGCATATGATCATGCATGATAACAATTTTAGACACTATTCAAAGTTCTAACCAAAACAAATTTCTTTACATTGCTTCTACAGTGCATGTCAGCTTTTGTAGTCAGGGAACTTTTATATAATTATAGTCCACTTACCATTGTCACTGAAGTCATCTACTAATATTATTTCTGTGATGAGACTCGGTGGACTCTTATTTAATATACTGAAACGAAATGGAAAAAAAAAAAAAAAAACTGAATTCTAATAAATCCTATCAAGTAATTTCCCCATATTCTTGATCTATGTTTAGCTCAGTTACAACCTCAATGCTAAATGGACTGTCTGCTCATTCTGGTTTCCAGTCCTGCTTTCCAAACATTGGCTATTTTTTTTTCCAGCTGGACTGCCAGTTTCAGCTCCTCATCCACCTTTGTAAACAGCCAACTGGTTTACCTCTACCAGTTGGGGTTTGTTATTACTTTTTATTATTAATCTAAATTGTGCTTTTTACAAGGATTTCCAGCCCTGAGAATAGCCATAATTGCACAGGTGTAAAATTAAGGTATTTTTTTTAAGTGTGTTTGATATTGCCTATAAGCTGCTGCCTTTTGCGCCACTAGGTCAGGTTGACAAAGGAATGACAAAGCATTAATAATTCTAAGGTAGATCGTTGAATATTTGAAGTCAGTTAAGGCTAATGGTGTTTATATGATAAACAAAATAATAGTTGCTTGTACAGTATAGATATAGAATTTCTTTTTGTGAGTTCCACTTGTGACACCAATGTATCTCACTTGTTTGCTGTGCTGACACTCATGAAATATCCACTTGAACACTCAAAGAGAAATTCCATATCTCTGTGTGGCCATGTAACTGTATTTTTCTCTATTTTTTGTATGAAGCAGCATCATTTGTGCTTTATCAGAAACCCTGTTAGGGTTCTACACTGAAAATGGGGCAAGTATGTGTAGGGTGGCAAAAAACTGAGGGGTCATACAAGACAGGAAAGAGAAAGATTGGTTGTCATTCCTTAAATGCTTATTGACTGAGTTAGGTCAGGGCCAAAAGAAAAATACTTGGCTAGCAGTGGTGATCTACATGTACAAACTTCACTGCACTTGGTCTGCACATGACCTCTAACCAAATATTTTCCCATGGGACACATCCACCCAGTCATAATACAAAACATGTGTTGTGTTTTTACATGTACACTATAGTTCTGTTGATGGTGTTCTCAGCTGGAATAGCTTGGTGTACCTCCCTTATAGACACACCTTGTAATACACACATGTATGTATTACTGTAATTTGTTTTATTTATGATTAAAAAACCTCACCTTTTAACAGTTCTAAGAAGGGTTGATCTTCCCTCATTGTGAAATGTTATTATAACAGTTGTTGCAGGTAGTTCTTTAGAATATTCTTTATATCTACATCTGAAATGAAAACAAAATTAAAAGCAAATTAGAAATGAATTGTACATGTACATTATAATATGGAATAGTGATAATTAGTAAAAACGATTTGGCTCCACTACTTTTAACACCACATGCACAGAGTCAAAAATGTCAGTAGCTTTCACATTTTATACAGTCATGTACAGTGTATGTACATTGTAGCTGTAATTCACTGCTTTAACCATTTAACTCCCAGATCAAATTTGTATTTCTCCTTTCTGTCAACCATACAATTCTTCTCATGTTATTTTAGAGAATTTAAGTATTGAGTCAACTAATTATCCCCAAATTTATATTTTTCTTTATTCTCATCACTTATCTGTTTGATATTGTATTGATATTGTAAGGAGAAATTCTGTCTTCGTCACTCATGGGAGTTCAAGGGACAATGATCAAATAAGAAAATTTTGGTTAAAGGAAAAGAACTGTATAGAGAAAATCAATCCACTGACTAGCAAGACCAAGAACTGCAAATCATAATAAACTGTATATACATGTTTGTGCAGTCACTTCCACTGCTTAGTGTAAACTTAAGGTCTAAATAAGTTAAGCCTCAAATGATTCACCAATCATTATATTGTTCAGTCACATTAAGTCTCACTGCCAAGTTTGCATGTATTTGGTAAAAATATCAGTTATATTACAAAGTTAGATATGATGATGAAAATCCAAAACTAATGAAAAGATAAGGGAAGTTGCCAGCCTGATTCTCAAAATTATACTGGAGATTGAGTCTATTTTTAACAGAGGGATTTGAAACCAAATATATCACTTCCTGCATTATCACAGATTCAACCGAAACAACTATCATTACAACATTTATATGTAACCAAGTTTTTGACCAATCAAAATGCTAATTCAGAGTGGAATAGGAAGAGTTGTTTCACAAGAGTCCGTGGAATTTTTAGGATAAATTTGCATAGGAGAGAAAATCACAGTTTTGTTAAAACCAAGTTCAAAATGTTCCAGCTGAAAGCTGCCTAAATGAAAAGGACTTGTTCAACCTTTCTGGCTAAATGACATGAAAACTGATTCTGAGAAAAAAATTCTCCTGGTAAAAGGCAATAAGTCCTTACTTAGGTCATTATTCACTTACTGTGAATGTCTAGTATCTGGAACTGTTCTATCTCCCCCAATAGCATCACTTGCGGCTTGATTAAATTGATTCCTATTATATTTATCTTCTCCATCCTTCAGTGCTCCACCTTTCAGATAAGCCTCTTCATCAAAGGCTGGTCTTTCCACTCCTACTTCCTTGTGAATATACTGTGGATTAAATATTTAAGATAAAAAAGGAAAAACAAAACATTTATTAAAGTCAATTTCACAGGAAAAGAGTCAGAAGTCATGATCAAAACTTAGGAATTTTAAGTTTATCTTTCACCCCATTTACTCCCACAAGTTAACTACTAGTAAGGAAATTTGTGATTGTGACTTTGGGATAATAAACTTCTATTGCCCCAGAGGCATTCCTGAAATTGTTACTGACAATGATTATATAATAAATCACTCCTTTTGCTGCAAAAGTTAGATGGTTTGGTTTTACATTGGACAGGTGTTTATATAATAAATACAACATTACATGGTCACTTGGAGATACAAAATTTCTCTTCTAATGTTGAAAAAACACTTCACTCTTTCCCTGCTCTCACTTGTGAAATATTTGTCAGCACTCAAAGAGAAATTTTGTGTCTCTACATGGCCATGAAATATCCTCTATTTAATTTTGAGGAAGTCTTGACACCTCCCAGAATATTATTGAACTGATGCATTGAGAGGAAGTTTCTTTAAGTAGCCAGGTTAATCCAGAAAAGGTCATCAACATCATATTGACAGATGAAGATAAAGAAAAACAATTATGCATTACATGGTTTCCTGTTTCATTTGTTTTATAATTCCTAATTTACTGTATGTACATGTATATCATATGCTTTTTTAAGTATCAACCTTTGGAAGTCACAAATTGGACACCCTTTGCCATTTCTGGAAATTTTAGAACTTTTTGAGAAAATCCAAGTAAAATGAAGTGAAATGAAGTGAAAAAATCTCAATAAATAGCACTGTTCACATATACAGTAAAACATCAGAAAGTATATCATTGTGAATCAGTTAAACTCTGTACATAAGCTGTCTTATACATGCAGGTGCAAAATTACTCTTGAACTACAGTATGTCTGACAATTACAAAAAAATTTAATGAGAATCTTGAAAATAGTAACAACAATAATGTTAATGACAAGGATAATAAAACCAATGGTGATGAAGATGACAATAATGATGATTATGTTAGTAATGACCTACCAAGAATCTAGGATGCAATTTTCATTGGAACTGTTATAATAAGCAAATAGTCCACACTTTCTATTGCTCTACTGGCATAATAACCCATGCAGGGTGTTGTGACTCAGAACACAAGAAAAGTTGGTAAATGACAAGATGGAAACAAGTGTTTTAAAAACTCTTCTTGTGTTCTCCTAACATCCTGTATAGGTTATTATGCTGTAAAGTAACAGAGTGTGCAGTCTATCACTTTCATAAAATAACCAGAGGTTTACTGATGCAGTAAATGATAGGTTTTTGATCTATTACAATTTGGATATACATACAGTATTTTCATTGCTTAGGATATGTGTTGTTACAGGGATATTTCTATTTAATTGTGGGTAGATCTGAAACAAAAGTTGTTTTTAGTAGGAAATGAGTGGTAATTTCCTTCTTGGCATTAAATTGAATAGTTAGAATGATTCACCTCAAATTTCATCGGGGATTTCAGTAGCAGTTTTATTCTACAGTCTGAATCTATTATAATAAATTGTTCCATTTTATTTTAGTCTTTCCAAATTGGAGTAATATGCAAACATTATTTTATCGGTTGGTGGGAGAGGACTTTGCCTGAAGGCACCAGTCAGAGTGTTATTTATTTACACTGTGAGCATCTGATGGTACGAATTCGTTTTGTGAGGTTTCTCAGAAATTTTCCAAAATTTTGTTCGCCATCATTATACTTTGCAAATATAATTTATCCCCTTTCAAGTTCAATCGACGATTCGTACAAATAAAATCTGTCCTCAGAAATAGAAAAAAATTGTAGGTTCTAGAGAGGAATGAAGTATCTTAAAGAAAAACAGTCAATAATTTATAGAATCCTAACAGCTTTCCCACTGAGATGGGAAAATGAAAATGATAAAATTCAATGGATATCTTTGTCATTTAAGAAGATCTCCTCGGTTACTCATTGTTCAATTGATGATGATTCTCATTGGCTAATAATACCTCCAAAGAGAGCTATCACCTCTTCCCGTTATCAAAACCATTTCAAGGGGCAATGCATTTCCATGGATTGGTTAAAGAACGTTATCTTATAGTAGCACAAACATTTTAAAATACACAACCTCGCACAAACCAAGGAACAATACGAATTCTTACAGTACCTTTGGCGGCTCGCTCCGTAATAACCCCGAATCCGATGTGAAATACAGTATTCCTAAAAGCCATATCACTATCAAAGCAACGGCAAAAACTCTCCTTTTTCTGATAATCATGATAAAATCGGAGCAAAATTGTGTTCTGTATGCTATTTACATTGTATTAAGACATGCATGTTGGCAGAATTAGCTTAGTAACCACGTAGGGCAAAGTCACGCAACTTGAGCGGTTACTTTGACTGCTGTTTGGATAGAGACGGCACAGAGACTGGATCGCAACGCGTGCAAAGTGCATGGCCTAAACCTTGAGAAAGTCGATTTTTGTGTAAATACTGTGATTCAGAGTCATTCATTAAGCTTGTAACGTGTAAGAATAAGAGCACAAAAAGCTTACTCATCTGTTTTTCTCGTTTGGTCTCACCATGGATCAAAATACGAACTATGGCTCGTATGCTGCCGAATCGTGCCAAAAAAGTTCGATGGCATGAAAATTGCAATTTAATTTTGAGGCACTTGATTAGTGCATACTCGTCGAAGGCCCGAAGAAATAAGCGATTTACAGCATTATTGTGCTGACTTTCGAAGGAACATAGAAATAAAACGGGACTCAAAAGTGATCCACGAGAAACTTATCATGATTCAGTATTCTTGTAAATTTAAGTAGTGAAAAGAGTGTTCTTAGAATTTCTACATTGAGTTTGAAACAGAAGAGTTTGTGGTAAACGTAATTTACAACAATTTTTTTGTTTGTTGATAAACAGTCAATGTATAATTAAGTGTTGGGAGCCCAATCATTTTACCACACTCTGGGATTGGTCCAGAAAACGCACGCTACTTTCTGCATCAATCAGAACTGCCACCCGTGGCTGCTCTGTCGCTCCTCAGATAACTTGTGTGTTATTGATGTGTTCAGAAGTGGCGGTAACACAGGTTATTGAATGAGAACAGCAGCCTGGCTCCTTCCTTTTTGCTTCGGTATATCTAAGTCTTAAACGTTTGAGAACCTAAAACGTTTAAAAATTCTCCCAGCGCCACTTCTTCTCGTAATCAAAATGAATAGACAGCTAGATAGAGAGATATTTTTATGTCACAAGGGTCTCCCTATCAGAATTAACAAAGTGAAAACTGTTATCTATTAAGACCCTTCATCTAATGGTACAAGTATCTACGAATAACTAAAAAAACATAATACAAAAAGCCGCCGGAGAAAAACAGAAAACTTTTGAAATACTGAAGGCGAGAAGACGCACAGTTTTCTAAAGGTGTATGGTTTTCATTTTTGCTTTTCTAGTTTTTTCCAGAAAACGAAGCAGAATTCCCACCATTTCCCCTGAGAAATCAATGACCTCAACTGTTTGCAAAAGTTGCTGGGAACTTCCAAAACCTTTAAAAATAATCCTGAAAGAGTAACTGTGACTAGAACATTTTTTAACATTCGGCTTGGTAATGAAGATCCGTTTCGTACGGTATTGGAAATTTTACTAATCATATTTTCCAAAGAATCGCACCCTGCTGCAATAAAGCTTTGCCAAAGCTCATACTTCTTAAATATTTCGAAGGCTATTAATGTTTATTAATGGTCCTTACAGCTCAATAAGGAGATCAATCTTCATTTCATTTGAGTGCCTCGGTTTTCTTCTTCTTTTTGTTATAATTGTACGGAATCTATTGAACTGACCTGAACGTATTAAAATTCAACCAGAATTAGTATTTTGTTTTCGAACCTGTTTAAGTTTACTTACATCTCGTACACCGTTTTAAAAGACTGCTGTTTCATTGGATAGTTTGGTTTTATCAGCTGAGTTGATAAGGTGAAGAGTTTCTAAGCTGACGATTTGAGCGTAAGCTCTTCGTCATTCACTCTCACGAATGGTTAACACTCGAAACATCAGTTTAGAAATTCTTTCATGGTCGGTCAATTGACTTCAAGTCAAATTACTGAAATATGATTAGTGAAATTTCCAAGTCAAAATGTGTTTTTATCAACTGAGTTGATAAAGTTTATCAACTCAGTTGATAAAAACACATTTTCTTCTGATACCCTCCACCGACGCAGCACCGCAGTTTCTGTAGGAAGTTACCCCCTTTAGTCAGGTGTTGCATTGGAGGACTGTTGGTCAAACAAATAATTGAATGATGGCTCATGTTTATTTTAGAATCAAAATGTGCAAGCTAAAAATTAGCGTGGATGATTTGGAATCGGGAATCGCTTTAAATTATATACGCGTGGGAGAACTTATTTAATTGCAATCATTTATATATTAGCTTCTGGTATAGTTTTTGTGCGAAAGGAAATGACAAACTTAATGTCTAAACTTTTCCGCAAATACTTTAATTGAAAAGCCAGGGAATTAGTTTTCAGTTTTGGGCTCTTCTGATCCAATACTAGTCTTACGCTACCTCTTTCTGGAATTTGTAGAATTACCAGCTGTTTTAATACCATGATCAGGTATCTTCTGCAACTCATACGGAAACCACGACAAGGCAATGGTTTTAAAAAGAACTAAGTTACCTCTAGGGGGTGGGGGTTAAATTCTCCGATAGTGAGCTGATCTCAACATGAAGGGGGGAAAAAAGCGTCTTTCACAGAGTAACACCGCTGTTACGAGTTCGAAGCCTTGGTGATGACGACTTTACTCAGGTTTCTAGGTGGAAAAACAATCCTAATATTGTAACAGCGACAGTACAACCTGACATCCAACAACATGAATCATAAATAACTCAGGACGTAGAAAAGTCAGCATGTTTCAACATGATTAAACATAGTAAGTAACAAACTTGAAAACTCTAAAAAAAAAGGGACCAGATCAATAAAATAACCAAACTACAGCTGATGGATTACAAATATTTTGTTGAAAATAACAGAAATAATATCTACCTACGCCCAACAAATAAAATTCAAACTAATAACAATGAGTGCGAAAGTTCCAGAACAAACCCCACTATCGTGGATATTGCTCACAAGAGGAGCCGAGGGAAGATAAAAGGCATACAAACAATTAAAAACTTAATTTCTTAATTTTCGTTTGCAGTACTATTTTTTCGGTCTGATTCCATCCACAAGAGAATCTTTCACAAGTCCATTAGCAGGCACTATAAATGATATTCTTAGATAATTTCCTGATATAGTCATAAGATCTAAAGCGTAGAAAAGGGAAGGGGTGTGAGTTATGGGGGAGGGGGGTGGGGAAGAGATCAAACACTTAAATCATATTGGTATCCCTAATGCGCCCTAACAGTTTCTCTTGGGGCATAAATTTAGGTACCCCAAATCCAATTATCCTTTCTTTGTCAGGCCTTTCAAAGATTGTTAGATCATTGTTTGGGGTTACCTCAGAAGAATGGTTTTCACTTTCCTTTGGATTTTCCTGTTGATCAAGAAGTTTGAATTTCAATTTCCTTTGGAAAGGCCAGGTAATAATGTATTGTAGCACGGGTTATTTTTGTAAAACTCCTAGTTTCAGGGTGCACACGTTAAGATTTTATCAGGATGCGTATACTAGAAGACTGACTGACTTATCCTAAATAAACTTTTCACATTGAATGTCTTGTGCGAGTGTTGTCAGAATTGAGTTTTTTAGTTAAAATACACTTCTGATAACTATTTGTATACCTTGTCTCGATCCAGACTTGATCTGTCCATGGGGTAAGTCAAAGGTTCGCGACGAATTTTCTGCCTTTTGAAATATTTTGAAATAGGAAAGATAACATAAGTGATGGTTTTTTTAGCCTCAGTGCATCGTTTAGACCTGTTCACTGTGTCTCATATGTGTTTCGTCAATCACAAAAAATCTTTATGCCTATTTTGTTTCCGGAAGCTTTTCATGCCTTATGCTATGTTAACGAATGTTTTATAATTACTCGGAAGGTATAGTGTTAATATGAAGCCTTTGCAAAATCTGTGACCGCATCTCGTAAGAACCAGCCCTTAATTAAGAGTCAACTGGCATATTACACAGAGAATTAATCGTCAACAGCATACACAAAGTCCTCTTTATAACCCGGAGATAACTGATTTCCCTCATGCTCCACATGGGATCAGCGATCAGCGATTAGCGAAAATATTGTCCACTGTCTTTAAGATATTAGCCAGTGATGCAGGTCCAAAAAGCTTACGTGATCTTATAACAGTAAGGTGCTCCACTTATAACCTTAGGGGCACCACAATACTGGACCTCCCAAAAGTAAAATCAACAACCTTCGGGTTAAGATCATGGAGATATGCTGCATCGAAATTATGGAACGCCTTACCGGACGAGTCTCGAAAGATACAAACATTTACTACTTTTAAAAATTATTTAAAAAACATTAGATCTCACAGGACTCTAGTGCGGTGAGGATCTATCCTTGATTATATTTACTGTTTTTAATGATTACATTTTATACATTTTACTTGGTGACTACATTGTTAAATTCTTATATTTTAATATTAGCTAGTTCTTAATCTTAATTTATTTAAATTTATATACCTTCATAAGGCTTTATAATTTCCTTTTCTCTTTTTATTTCGTGGCGTACCTGTAAACTAGCTTTTAGCTAAGCGTTCTGACCACGTTAAATTAATTGATTGATTGATTGATTGATTGATTGATTTATATGCAACTGACTCATTAGCACAATTTTGACTCAAACGATTTCAGTGAATTAGTTACCAGTTATCGGATCCTTGTCTTTGCGCAGAGATTTCCAGGATCGCCACGTGACAAACATTGCAACTCGCCAGAAAGAAGCGTATGGCGAAAGGTTGTTTCGACGTCAAAAAAACGATTTTGGTGATATATCATCGCTTTTTTCCCGGTATTTTATCAGAAATGGGTGTGGGTAATATTGATAGAAAGGAAGGGCAAGATTTTGTTTGAAAAACCGTAAAATATTTACTGAAATCTTGCGATTAACTTTTCTCCATGCGCAAGGGTTTGGTGAAATTGACATTGCGTAATGATCTCGAACTTTAGAAGTATTCGTTTTAAATCGCCGAGGAATAACTCAATAGAGCCTTTTCAGTTTTATTTGCTTGTGTTAAGTCGACACCTAGCTTTTTTCTTGGCTCGGTAATTAAAAAAAAAAAGCCTACAAAAATTACCTTGAGGCAGCAGAAGTTTGAAATTGTATGCTTGAGCATTAAATATTACCGGGATGTATTAGTGATTAAAAACACCTACATTGCCTCTTTGTTGTGATAAATGAAGACGAACCAGCGTTGATAATCGGCTCAAAGCTGATCCCTTTCTAATGCGACGATTAGTAGATACAAATGGGTGGCTTATTAAGGAGCGATGCACAACTGAATTTATATACGTCCATATTTTCTGCCGGAGTCCCCTGATCTTTCTTTTCCTGACAATTACTTCAAGGAGTTCGAGGAAATAAGTGACAGCTCAAAAACCTTTGGATTTTTCTCGACAAATTAGCACTTGACCTAGGGATTTCCTCTTGTTTTTCATTGCTTATTTCACCCCTCCAAAGAGCAACAGTTCGGTAAAAACAATTTCCATTTCCGCTGACGACGACCTCTCATCTCAATCTCTTCTTTGAGGAGGTATATTTTCAGACATCGTAATATGTTTATTTAATAAGTTAACAAGTATAAAAACAGGGTGTACATCCAAAAATACGACTGAAGTGAATTGTATCTGTGCGATTTAAGGCTAATTTTGTAATATGTCGAGACCATTACAGAATGACGATTTCACAATTATATTACGGACCTTACGCAAGGAGAGAAGTGAATCGGTATATTTTATGACATATTTCCTGGTAATGCTAAGAAAAACTTACTCTTCCCTCGTATCAACATTCTCCTAATCCATTTATGATAAAACTGCTCCGAAAAAGCGTTAATCTCTCTTAAAAATCGTTTTTTGGACGTCGAAGTTACTTTTCGCCACACACTTCTTTCTAGCGAGCTACAATGTTTGCTCCGAGACAATCCCAGAAATTTTTACGCAAACAAACAAAACAAACAAAGGATCTTATTCATCGTTTCCCGTGCCCCACGTGATTTTAGAGAGTGTTATGTTGTTACAATAAGTGTAAACAATACATCTCAAAATAAACTGAGTTCGTATACAGTGTATCGTAAGGCAACTTCTAAAATCCTTGGTCTTCAAACTCAAAATACTACTTCTCATAACTCGAAAATCGATTCACTCACGCTTGGTTGGATCAAAAACATGTCTTTGGATGAAGTTAAACAAATTTTGCAATTACTTAAAGGGATGGCGGCCGCCAAAGTAGTTTTAATTTCACTGCATGTCCTCTTGAGACATGCAGTGAAATTAGGGTTAGGGCGATTTAATCGTGGTTTAACGCTAATCGGCTTTCGAACAACCGGGGCCTGCTCTTTAATATGGATAATGATATGGTCACTGGCTTAGCTTTCGTCGATTTTAGAGAGGCTTTCGATATGATAAATCACGCTCTTTTACTTAAGAAGCTATCTATTAATGGGGCCAATGATTTATCATTAAAGTGGTTTGGGTCATATCTTACCGGAAGGAAACAATATGTGCGTATAAATGGCTGCTGTTCCACCAGTAAACAATTGTTACATGGAGTGCCTTAAGGATTGATCTTAGGACCTATTCTCTTCCTATTGTTTGTGAACGACATTTCTTAAGTATACGTGATTCAACACTAGAAGTTTATGCTGATGATACAACTATATCAAAAACCTCTAGCTGGGAAAATGTCCCTCATCTGACACAGGCTCTCAATCAAGATCTAAAACGTTTAGATTAGTGGTCGGCACGAAACAAGATATCTATTAACTTTCAGAAAACCAAGCCCATGCTGGTAACAGGGAAACGATTGCGGAACCTTATCGCCTCTACCAAAATAGATGTTAACTTAAATGGAAGAAACATTGAACATGCAGCTGATTTCAAACTTTTAGGGTAACGTTAGATCACGATCTTTCATTAAATCGCCAGATTGAGGAGTTATGCAAAAAGTTGGCGAAACGTATTGGACTCCTTCGTCTCATAAGTCCATATTTAAAACGCAGTCAACAATACATATACTATTCTACGATCATTAAACCTATAATGCTTTACGGCAGTACGATTTGGACCTCCTGCAGTAAAGAAAATATGTTGAAAGTCGTGCGTCTTCAAAAACTTGCGGCTAGAATAATTCTTGATGCCAAAAGAACAACACCTTGTGTCGGCTTATTTAACTCCCTTAAGTGGATTCCCTTTTATGCTGAATCATAAGTAAATCGATGCACTTAAATCTTTACTTAAGTTGCCCTCGATATAACAGAAGTAAGGAAGGTGGTCGAACGTTTGCTGTGAGAGCAACAAAGGAATGGAACAAACTAATTTTGGGCCTCAAACGGAGTACTAGTGTAAAAAACTTTAACCGTTCCCTTTTTAACAATTTTAAATAAATAATCAAATTCTTACACAGTTATTCATGTAAATTTTAAAATCTGTATATAACCACATTTTATAACCTTATTTTGCGATGTACAAAGGCTTATATACTATTTTAATTACTATTAATATTGTTACAGTTATTATTATTATTAGTTTGTTTTTTTTTTTGAGGGGCATTAGGTTATCAGTTTTATTACTTTCAAATGTTACCCTCACTAAATAAAGTCTTACCTACCTTACCTACCAGAAGAATAAAAATGAATGAAAAGCTGTTTCCATGCCATTTTCGGTTATTTATATCTAGGGATAGTTTGAGCCTAAGGCTCGGACACCCTAGGTAACTTAGTCCCCTGAATGGAGAATAAAATATATTGTATTGTATGATTACCCACCCCGTCAAAGTTATAATCTTGCACTTTATCATTTAAAACTCCTGTATTTCAACTTTTGTTTATTACCAGCAGAAGGAAAGGAACAACTTGATCTGATTCCATAACAATACGAAAACGGTAATTTTAACGAATACTTAAATTTTATGCTGGACCTGACTCCAGCATAATATTAGAAGAACAAAACAAGATCTTATCCGTTAATACCCGAAACAGGTGTTTTCGTCAATAGATATTACATCTGCAAACATCTCCGTAAACAAAATGTGTTAAAAAGTAGAGTGTCAGTGTCATATGTGACAACAAAGATCTCAAAAAATAGTAATTACTGTGCCATGGTGTTGCCATCAATAGATTTTAAATCTGCTCACATCTAATGCGTATCATAACTTATTAAAATCTTATATCTTAATGTATCTGAAACAAATAAAGTGTCAGTGTCATGTGAAAAGTATATACTGTATTGCTTGAAGGGTTTGTTGGTAGAGAGTTTGTTGCAAAGGTAGTGTCATCATTCTAACTGTGAGTCATATCTGTAAGCTGTACATCAACATTTCCACAATTATTTGAATATCTTTATATGAGGGGTTATCAGCTTTTAACCAATTAAGCGCTGTTATTATGAACTTAAATCTAACAGGTTGAACATGTCCCCTGAACTGAAGTTTTCTCTTTACTTTAGAAGAATTATACCAGATTGTTTGGGAGGACGAGGCAATACGTTACATGTTTGCTCATAGTTTACTGGTACATTACATATAGCACCTCTAATTTTTGTTTGTTACCCTTTTGGCATAACTATTACTTTTGCCAATACGAAGCCCTGTGCAATTATTATCTGTTTCAGTTTTTTAAGATTTCCAAGCTCATTTGGTACATTATCAACATTTAAATTGTTCACGATTGCCTGACACGGAATTCTTCCTTGCATGGGTTTTGAGTGACAGGTCTTGCAGATATATTCTTTTCCATCATATGATGATTGTATTTTAAGAATATCTGGAGAAGGGTAGCTACTTGTGTTCAATTTTAAGACAAATTTTTATAAAGTGTTCCATTACATACACATAACTCACACTGCGTAGCAAGGTGAATAACTACAAAACTCGCTCAGAAATGAGTTACTGTTATTAATGACTTCTACTCCTTCTCGTCTTGAGAGTGTTAAAGCAAGTTAAATAATCTAATTCCATGCTTTAGACGTAGGTAAATAAAAAAAATAATAAAAAATAACAAGTGAGCCGAAACCAATTTGAACTTCTGATAAAATGTTATCGATACTTAATGAACCGATATTTCTTAAGCATTCGTGAATATACTTTAATAAAAAATCAAAATATGAAGTGGTCATAGGGTTTACCTGAAGTAGACAGGCCATATGTTTGCATTCGTCTTTCTATCGTTCGTGTCGATACTCTGAATAACTGGGCAATAACGGGGACCTGGAAGCCTTGGTCAATAACAAAAGATAACTGTTCCTCTTTGATTTCGAATGGTGGACGTCCACATCCTCCAGAATATATTTTTGGGGCATACTGGACTGCACAAGCAATAGACTGTACATCTATATCACGGATATAGCGGTTAGCCTCTCCTAAACGTTCAACAATTTCATCTGTCGGTGTACAGTTGCCGTCCAGGTTCACTAGTGTACGGGTTAAATAGTCCATTCTCAGAGATACTCCAATAAATTTCAAACGAATCCATCGCTGGATTGTCTTGGCTTTCGATTGTCTGCTGGGCGATGTCGAACGCTCTTCTGAACGCCGCCGTCTTGACATGCAGACCTCGACCCAGGGTTTTTCTCCAAATTTTAAACACAAGTTAACCTTGGAAATAAGTGGGTGTGATGATAGTCATGTTTTGTACAGCGGTTTACCATCTCAAGGTGAGCTCATTCAAGCGTGAAGTTCAATGTCCAAACAAGAATGTTGGACGTACGAAGTACGTTGAATATTGCATGTTGACGAAGCACATTAAATTTGAAATATGAATATTGAATTGTGAATGAGTAATGTTGAATTGTAAAAGTTGAATACTGGATTGTGACAACGAGCCTTAATTTAGAGTGACAATGTTGCAAACAAAGCCTTGAGTTTTGGCGGGGATATAACACCATATATATTCACTAGCCCGCGTAAAGCCCTTGTGTATTGCCTAACCGTGTGCCCGCGGGACGCTGCACTAAAGCTCGGCACTCGAGTATGCGCACTTCATTGTCATCTGCCACTGTCTCTTGGCGTAGACTAATGGGGTATCCAAGTTACGCACGCAATCGCGCCTGCGCACTACTTTCTCCCCCCCCGCCCTTCCATTACGTAATGGCTAAGATAGTGCCCGCGATGTAGTTGGCCGCGCATGCTAAAAGTAGCACCTTGTACAGTCGTTCGTACAGTCTCAAATCCAAATTTTTTCGGCTTGATGGGTTACTACTATTTCGTACAAATGTTGCGCACGCGTTGTGCTCAAACGTCCGCTGGACAGGAGTAGGACTATGAAGTTGACGTGCCCGCGGTACAGTGGCCTTGAGCGCTGCGCGCGCTGTGAGCTCTCCTTATGATAATAATAACAATAATAATAATAATAACACCCAGAGCGATTCCATTAGGGCCAAACTCTTTGTTTAACTTTTAACGCTTTGTAATTTATTCACCGCTTCATTATATATATACTCGATTTTATTATTCTAGTTCACCTGATAATGACGTTCTGGAAACGTCGAAACGTCGTGTTATGCTTTATAATATTTTATCGCAGATTTTTATTGTCAAATGCTTTACCAAATCTTTACTTATTCGAATAATAATAATAATAATAATAATAATAATAAAAACTTTATGTAAGGAGGGTAACACACAGTAAGGATCCTCGATCGTAAAAGTAACATAGTTAGAATTAAAATGTACTCGATGATTATACTGGTCCATCGGCTTTATCCTCTGTCGTGAAAATGTTATGCTCTGATATCCAATGTTCCGTAGTTTTCAAACCAAGTTACTCTATATTTATTCCTCATTAAACCTTTTAATCATCATTAATTATTCAGCTTCCACGCACGACTTCTTTTACGAAGCCTTTATCAAATAAACTATGGTGTTATGCAAGGATCTCCAGCGCTGGAAAAAAGCCGTAACAAAACACGTGAAAAGATACGAAATTTTTTTCACGAGTGTTTGACATCGCCAAATGAAAATTCCTATGACATCTGGGAACACTGGTCGAAAACACTGGTCGAACACTGGTCGAAACTTTATAGTGATGTACTTTATAATGATGTACTCAATCATGCCCCTTTGAAGAAGATACAAATAAGATCAGACCAACTCTCGTGGATAACACCTGAAATAACGTGTGAAATATCTCGACGGAATCGTCTTTTTAAACAGAATCAGAAAAACCCAACGCCAGACTCCCGGCAGTCTTATCGTAAACAACGGAACAAAGTTAGATCCCTTAAACGCAAGGAAACGAAAACCTTTTGCTACACGGCCTCTACAAACGCTAAGAATCCTGGTGAATTCTAGAAAAAATCTGGTTCAACAAATAAAATCAATTTGATGGAAAATGATGTTGTAATAAATGATTCCAAACTTGTCGCAGAGACTTTGAACGACTATTTTGTCAATATTGCTGGTTCTAAGGATTCCACTTCAAAGGACTTCGACGATCATCCAAGTATTCATTGTACCAAGATGAAAAATTACAACCTTGCCTTCAAGTTTCTAACGGTTAATGCAGAATACATCAAGGTCTGGAGGATACTGGACAGTCTTCATCCCAAGAAGTCAGTTGGTATTTATAAGATCTCACCAAGGGTTATCAGGTCGTCTTCACCAGTTTTGTCTAGTGAAATTACACGTCTTATTAATCACTTCATTAATACCCAGTCATGTCCGTTGGTATGAAAATCATGCAACGTGACACCCCTTCATAAAAAAGCTGATGAGAATGAGAAGTCAACTTATCGTCCCATTTCTATCCTTCCAGTTATATCCAAAGGATATGAAAAGTTTTGTTTGACCAGATATACACTGCCATATCTCCGCATTTTTCTTCCAATCTGTCTGGCTTTTCGAGGGGCCACTCTTGCTGAACGGCTCTAATTAAAATCACGTATGACTGGCGTGCAGGCCTTAATGACAGAAAGGTTATTGTTGCCATAGCCATCGACCTCAAGGCCTTCGACTCCATCTCCCATAGTTTGCTTATTGCAAAGCTTAAAGCTTATGGATTTGACAGAGATGCCATTAATCTTGTGAAGTCTTATTTGCTTGGTCGTCGCCAAAGAGTTCGACTCGACAGCGCTTTTTAATAATAATAACAATTTATTGATTTCTAAGGCGCGAATTCTATGTATATATATTCAAAAGCGCCGTAACATAATAATTACAATAAACTAAAGAAAAAAAAATGATAATTGGAATACAAAATAGCAATTAAATGCGATTCATAACAAAGAAGATATATAACATATACCTAATTATTACTTGAAATGTTCTATTTAAACAATTATCAATGAATTACCAAAATATAAAAACTTTATCAATTTTAAAATGCTTTCTTAAAAAGAAACTTCTTAAGCTTCGATTTAGCCTCATTCATACGAAAAGTCACATGGTTCCTTTTTCTCTTAAAAACAGCTAGATCAGACTGACATTTGGAAGATCTCCATTTTCTCTCTGCTTTTCGACGTTGACGCTTAGTTTCTATGATATTACTGCTCATCCAAGGAGCGCTGGGACGAGCGAACACTCTTTTTGATGTCATCGGTGCGTGACGATCCAAAAGGGAGCACATACAGTTGTTATACAGCTCCGCAACTTCATTACAATCAATGATGTTGCTACTAGCAATATCGTTTTTAAAAGCAACTAAATCCAGGGACTTGAGCTTCCTGAAACTGATGTCTTTAACAGTAGCCAGTACTTTCGTAACATTAAGACAGCACAAAACAGAGCAGTGATCGTAAAGAAAGCTATCGGGGAAGGTGTACCTTTAATGATATTGTCAGAGCTACGAGTAATTATCAGATACAAAATATGTCCCATTACGTGCGTAGGTGATTTTAGCAAAAATATCAGCTTTGCAATCTTGAACATAATCATAAATGGATGCAGATTTATTTCTCAGAGAACGAACGTTCAACAAAAAAAAGGTCAGATTAGAAGAACGATGATTAACTTGATTAGTGTCGGGACCAGGATTCAACTTGAGAAGAATGTTTCCAATCAACGGGCGCAATGTTGCATACGCATTATAATAATACAAACAAGGTCTTTTAGATCTTCTGTTTACTAGAACTGGATGGACAATACGCAGGTACTTCACTAACGACGATCTCTACTTGGACTCTTCCTATTCAATATTTTTATCAATGACTTGCACGATTTCATCTCCACTGCAGATCACTCGCCTATGGTTTTAAATTATATCATTAACAAGGAACTTAACGCTATTAAAGAATGGGTTAGAGTAAACCATCTATCGATAAATACTGTGAAAACTCAAGCTCTTGTCATCGGAACAAACATTTATAAGTACGAACTTTGGTTAAGCGATACTCCTGTGGAAATAAAAGACTCTCTAAAGATACTAGGAGTCATCATTGACTCGAACCTGACCTTTGAGGAGCATTTAAAAATCCAGCTTAATGAGGCATATGCTACGTCAAACGCTTTACGTAGAATTAGACGTTTTATTTCGATGCATGTAATGATTCAATTATATAAGGCTTTTATTCTTCCTCATCCTGAGTATTGTGACCCAATACTTATTGGAATAACTAAATATTTATTTGATGAATTAGAAGATGCAATTTAATATATTCTCAGAACATTAGTAGGTTTACCTAAGTCCACTTCGTATGATATTATTCATAGATTAATTACCACGCGTAAACAGGAACAAAGAAGGTTTTTCATGTTTTGATCCTACTTTTTAAACGTTTCATTAGAAATGGTCCTAGTTACATGAAAGATTTCTTTAAACTTCGCACAGTCGATTATAATCTTAGAGCCTCAGGCACTAAATTTGAGCTAAATTCTTTTAATAGCAAGTGGCGCCTTAATTCCTTTGCATCCATAACCAGCCACCTTTGGAATACTTTACCATGCAGCGCTAGAATTGCTGGTAATGTGAATACTTTTAGAAGTATGATAAACAAATTAAATCGTGTACCGTTTATTTATCGCAAAGCACCATAATAGGAAGTTGTTACTGTGCCCTGCACATGATTTTTATAGTCTTTTATACTCGTATCAAGAAATGGCCCATTGTTCCGGGTCAACTTTCCAAACAAAAGTCCTGAGTAATTGGTAGTCCTTAGGGACTTTGGCCGAAGTGAGGCGGAAAAGCTCGTAAGTGGGTAGTGTAAATATGCACTAGTAAAATCAATCTCCATCTGTGTACCCAGGGGTAGACTTGACCCTCGTTTAGCGCATCGATCCAAAGGTTCACAAATTCAAAAATAATTAAATTTATCCCTGTTGCAGTGACTCATTTAAACCTCCTCTCTCTATATGTTAGTCAAGTCGCCTGGTTTTTACCAGTCAGTTTTTTAAACGTACAAATATATTTTTTACCAGCATGTTTACCGAACACGAGGATCCATGAGGCTTATGCAATTTTCATCATTTTAGTATTTTATAATTGCTCGTGCGTATTGCAAACGAGTATGCTGAATGCTCCTAAGCGTTATGTGGATAAACAAACTACCCATCTATCTATCTATCTTTATATAATAAGCTCAGTTATACATGCATTCTGATTGGTTCTCACTTATGATCTATTGGAGGACAGACGTATAGATGACGTCATCATTAAAACTTTTTTTCCGTATATTTTAATTCTTTATTCTATAAAACAAATAGATTCCAAGTTGCTCTCGCGAGTAATCGAGTTTAACACCAGAAGAGAAATCCTATATCTATGCGCGCCCATATGTTTTTATTCATGTCATTCTTTTGGCGGGCCGACCTCGACTTGCACGAAAAGAGTGTCTTGCACAATGTAGCACCGTGACCTGAGTTTTTTATGTAGTAAATTACACCCATGTCCAATGTTCTCAGGACTTTGAGGTCTTGCGTAAGACTCTGGGTGGCTGCCAGGAACTGAGATCGTAACAGTCATGTTTTGCCGCTTATCTGGATCGTCCTGTTGATCAATCAGTGTAAATTGGATATTCCTCATAAATGGCCAGGGTAATATCGCGTCATATTCGCCCCTCATTAAAACAATTAATAGCGTCAGATATGAATCGTAGTATTTTCCAATACCATTAGGATAGATTCTTGCTTTCAGCTTATATCCATAGTTTTCTGTGTAGAATGGAGCACTATCCACCTTTCTAGAAAGGTCTACCTTGGCTTCTCTTAATAATGTACTATAGTTCTCAATCTTCCAAATGAACAGCGGAGAACAATTCAGTGATTCACTTTTCTTCATCGTCATTTCTTCTTTCAGTGCTCTCTCTTGAAAATGTTGCTGAAGTGTCTCGAGTTTCTTTCTAAAGTCAATTTCAACTGCATTCAGCTTGGATTGCGTCTCCTCCAACAACAATAATGTGCCATCTAATTTAGTCTCTGTCTCATCCAACTTCGTTTGTACCTTTTGTAATTTTGATACTGAGTCATTCAATTTCTGCGCTGTTTCGCTTATTTTGAAACAAGCCAAGGCAAGGTGGATTTCGACGGCAGATTTGAGGTGAGATTCCATTACGCGGCGCTTAACCTGTAACAAAAAGTTAAACTCTTCTTAGGCGAAGACTCACCCAAAAGTCGAAGCTTGTTCACACTTACCTGACTGATGTGCCGGACCTCAAAATTGTTCATTTGACTCCGATAACCTCTCAGCATAATATACAGTATAACTTTGAACGAATTTCAATCAGAGAGCAATCGTGAAGCGTTTTATTCGTTATACTTCTTAATAAGCGCACCTTCGTATTACAGCCCATCTCAACATAAGGGCAGTAGACTATCGTCTGTGGACATTCATAAAAAAGATGACCAGGAATCTAAGACGAAAGCAATATAACATGACATGAGAACTTTGAAAATTGAAATGCGTAGTGAATTTAAATATTCGTTTAAAAAATTTATTTACTTTAAGGAAATTGTTGAAATAACTCATTCACAACAAACACATGTTTCATAGCTGTTTTGTTAAACACAGTTTAATCTTTTAACTCCCAAGACCTAATTCTCCCACCAAGTAATAAACACGTCTATGTAAATTACGTGTAAGAATTTGGTGTTAGATCAGGATAACAACTTGCACCTGAGAAGTTTGAGTATTCTCATTGCCTGCTTGTCGGGTATTGTATTGATATTGTCGGGAGAAATGACTTGTTAATCACTTCTGGAAGTTACAAGGTTAAAATTGTTTTCTTCGTAGAAGCTGCACAAAGCAATGTTTGTGGACTTTAAATTTGGCAAATTGAAAATAAAAGTTAGTGACTTCTTGAAAGCTATGAAAAATTCATTATTTCAGTTGTCTGTTTCTGATTCTCGTTTATTTTAACCCGTTTTCACTAAACATGTTTTGTTGGTGTGAATGAGGTATAAGTTAACTAGATATTCAACTAATGAAAAGTTAAACTGCAGGTAAACAGAGCTAAAACTTGGCCTTAGAACTCTTAATTGTGAAATGTGTGTTCAGTTTGCATCTCTGCATCCTTTAATTCTTAGTATAATTTGAGGTGCAACCTAAAAATTTATAAGAAATATAAACTATTAGAGCACAAGATTACTGGTGTTGATAAATGAATCCAACAAATTCCAAGCGGGAAAAAAACAGAAAAAAATAAAAACACTTTAACACTTTGTCAATACTAAAGGCGAAATGGCGGCCGTCCTTTTGTTCCGTAAAGAAGGACTGTTCTTGCCTCCCGTAACTTGAATATGAAAGAGAAGTGGATTTCTTACCATTTCTCTGGGAATTGACATACCACAGCTGTTTGGACAAGTCGCTGGGAACTTGCTACATCTTTTAATGTGATTCTAAAAAGATAACAATTTTTAACTGGTAGATTTTTAAGTAGATGTTCTGTGAGCGCAAAATCACACTGATCATGTTTTCCGATTAAGTGCCATATTTCAGTCAGAATAAAACCGAGGTATATTGGACCGCGCTAATTACAAAACCCTTAATGATTCAGTCATGTTCTTTCAAGTTCCCAGCGTGAGGTGGTAGATTTTTTAATTGGATTTATTTCCTTTTTTTGATCGAAGTAATGATCTTTCTCCATTAACCAGGTTTAATTTACTCTTTACTGCACTTTGTAGTAATACCTAAAGAAGAAATAATAATGCAGGGGAAAAAAACAACTTAAACCAAACAACCAAACAATAACAAAATAGGTAGACAAAACTTACGATCTTCAACTGATCTATGTTTTTTTTACCTGACTTTGACATTCTGGGTGTGGCTTACTACAGTAACTACATTCGATAACTCTCCACTGACATGTTAAAGCCACGTGTCGCTTGTGGTGTTGTCGTTGTACTTCCTCGTGACAGTTTTCGTTTGTACAAGGTATGACTTTGAACAAGCAAGTAGTCAAGTGAGTCTGTTAGAGACCAGAGAAATTTGTGTAGTTGGTTTAAAATGGGAGATAACTGAATCAAGTCTTATCTCTTCATTCATTTTCATTTAGGGTTCACATAATGATTAAAAGTCACCAGTATCTTGCCATCAGTCAATATTTGACTCTATATTAACGCTGATCCAACGAGGCAAAGTTATTTTGTAGGAATACTAGTATTGTTGACTACATCAAACAAAGATCAAGCTTTTAAATTGATGGTCAGCTAAGTCAGGTAGGTCCATTTAGTCAAAAAGGTCAAGTCAAAAACGCTTTTTATCTTATATATGTTTGTACTGTACGTATTTTCGATATTAAGACAGGTTGGCCCATTTCAGCTTTAAGTTGTTTTAAAAGGGGGGTCTGTGCAAACAATGACAAAGCCAGGTCACAACACCGGGAGCTAAGTTCCCTACTCTTCGCAAGAAGTGCGTGAGTTCTTTAAAGTCCTCTGCTAACAAGTGTAGAGAAGAAGCGGGAGTCAGGGCCTGCGGCTTATTGTCCTTATCTGAAAAGACTAGAATTTCTAACCATTGAAGATGTCTTAGCAAAGGCAGCATATTCTCTTTAGTTGTTTTAAGACCCTGAGTGTTGGCCCATTCTGATGCTTGTATTTACCTCTTTACTCCTCAGTTCTCCCGTCCATTCACATCCATCACTTGGACAACGGATGGCAAAAGAAAGAATCTTCCTCTCAGTTGCTTTGTCGGGAAAAACATCCTGTGTTAATTAAACATTATATGAGTTAATGGTGGATGCCTCAGCTTTCAGTCAAAAGAAAGAGTCCAGACAAAGAGGGGTCTCCTGATATTAATTAGCTTGAATTCAATTTTTCGTGCCCTCTTGGGTAGTGAATACCTGAGGGATAATTTTTAATATCTTCCATACCCTCTTGGATAGTATATAGCTGAGGGTCATTTTTAATCTCTACTATACCCTCTTGGGTAGTGTATACCTCAGGGTTATTTTTTATCTCTTCTTTACCCTCTTGGGTAGTGTACACCTCAGGGTCATTTTTAATCTGCTCTATACCATCCTTGGTAGTGTATACCCGAGGGTTTTATTTTTATCTCTTGCGTACTCTCTTGGGTAGTGTATACCTGAGGGTTACTTTTAATGTCTTGCATACCCTCCTGGGTAGTGCATACCTGAGTGTTATTTTTATCTCCTCTTTACCATCTTGGGTAGTGAATACCTGAGGGCTATTTTTAATCTCCTCTTTACCATCTTGGGTAGTGTATACCTGAGGGTTATTTTTTATCTCTTGCATACCCTCCTGGGTAGTGGATACCCGAGGGTTGTTTTTAATCTCTTGCATACTCTCTTGGGTAGTGTATACCTGAGGGTTATTTTCAATCTCTTCTCTATCCTCTTGGGTAGTGTATACCTGAGGGTTGTTTTAAATATCGTCTATACCCTCTTAGGTGATGTATACCCGAGGGTTATTTTTAATCTCTTCGATACCCTCTTGGATAGTATATAGCTGAGGGTCATCTTTAATCTCTACTATGCCCTCTTGGGTAGTGTATACCTCAGGGTTATTTTTTATCTCTTCTTTACCCTCTTGGGTAGTGTACACCTGAGGGTTATTTTTAATCTCTCCTATACCCTCTTGGGTAGTGTATACCTGAGGGTTATTTTTAATCTCTCCTATACCCTCTTGGGTAGTGTATACCTGAGGGTTATTTTTAATCTCTCCTATACCCTCTTGGGTAGTGTACACCTGAGGGTTATTTTTAATCTCTCCTATACCCTCTTGGATAGTATATAGCTGAGGGTCATTTTTAATCTCTACTATACCCTCTTGGGTAGTGTATACCTGAGGGTTATTTGTTATCTCTTCTTTACCCTCTTGGGTAGTGTACACCTCAGGGTCATTTTTAATCTGCTCTATACCATCCTTGGTAGTGTATACCCGAGGGTTTTATTTTTATCTCTTGCGTACTTTCTTGGGTCGTGTATACCTGAGGGTTATTTTTAATCTCTTGTATACCCTCTTGGGTAGTGTATACCCGAGGGTTGTTTTTTTTTACCTCTCCTATACCCTCCTGGTTAGCGTGTAGCTAAAAATGCCGTTCCAAAATCCTTCGCGCATAAAAGGTCATAATAAGAATAGTTGTATTGCGCTGAATCTTGTAGACCGAACGGGGAGACCATCAGTTGAAAGCGATCTAGATTATCTAATCAACACAGTTTCTGAACTTTAAAAGTTCAAAACCATGACCTGTGTAAAGAAGTGTTTGTCGGAGTTAGCCTTATTTAGGCCCAGGTCTTCCGATGAAGGTGAAAATATCTTAACCGGTGCCGCTTTATAGGCTATTTTGGAGTTTCTTCTTTTTACGTGTATTTAATTGTTCCTGTTATGTTTCTGTAACATTTGGTCAAGACTGTTTGTGGACCTTGTGTTAACGATTTACTTTTTTCTTCTCCAAGACATGCCTTGTTTCCACAAAGAAAATAGGCTTAGCGTACCGCCCCTTAGGTTTTTTCGAATGAGACCTGTTACGTTTGTATGAGGCATTTCTCTGGACTCTTGTTTCTGGAAAAAAAGTATAAAAATGTAGAGTTGTATCTGGAAAATGATTAGAAATGTCGGAAGTTACGGTTTTTTCCATTTCATTCGAGGGGAGCTCTATTAACTTTTTTGTAGCGATTATCCGATGTCCTGGAATGTTCGGCGTACATCTCATGCCACCAAGAGGCGTCAAACCTTGGCTTGAAATACTTATGCAAATTAGGGTACATTAGCTGGCTGCACATTCAATGTGCAGCCAGTAATTTGCATAAATATTTTTTTCCGACGCAAAGCTCGTCATGCAACAATGATCGACTATCTATGATGACGTTTGATAAATTTTACAGACTATGGTAGACGTTGAAAATCTAACCTTAATTTTCCATGAGTTTGTTGTCAAGTACGTTTTAACCCCTAAGGTCCGTCCTATAACCCTCAAAAGATATTCATTAATTACATTGTTGAAAATTTTGTTAAGTACACTTTTGATTATCGATTCGTGTACCTTGTTTCTATCCAGACTGTATCTGTCCGCGGGACAAATCAGAGGTTCACGACGAATTTCCTGCCTGTTGAAATAATTGGAAATTGAAAAAATATTGACATAATTTGGGCACGTATTACCTCAGAAAAGTGTCGTTATTACGTGTATGCAGAGTATGTATCTCACAGATTATTGTGTCTTGAATTAACGGCTGAAATAAATAGAAATAGAATAAGTTATTGGCAAATAAAATTTGGACACCTAACGATAAAATCTTTTTCATGATGAGTAAAATCCATTTTTAAAATTTTGATCTATTTAGTAGCTAAGTTCCCGTCTACGAAAACATGCCTTCATGAAGTTTAGAACGATTTAAATAATTTTAACTTCATTCATGTACAACAAAAGCGGAATCAAGTTATATTAGTATGATGTGCATCATCGACCATATATTTGACTAAGCTATTCTAAGGTATTATAAACAACATCCCTTCCTATTGCAAGCATTATGGTTTTTATCAAAATTTGAAATCGAAAATTTTCTATCAGGAAGCTTTTAATACCTTATGCTTTGTTAAAGAACGTTTTACTTTACTCGAAAGATATATTGTTTACAAGAAGCCGCACCTTCTTAAATGCTCCTCAAGGCATTCTTTACAAAATCTGTGGCCGCATCTTGTAAGAACCAGCTCCTTAAGAGTCAAATGGCATATTACACAAAGAAACTCATCGTCAACTGCATTCACAAAGTCTTCGTCATAACCTGAAGGTAACTGATGTCCTGAAGCTTCCGCCATTATAAAGAGTCACGCGAAAGTGAAACTACACAGTGATCTTATAGGGTCAAACTCAAACGACGTTAGTTTTGACCTTTGAATAATTTTGCCTCACATAATCTGTCTTTCCGCTTGTCGGTGTGTAATGTGTGGCTAAAGTAACTGCATGTCAACTGTATGGGCCACTTTGGCGTCCCTCAGTGATCCAAGTCTATTAAATGAGTTGAATTTTTCCAGTACATTGTATAGCATTGAACCCTCTAAGGCCCCTCAGTCTTTATACTAAAATACCGGTTCATGTTATTCAGAAAATATATTTTCTCACACGTGATTAAATTAAAAACAGAAAAAAGCAGAAGATATAGCGACTGTTTGGACGAACTAATGAACTATTACAGTTACTCTAAGAGAAAGTGGCCAGCCAAGTAGTAAGCTGCAGTAGCCTCACTGCCTTACGTCAGTTGTATTGGCCAGTTTGAAATTCTGCAACTATGTTTACGGGAAATAAGAAACAAAGATCTTAAACGCCAGTATTCACCGAACAACTAAGGTTGCTTTCCACGCTGATTGGTAAGATGGGAGGTGATCAGGCATGTACCATATGATCAAAAAGAGAAACTTTTTGACAAGAAAACATAAGAGATTTATATATGCATACATATATATATATATATATATATATATATATACATATATAAATATGTATGCATGTTTTGTTGGTTCTCGTGCCGTCTGTCAACTGCCGACAAAAGAACAATTGCCCGCTCAACGGTAACTGCCTTCAATCTTCAGTCGTTTATCAAGCCACCGTCACACGGAACGACAACACCTTTGAAACATACATTGGACTCACAGAAACCGACTTCAAAACAAGACACAGAAATCACACCGCATCATTCCGCAACGCCAAGCACGAAAACTCCACCGAACTTAGCAAACACATCTGGACACTCAAGAACGACAACATTGACTATTCTATTTCATGGCGCGTCTTATCATCTAGCTCCCCCTACAACAGCTCCAGTAAAAGATGCAACCTCTGCCTAAAAGAAAAATTCCTGATAATTTACCGACCTGACCTCTCATCACTAAATAAGCGAACGAACTCGTATCTTCATGCCGACACAGAAACAAAGCGTTGCTACGCAACAGCTGAACTTTAAAGTTTTTAAGTTTACCGCGTGTTATGTAAATTTTCCTTGTATATACACGATAGTCACATGAATATTCTTTCATTAAATCCCTGAAGAGTGAAGCGATTCACGAAACAGGCTTGTCGGGAAAATGTAGTTGCGTCCTTTTTTCTTCTTAAAATATTTATGTATATACATATATACGTACATATATACATGCATACATACACACACACACATGTACACACACGCATACATACATATATATATATATATATATATATATAAAATAGATATTTCCAATATTGCGACTCTATTTTCACAGTGCCTCTTCCCACCCAGGAGTATAAATGAGTTCTGCATAGCTGAAAAATGGATGAGTTGTCAAGGGGCAACCTGGGACTGGCAAATTTCCCGTCCCGGAGGGGTAACAGTTATATTCTCACGTGCTATTGACACTGATGGAAGATTCAACATGGAGAGAGCTTGAGAGAGCACCAGCAATTTCTTCCTTTTAATATGGATATCATAACACAACTGTATATGTAGTTTTTCTCTCATCCTAGGTGTAATAGTAATCCTCGGTGAAATGACAATATCCATACAATTTTATTAGAAATTCACCAATTATCCTAAACGGCTTTAGTTACTATTATTGTTATTATTATTATTATTATTATTATTATTATTATTATTTTTAATATTCGTGCTCAAATTAAACCTGATTGAAGAGGGAGAAAACCTAGGAGGGCGACTATTCCTGGAAATGGTCTTGGTTTCTAACAAATATAAAAATAGTATTATTACTTCTTAGTAGCCATCTCGGGTTTTGTTTGCTTTTTGTTTTTGTTTTGTTTTAGGGACATATATTTAACTATCTCCTTGAGAAAAAATGTAATCGAATTGTCCTGAACTTCGTAAAGTAAATGCGGCAAATCCGGTGCTATTATTCGTAGCCTGTTTTACGTACTTTTAGACCTACATGGTACATATGTTAAACCTATGTGTATAAGTACGTATTCTTGATACACGTTTTTGTTCAAATTAAAGTCTTGTGACTATGTAAGTGCCCTTTAAGTCACTTTGATATTAGTCCAGAACCGCGAGAGTTTAAGATTTGAGATGAACAAGCAAATCAAGAGGATGGGGGTCCGACTTCAACCTGAAGAAACAAAGTGTCATCCACAATGTAGCGTCTTGAATTAAGTTTCTCGTGAGATACGAATTCAGGAAAGCCCATTCCTGCGCTCTCCTCTTCCAAAGGCCTTTTAAAGTTGTCTGGATAACCGCCTGTAATGAACTCCTTAGTTACATTTTCCTTCTGGTTTGGATCTTCTTGCTGGTCAATCAAAGTAAATGTCACTTTCTTCTTCAAAGGCCAAGGTAATATGGCGTCATAATCACCTCTTTTCACAGCAATGAACACAGAGAGGTACGAACTCTGATAATTGCCGTTAGGACAGACACTCACTTGTAACTTGTAGCCATAATTTTCTATGGTTGTTGAGTAAAACGGATCACTGTTTAACTCTTCCTTCCCTTCATTCGTAGCTTGTTTTAAAACTTGATCAAAGTTGCCAATCCTCCAAATAAACAGACGTGTATCCACGAGTCTCTTTATGGCACCTAGTTCCTTATCTGTATCCTTCAACTTCGCACAAGCGAAATCAAAATGTGATTTGATGTCGATTTCCAGGTGATGATCCACCTCGCGCCGAAGAATCTAATTAATAACAACTGTAGTCAATTTATGAAAAAAAACAAAAAAACAAAAACAAACCAAAACAAAACAAAAACGAAAACAAAGACAATAGTTTCTCTCTTGAGGATACGTTCTCCAGTCAAAGTTAAAAACGATTTTTGCCAAATTACTTTCTGGGCCTTAATTCAGCTCTAACTCTGGAGTCCAGAAGTGACTATTTACCATTCTACACATGTTTACTTCCTTCTCATATGCAAATGTTCTTTATCACGTAATCTAGCTAGTACATGTGAGAACAGTTAGGGTTGATAATAATTCAGTCACTATCAACATTATTTTTAGCGAAAAAATATGAAACAAGCAATGTTGGGTCATAGTTTAATTTATTAATTATCTTAAGGAATATTTCTCTCAACTTCCGACTTTATGCCCGCAAAATCCAAAGTCACATATAATTGTTGACAAAATTTTAGTTCGTAAACCTCAAAGCAGAAAAAGAAATGCCAGGTCAAGATTTTCTCCAGATTTTAACCCTAACCATCTGCAGGGAAAAAAGGTGCTCAAATACCCCTAATTTTCTCTTTTGATTTCTATAACCTTCGTTGAGATCTCTTTATCTTGTAGTCATGAGTTGACTACCTTTCTTGTACTAGGCACTATCCCTAAACCTGGAGCTACACATGTAGCTGCTAATCAAAGATTCTGTGAAGCCTCTCAGACTAACATATTAGCACATACCTTTCTTTCGCAGCCAAGATATTGATAGGGACAGTTTATTCTTTCTAGTGGACAAATAGTCTGAGTGTGATTGGTGATCTGAAAGAAATTATCAACATCAATGCACAAGCAAATGAACAAGCACCACTGCACTGAGACATTTTTGTAAGGTGTAAAGTGGTACATGTAGTTAACAGTCAGTATTGTGACAAGTCCATAGGCCCACCCACATGGAGCTTATCCTAGTTCCCATAGCATGAAGCAACAAGGAGTATCAATTCTCCCTCCCAGATGGGACTTGGATGCTCATCCTGATAATTCAGCAGTACCCACTTCCCACTTATACTACTGGGTGGAGAGCAGCACTGAGAAAGTAAGGTGCTTTCAGCCCAAGAACAGAATACATTGACCTGGCCTGGTCTTGGAACCAGAGTTCAGCACAATAATCAGTAAGCCAATGTGTCATTTAATTCTGCAACTTCAGATAATTTTAGTGTACTTCAATGTCTAAAAAAGGGAGGAGCTTAATAAGTTCTATTTCAGATAACCCTGAATACTATCACGCATAAACAAAGACAAACACACATACACCTAATATCAGAAAAAAATATGAAAAGCTTACCGCCTCTCTAGGAATAGACTGGCCACACTTGTTGGGGCAATGTAGTTGAAGCTTTGGGCATTTTTTAACATGATTCTGCAAAGTTAAAGGAAAAATATTAATAATTAATACAAACAAAAAAAAATTTAAGCATAGTCTAATGATGATAACCTGATACATTTTGTAATAAATTTTTGGCTGTCGTATGCCATGGAACATAATGTGAGTGTTAAATTTTCAAGAGATGGACATGAGGCTAAGGAATCTGGTTCAGGAGAAAATGCCAGACCTATTGGTAAAACTTCCTTACAATATCTAACAATAATATAGTAATAACACTAATAATAATAATTACAGAAAATGATAAACAACAACAATAATGATAATAATATTGATATAGTTATTTAAGCCCTGCAATGGGACATAAAGGAGCAAGACAAAGATAAACATATAAACAAAATCAGAAGACAAGATTTAATTTTCTCACTACTTTTCTGCATGGTTCACTAGTATGCAAGTCTCAACTTTGTGAGCTTAGATTTCATGGCTTGGGACCAGAAATATCTTATATTAATAAAACTGACCTTAGTGGTCAGTTGACAGAGTTTGAAGTTACATTACAGTAACAATATGTAGCTAACTTCAAGATGATCAGATACAAGTAAAGAAATGATCTTGCAGGTAAACTAGTTACAAATTAAATTGGAAATAACAGAAAATAATATGATAAGCTACAGTTCAAATAGCTCTATACCATTTAACATTCAGTTTTTCCTAGAAGTAAAATGTCAAGATGACCTAACACTATGTTATCAACATAACCTGGGGTGCTTGGAGTGTCACTTGATTATAACATAATTCAGCCTTGATGCGATCCTGTTCCTTTTAGTATATCCACATGAATTTTACAATTACCTTCACCTCACATTTTGGGTATGACCTATTGCAGTGTACACACTTTATGATTCTCCACTGACAGATGTTCCTCAAATGGCCATTGAGATTCATCTTCCTGACTTGGACTTGACACTTTGCATTTGTGCAAGGGATCAATTTCCACTGACATGTTTTTAGGTGAGTCTGATAAATGAAAAATAGAATATAGCAAATTAAAAGAACAGAATGGAGTACCTGTAATTAAAAAAGTGCAATACACAGTACATGCTTGAATACAGTAGTTATCAGAGGAATCATATTATCCAGCTGTGGTGGGATTTGTATGAATAAGCATGGAGATCAAGCAAGATACATGTAGTGACATCAACCTTGCATTCCTTTTTTGCATTTTATATAGTCTTGGTCCATAAAACTCTTAAAATGATGGCCAATACCAGGCCATCTTGACCAAATAAGTTTTGTCAATAACGCATATATTGTTGTTTTTTATACCCTTTGAGGCCATGGTGTTACCAGAATTAAATTGTCTTTAAGATCCTTGTAGGGTGTACACTAACTTGGCTCAAACCATCAAGCTCAAATTAGGGAGAAACACAGGCTTACATGTAGCAACTGATGGAGTAGTATTGAAGCATTAGGCCAGTTGGCTTTTTTTTGTTATTTCTCTCTCTCTTTATTTTTTTTACCTCCTTCTCCCTCAATTCACCAGTCCAGTTACATCCAGATGAGGTATATTCCATTAGGTGATTTGGACATCTAATGGTTAAAGAAAGTATCTTCCGTTCTGTTGCTTTGTCGGGGAAGACATCCTGAAAATATATATAAAAAAATGTAATGTTTAATTATTGACATTATTACAATTGTATTTTAGATACAGAAATTTATGCACTCACACTTAGGGAATGGGAATGGGCTCAAACAGGTTATCTTGCCAAGTGACTTACAAAATGTAATGATGTATTCTACATCTTCATTTCTTTCCACAATTTCTTCCAGGAGAATCTTAACACCCCAATGAATTTCACAGAAATTTCCAGAAAGTAGCATGTCACACATGTTTACTAAAAAAGATTGATTTCAATTTGTCAAAAGGTTCAGGAGATATTTTCTGAGTAGTGACATATGGGACCATCAATTTGCAACAAAATATAAAATTCTAGAATTGATCTAGTTCAAGATATCTTATGGATAATGTGTTTAATTGAATCATGTTTAAAATTTTTCCTGACCAGGAAATTAACATCATGGGCTTGTCAACTAATTAATAACTGTGAATGTAAATTCACAATTTTTAATTAATATTTGTGGTAAATTTATGCATAAATTATTCCATCATGTTTATCTCAACTTGTAAAACAGTGGCAAAATATGTTAAAAATATATCTATATTTAAAATATTTTAAATTTGATAGCCAGAGCAAAGGGAAATGGGAAAATTTAAGCCTAATAATAGCACTCTAAGTTTGGTTCCCTCTAATATGTTATTTCAATGCAACTTCTTCATATTAGGAACATGCAAATGCATGCAAAAGAATGTGTTGCTGCATAACAACTAAACATACACAACATATTTCAGCTGATTAATTTAATGAAAATTCCACAGTCAATAGTTCATTTAAATCAGTATAAATCAGTAGTTTCCTTTAAAACCATTTACCTTGTCTGTATCCAATTTCTGCCTGTCTTTAGGGCAATTAATAGATGTTTTGCGGCTCTTCTGTCTGTTAAAAAAATGTACATCTATAAATACCATAATATTCAAATCAATCCCTACCACAACACAATGCTTCATGATGAATCAAAAGGTAAGGGGAACAACAGATAAAAATCCCTCACTGACAGGTCAGACACCTTAATTCTATTGATTATTACTGATTTCCACAGATAATCAAAAGGAACCAAACTAGACAGAACTAAAAACCCATGGAGGTTTGTGAGTAACCTTTATTTAAATGGAGAAGAAAAGCTATGAGCCCTGCAGTTGTGCAAAAGCTGATTAGCACTAACCCAGAGTCAAATTCTAGTACACTGGTTTCTTTATTCTCAGAAAGGCATACGATAATAGTTAACAATGAAAAAGTTAACAACAAGAAAGTACCAACAACTATCAAATATGAAGCAAACAGATGCATTGAAACAATTAGGCTCATTTGTTCAGTCAAGTGATAGGACTCAAAAAAAAAAAAGTCTACTAAGGGATTATTTATTGACCCAATATCAGATTCTCTAAACTACATCACTCTAACATCATAAGAATTGTAAAGCAGGCAGTAGGGAAAATGATTAAATCAGATCTGGGATTAAAATGGTTAAGTTTATTGGGCGTAGCTTGTAATTCATGGCATATAGTGTTTAAAAGGAAAAAAAAGAAACTTATGCTTTCAATTTCATTGCAAATCCATTAATTAAACACAAGTTGATGAATTACTCAACTTCAAAGCTTTAAATATTACAATAACTGTAAATTAACCCTTTGAAACCTAGGAGTGACTAACTTTTAATTTCTCCTTACAATACAATACCCCAGAATCAAACATTACGGCAATGGGAATAAAAAAAATGATCACCATGCAGTTAAAGAAGCTCTTAATTATTAAAACAAATTCCCCTTGTCAGCACCTTTGGAAATGTATAGAGGTCAGTATGGAACGAGAATAAGGATACTTATGTTTCAATGAAAAAAAGGTTTACTCAAATTTCCAGTTCCATTTATAATTATTGCTAATTCATATAGACACTCTTTCGGTGGCCAATTTACATTATCAACTCAGTTGATAAATTATAATTATCTTATTGTACCCTCCACTGTCGCAGCACAAAATTTTCTTTAAAAAACTTACCCATTAGCTATATTGCTAATGTTTGTCAATTCTGAATGTTATATCTATAATACTGTCGGAATTACATGTATGCATTTCTGTATAGGAAGTTCTATGCATGTATTGCCTTTGAATCCTCATTTTAGGCAATGAAAGGAGATCGTTGGCTCCTACACCCTGGATCGATCAAGAATTGAGCGCCGCTTCACATACGAACTCGTTCGTACATCATTACTTCGTCACTCTGTCCGTCGACTCACAGCAAAAGGTATGTAGCTGTGCACAAGAGTAGGAGAAGCTATTAATAGGCTTTTAATATGCAAAGTATCAATTTAGTCGTGTCGCGTGGCCACGACAATGCATATAATTTTTATACCTTCTAAAATGTTCCTCGATGCATTCTTTGCAAAATCTGTGGCCACATCTTGTCAAAACAGGCTCCTTCAGCGGCTGATGACATATTGAACACTCTAAATCTTCTTCAACCTTACAAACAAACTCCTCATCATAACCTGAGGGCACCTGAATACTTGGGGCTTCTGCTATTCTTAAGAGAAAGCTCATGTCGAAAAGCAGTAAAACGAAAGCGACAACTTATTCATGAGTAACACCCACTTAATCGTAACAACTTCCGTTAACCGTATGGACGGACTGTTGATAGCCCGTGGGGAGAAGGGTAGGACGTTAATTTGTTTTATTTAGGCTGAAACCCATTTAATTTTCACCATAATGACATGTTTGACGAAATAGATCGGATGCTCGACTGTGAAATTTTCCCGACTTCTCACTGCGCAGGGAATATTTTTACGCATCTTTTTCTATCTTTCGCCCCCCCCCCTCACCCCTCCCCCGCTAATATCATTTGATACTAGTGCACCGCGCGGAACTCTGGGAGTGAGGCGCACGATAAAGGAGCTCGGCCCAGCTCCAACAACGTTTGACGAAGTCATCTTCATTTGCATTCACAAGGTCCTCATATTGACGATCCGCTATTGGCAAAGTAGCAATTTCATTAACACCTCGAACAAACACTTTTTCAGTACAGCTAAGTATTTACCTACGCAAACGCAGTGGACACAAAAGTTATTTTGTAGGAGCAGATCTTCTTCTCGAGGAGTCAATTTATCAGTGAAAACGTTTTCATTATAAATGGTTGGGAAAATCTCAGTATTGTAGTTCCCATTGTTGAACATTGTTACTTTCGCTCAATAAAAAAACTAGACTCCATTCCTTGTTAATTATTGGTTTTATAATGAAAATGATAAATCCTTACATCAAAGTAGATGATACGATGATAATTTGACGCTTAGTTGGTTTTAAAGTAGTAAAAAAATGAGTTCTTGAGCGGCATTTAGTATAAAGCACAATGAAGATTTTCTAGGCTAAGAGAGTTCATTGCTATGTGATTGATAACCAAAGTATTTTATTTTTGTGTTGGAAATGAAAAGTTTTATTTGTCGCTAATTACTTTTGTTCACTGACGTTTCTCACTGCAAATTGTCGGCCGGATCAATTATGATGTATGATTTAGGGTATAAAATACTAACATTTGGTGAATAGTTTCGCTCATGAGGACTTATGTTATTGTGTGGCAAGCACCTATTTCATTTTCACCGGTGGCGATTTGACTCAGACGTCCTGTGTAGCAACTAGAATGAAACTTACATCAAATAAATGAAATAGTAAAAATGAAAAAAAAAAAAAAAAAAAAAAAAAAAATGAAATAGTATATCGCCAATTTAGAAGTGCCTACAACTAACGGCGAAAGGGACCAAGACGATGTGTAACATCTCAATTATGGAACGTTAACCGTTGTGGCGAGTTTTTCTGTGGTGGGGAGTTGACCGTAAACCATTTTATTGCTCAGAAACTAACTAAGTTGAAACTTGCCTTTTCAAATTTTGTTAAAGTACTAATTTAGCGTATTGCAAATTGTACCATGTTATGAAGCTTCGAGTTATTTTACTCTAAATTGATTTTCGTTAACCGAGAAATGAAAACAGTTCAGGGCCACCGTTTTCCAATAGATCAATTGAGTAAGGAAATGGAGAGTCTCTCCTTTGTCAACACGATTAAATCTTGAGAGTAGTCCCATTTTCCGGAGGTGTAGCATTGGAAAGACACGCATAAAATCAGGAGAGCGTGATAAATAGCTTTTGATTTTTAGTTTCAGATTTCAGTTTAGATTTTTCGATTTTTATTCACGAAATCACGATTTACCAGTTTCGTGAGTTCGCAGGAGTTTTACCACATTATAGGCCTGGTAGGAAATACAATGTGTTCCTTTCATGGAAAACACACGCAAAAAAAAAAAAATTCATAGTGCTAAATCTATAGAGGACTGATAATTAAACTGCTAACGCTTGTCAAGTTCTTAAAAAGAGAGCTAAAAAATCAATCAGTGTGTTCTCAGAGGACGATCAACGCCACAGCTGAATCGATAAAAGGACTAGCGATTGCGCAAGATGTTATTTACATTAGAGAAAGCAGTGAATTATACTGCAAATTTCATCTCAAATAACTTATTTTACAGAGAAACAATAAAAAAAAACAATAAAGTTTTCTGTTCGTCTTCGAGCGCAATTTTCGGAGCATAATTACACTGTTTCCATTTGTGTACCACCATACCACATTTGGTTTTCTCGCATCTTAAACAAAAATTATATCTTAACAGACTATATCTGTTTGGTGTTCTGTCAAAACAACGTATTTAACGCTGTCTTCAACATTCCCCCTTCATTCATTTACAAATAAAAGATTACCATCTGTCCTAAAGAAGAATTCTTCCAGCTTCAACTTATAGCCTAGGCTACATTGTCTAGCCAACTGAATTGGTAAATCTCTTCGAGTGATCTTTGACGATAAAAAATACAGTAGCTACTCGTGAAATGCAACCTGGCACGTAATGATTCAAAGCTGAACTGAGGTGCGGGGTATAGTGTCGCAGCTGTAAGGAGATCATTTCTCCTGTAAAAAAATAAAATAATGCCCCATTATTTTATCTGCATGTAATCATTGTTATGTGACAAGTAAATAGATTTGTAAGGTAAGGGAGGTCCATCAAATAAGAATAAAAGAGTTTTGTTATATTGTGGGGAAAACATATCTGCTAAGCCAACGGCGAGTGGTTTAGTCACCTACTCTCCTTGAAAAGAAAAGCGAAATTTTTTTCGCAAAATTTCAGAAGGTAATATCACAAATAACATTTTTTTCGTATTACTTTTGATAATTTACTTTACAAGTGGCAGAAAAGTATTATCCTTCTCGTTTCCTCATTTCGACACGAGCGCCCTAAGTAAGTTATACAAACAATACGGAGCCGGATGCAGTTGACCAAAACCAAGACAAGCTCTTGGGTCTCCCTTTTCTTTCTTTCTTCCCCTTTTCCTCTTCTATCTTTATGCTGAGTAAACTAGGTAGACGAGGTTAGATTTGGAAAGTACGATGTAACCAGAGAGTTTTAATTTAGGCAAACTCCAAGACAGTATGAAAGAACCATGTAGCCTGTATCTATAAAGAACAGATATTGGTAAATAAAATAATCTCATTAACAAAAAAGGGCTTTTTTCTTCTTTCACTGTTTAGAGATCTTCACTGTCTTAAAATTTACTTTATGGAGTCGGAAACATTTTATGCCGCTTTTTATTTTCACCAACAGGGTTATGATTTTAAAATAGATGAGGAGTTATTGTCATGGAAAAGTTAACCCTTTTTGTGATATCGCTCATCTTCATTCACACGGTACTTTTGAGGGACCAATACTGTACAGTAGCTGTTTCAGGTAAACAAAAGCTTTCCTTTGCAGTATTTTTCAATCAGTGAGTTATCTGAATGCGTAGTAGTGGTGTGGAAATTTTCATTCAATTAACTGGTTGCTCAGTTTCGATTTTTTACCAACTCCT